TGAAAAAAGGAGAATTGGTAGAAGGACTATTCGAGGGACACGGGGACAGCGTGTTTTCGGTCGCCATATCACCAGACGACAGGCGAATTGCGAGCGGTGGAAGAGATGAAAGCATCATCATCTGGGACGTCGAGAACAAGCAGATGGTATTCAATCCACTAGTGAAGCATAGAGACACAGTGTGGTCGATGTGCTTCTCCCCCAATGGAAAGAGACTCGCAACCGGGTCGGATGATTGCACGGTTGTTATATGGGATGCGCAGACTGGCACCGTCCTCTCAACACTCTGGGGTCAGAGGAAGGTTTTGAGTGTCGCATTCAGCCCGGATGGGCTAAAGTTGGCATCCGGATCATGGCGTACTATTCGGGTTTGGCGGACCGATAACGCCGAACTTCTTCTCGAGATTAACAACGCTCACAGTCAAATTGTTCAAAGTGTTGTATGGTCACCTGACGGTCAGCAACTTGTCTCCGCATCAGAAGACAAAACAATCAAGTTCTGGGATACGTCGAATGGATATCAGATCGGTGAATCTTGCACTGGTCACACTTCCTACATCAACTCTCTCGCCATCTCTTCTGATGGTTCCTTCATTGCCACTGCCTCAGATGACAAAACTGTGCGCCTGTGGAGCACAAAGTCACGCAAGCAGATAGGACAGCCACTCGAACACGGAGCATGGGTTTATTGCGTCGCCATTTCTCCCAACGGAGAACTCCTCGTCAGTGGAGACCGCGATGGGAATGTTCGGCTCTGGTCGATTGAGGACACACATCGAACAGCAATCCAGCTGTGTTCATCTGACTCCTATTTCGCGCACCACAGTAAGGTGAACCTGGGACAAAACCTCTACCCGGAGGCCCTTTCCGACGCGGAAAAGGTGCGAACGACATACATCATCTATCTAGTAATTGCGCTGATACTGCCGGTGCGTAGGTCATTGAGCTCGACCCTTTGTCTCATCTTGGATACGAATTGAAGCATGCAGCACTTCACGGAGCACAACGCTACGATGAAGCAATCAAGACCTTCAAAATCATGCTCTCCAACCTGAATGATGCACCCGACCCACGGATACGACGTAAGCCACGAATACCTCACGCCCCGACTTGAAGATGACTTAAAAGCTTTTTGCAGAACTATGTCAGAAATACGTCAGTCCTTCTGAAGTAGAAGACAATATTCGACAAGCCATTCACGCTCATCTGGAAAACGTTCCACTTCGTCTTATCAATACCTCCACTGGGCGATTATGCAATCGAGACACACAGATCGACACCTTCATGAAAAGCACAGAATACAAGGAGCTCTCGTCATCATCAATGTCGCATAGACCCCTCCAAACAGAGCCGATCAGAGAAGCAGTCGCAAAGTACTACAGTTGGGTCATGTTATCCCATAGGTGGGAAATCAAGGAGCCGCGGCTGCACGAAATCCAGGATAAGGATGTGTACACATTTCGTCCAGCTGGAACCATGATAAAGTTGCAGAAGTTCTGCAAAGTTGCTCGCGATGCGGGGCATCAATGGGCGTGGAGCGATACATGCTGCATCGACCAGCACAACAACGTCGAGGTACAAGAATCAGTCAACTCCATGTTTATCTGGTATCGCAACTCAGCACTCACCATTGTCTATCTATCGGATGTTCCGCCTTCGTCAAAGTCCGGTGCACTCGCAAACAGTGTTTGGAACACACGAGGATGGACCGTCCAGGAGTTCCTGGCTCCTAACATTGTTCTCTTCTACCAAGCGGATTGGACTCTATATCTCGACGACCGCTCACGCAACCACAAAGAGTCTGTCAGTATCATGCAGGAGCTGGAAGATGCGACAGGCATAAATGCACGGGCACTCGTTGCCTTCCGCCCGGGAATGAGAGGTGCCCGAGAAAAACTTCAATGGGCGTCAAACCGTATCACCACGTTGCAGGAAGACATTGCTTACTCTTTGTTTGGTATCTTCCGCGTCCATCTTCCTGTAATCTACGGAGAGAAGAGACAAAACGCGCTTGGACGACTCTTGCAGGAGATCATAGCCCATTCGGGTGACATTTCTGCTCTCGACTGGGTCGGAAAGTCATCCGAGTTCAACAGCTGTCTTCCAGCTGACATTACCTCTTACAAAGCTCCGCCGTGCTTATCGCTGTCTCTCTCCGAAGATGATATCCAGTCATCGGTCTCCGCGTTGCGAAATATTGCGGCTGTGAGGTCGGCTTCGAAACTGTACACCCTCCTGGAGAACCTCAGCATCCCTCGTTTTGCGAACGCCAGACTGCAATTGCCTTGCATTACATTTCCTCTCACAGAAGTCAGGCGTAGGCCCGGTGAAGACGGGGGAAAATGTTTCACTTATGACGTCAAGGCAGACGGGCTACAAGACCTGCTGGTCACAACAGAGGACAAGCTAGTTCAATTCTCACCCGCAAAGCGTACTCGGCAGACATTCTTGCTTGTCCGTCCGTGGAATCGTTATGATCTCGATCTACCCGACTTTGCAGACGAGACGGATGGTTCACCTGATCCTGGATCTCCGTCAGATGATCCACTTGGCTGGTCTCCTGGAGACAATGAGCCGGCTACGCGGGAATTGAGGTTGCTCGTTCGCCTTGCTCAGCCTTTTGGCGCGCTTTTACTGGCGCAGCAGCGTGGTGAGGAGTACAAGAGGATCGCGTCTGATCAGAATATTATCGCACGAGTCAGGGACGTGGCTTCTGTTGATGACATGATGGACGTCAGGACGCTGGAGATATTGTAGCTGCGAAGAACAGGGATTTCTCATTTTCTCATACCTTGACAGCACCTACATCTAACAGAAGTCCCAGGACATTGTATCGTATTAAATGAAGTCTGGCCTCGTCCTCACATCTTGCCCGTATACCCCGGTCTCACAGCAGGTAATGGCGATCTGGAGGAAAGAACCACGTCCATCTCTGTGACTTCTACGAAAATTTCTCCTTCAGTGGCTCCTCTCCTCCATTGGACACGACTGAGCTCCGCATGGTTGAGTAACCATGCTGGATCGACGTGGTAAGTTGCAGCCAATGAGCGGATGCTTAGCATCGCGCGACAGACAGAGACGGCTGTAGTTGCTACTGCTATTCTGGGAAGTAGACATTCCTCGTGAGCTTCACTGAACAATGAAGGGCGACACAACCTTACTCTCCGCCCAGAGCTGAATAGTAAACCTGGCAACGATTTTGAGTTTTGACGAGTCGTATAGCTATGGCCATGAAACTTACGGGAATGTTCTGAGTCAGGGAGAGACCGATGATTTCGTACAGCAGCGTTCCTGTCATTTGCTTCAGCGTTTGCTAAACGAGAAGAATCGAGATACACCCACCGGCTGCAAACGCATACATGAAAATTCCTCTAAGCAAGCATTAGCTTTCGAAGTAGAGTTTGTTACTGACAAAGGGGCCTACTCTTTCAAGAATCGGTGGATGATTCCGCGTCTCGGCAAGGCTGTCGAGCTGATGCAAAACCGATATATCGTAAATGAGAGCATGGTCGTATGAACGACCAAGGCTGGCAGGTATATGACAAACAACATTGTAGGGTTCTGCACCAAGGTAGTCGGGTTGTATAGCCCGTACATGGCAGTCTTAATGGCATTGAACTCGACGGCGGCAGCTATTGTGACTCCTGCCGCGGAAGCAACGAGAACGACAACCGCCAGCCATCTGATGTAGCGACTTCGGTGAAATAGATGCCATACCCGCAATGTTATTAAACCTGCACAGCACTGGTCAAGCCAGTGTGATTAATGAATGCGCAAAAGACACACATTGGCAGAGTTCCATGACCATGAACGAGAGGACGAAAATTGTTATAAAAAGCCAGTTTACACTATTTTCAACAAGTGTGAACTGCCTGTTGGCCATGGGGTCTTGTCATATGTAACTCACTCCTGTGGAAAGCTGTCCGTAAGACGCCAAACGACGATATGACCTTAGGAAGTACGCACGGCAGAACCTGGGGTCATGACGTTTCCTATTCGTCTATCAATTATCAGAGCCATGACACGTATATTCTCGCTGACGGACCATAAAACACCAGCCTAATCAATCTCATCAACTACTGTGATATCATAGGATGGAATCAAACACGCACAACATTTGTATCAGAGCCAAATATCGGATCTATCAAATTCACGATTAAGCACTGGCGGCAAGATACAATCCATCGAGGGCATTACACTGAGATATAGTACTCTTGAAGCTGACCATGGCCCAGACCAGAAGAATGTCACCTAGAACAATGAGTCGACGATGGTTGGTCATACATCAGCGTAGGTTACTATCGATGATGGAGGCGACGATACCTCTTGGCCTAATGTGATAATATGATCGTATACCACTAAGGTGGTTGATGCCACAGCCAATTGTGTAGAGGCATTGCTCGCCAACTTCTGCACCTGCGAGGACATGATGAATCACAGACGGGTCCTCGAATGCCTACCGTAAAGAAAACGCCGTCCCGGGGAATGGCATCAGGGAGTTAATGTGGAATAAGCCTATATACCACATCACGTTAGACACGAAGCTGATGGCAGTAACCTCATCCGACCTGCTTGAAAAGGAGAAATAATAATAGCGTCCAACCCTGTTTGGATCTTGGTATCTTACATCAAAGCATACAGGATTCAGGGTCGTGATGTGTCCAAATGCTGTCATGATGGGGTTTTGCCACTTCTATCATCAGATGAGAACACAGCATTCAAAAGGATCTCCTCCGATTCGTCAACGACACACACCCGTTAGGAGATAGGAGTGTATGGACACTTGCCTTGCTCTCTTTCACTATGACTATGACTTGCGTGCGATAGAGTACATAGTGCGCAAATCACCTGGATCAGCGCACAAATCCATTTCATCAAGGTATCGATGGTCCGTGTGGCAGTGTATAACTAAAAGCGTATAGCGGAAAAACAGCGCGTTCATCACTGATTCACAGCTGAATTAATCGCATCCGTAAGTCAAAACACACGACAAGTCTCACCTATAATGTATTGACGACCAAAATATCAACTCTCTTCGTGGGAGTGCTTAGACCATCGAAGCCATCCCTTCCTCTCGAAGACGACACCGCATTCGGAGCCACCGTGTGAGAAAGATTTGTCATAGGGAGTTCTGCATCGCTGAAACCGTGTAGCCCAACGAAAATCTCGCCTTCGCTATTTCCCTTGGTCCATTGGACACGACTGAGTTCTGCATGGTTGAGGAGCCACGCCGGATCGACGTGGAGCGTCGCAGATATGGATCGAATGCTGAGTAATGCGTGGCAGACGGAGACAATGGTTGCACCGACGACGAATCTGAATTAAAAAATCATCGATTTCATGAGTGAGTGAACTATGAGAGCGACATACCCGCCTTGTAAGCCTATGTAGTAAACCTGGAGAATCATAAGTTGCTGAGCAGAGCAAGGAACAAAGTAGCACTACTCACATCCAGCTGCGAAGGATTTCTCAATGAAAGAGCAATGATTGTATACAGAAGCGATCCTGAGCTATAGCATGACAGGTGTGAAAGTCGATGTCGAGCTTGAGCGCTTACCAGTCGCGCATGCATACATAATCAACCCCCTGAGAATGCAAATAGTGAGTATTAGATGCGAGTAGCTGCACAGTCAAGGGCGTACTCTTTCAAAAACCCTTCTAGAAGTGAAGAGCGTCTCTGAAATCGGTCGCTCGTCATATACCTGTATACCTTGAGGGCAAAAAGCACGCTATGGTCTACAAAACCAGGCACGTATACGATGGCGAAAATCGTCGGGCTCCGGGAGAAATTCGGATTCACCATTTCCTGAAACATTTTGTCGAAGAGAGAGCCAGTGAACGCCACTGTCGACCCTATGCACACAACGTATAGAGACACAGCAAATATTCTTATTTGCTTATTCTTCACGAACAGGTACCAAACACGGAGAGCGATGACAGCTTGAGAGATTGTTGATAGATAGCATCAATAGAATATTAAGCTGCGTACCTTGACACAGCGCCGCGCCCAGAGTTATCAACGCGACATTTGCAATAAGAAATCCCTTGGAGCTTGGTTATCAATCATCAATCAATGTGGAGCCTCAGACGACGACAGCAGCTGGCGAGGCTTACATCTGCGAGCGATCTAAGCGACTTGCCACACCAAAAATATTTTGTCAATGATCACTTACAGTAGGGTCGGAAACATGAAAGTGCACTGAGATGACATGAAATCAGAGATCACCTTTGCCGCAAAAGGATTCCTTACGGTACACTGAAATACTAAAAGATGATGAGAAACGATCAAAGCAGGTAATTAGATTCTTGGTGCTCACAATGCTTGAATTAATCCTAAATATCGTATCTGCAGACGAACAATCAGGGTGATGTTGAACTGTGGAGTGGGACGTGTTTCACGCTAAGATAGAAAAATCTTGATGCATCTCGTCGACCGGTCCAAAACAGATCCACCTGCATGGTCGCCAATCAATAACCTCTCGCCCTAATAAGATCATGGCACTGACCTCCTGATCAAACGTTATTACATGGTCGTAAACAATTAGAGCCGCTGAGGCGACGACGAGGTCTGTAGAGTGAATCAATGCAGCCTTGCCAATAATGTAGTCCGTCAATAAGGATGACATGGGTGAAGAAGTGGTGGAGGAGGGTTGCAGGAGGTCCCCTTATGAATTCCAGGGGGTTGCCGTCGTACCGATACGCACGACGTTTCCTCACGCGAGGCAGTGCACATCATGATGGCACCTCTCGCGATGTACTGCCAGAAGCTTGAAATAGAGTATTCCGCACATCGCAACAGAAGGTTATTATGGCGGCGGACTTCTCAATTCATCACATCACCAGGGTTCCACACTTCGACAATGTGAAATAAACGCAAAAATACAGCACCCGTCTGATGCAAGGTCGTTTGTCGTCGTGCTAAGATCTGAAAATCTCTGAACAAAGCAAAAAGAAATTCCACGCCTGCCATCAAAATGCCCTTGCAGGGATATTGATGCGAATGACCGTGTGGAGTACGGTGGTAGTACGTGCCGTAGTGGTTGAACTTACAATGGAACTTTGCAAGTAAAGAAAGTCCCACGCCCGCGTCGACTATGTAGCAGGCACACGCTGGGCACACGATGTATGTTACATCTAGTGGGCGTTGTGGCAGCACATTTACGGAATTTTACCTAGGGTGGCACAGGGGTGGCAGGTAAACTCAAGATGACATGTAGCGCACAGTACTCACCATGTAACAGTTTTTTTTTACAATTGAAGCGGTTCTGTGTTTGGACTTTACCGAAGAAGTCGCAAACTCCATGCTCCTGCAGGGTCATTAGACTGGACTCAGCTGTTCGAGGGGGAAAAAACTATCAGGCTTTGTTAGGCTGAACTGTATAAGAATGCATCCACACTTTGACAGAAGACTTGGCTGAACCATAACTTTACTGAACATACTTCTTCTTGACCAAATGGGAATGGAGTGGAACTGCATTTGAAATCACTGGCAAAGGAGTCTCCATGATTGACAATTTTTGCATGGCATGAATGCATAAGGGCTTGCGAAGGCAATCGACGTAGATGTAGGTAACCATAGCTTTAACATACTTAAGGAGCGAACAACGTGTTGAGGAAAGCCTCTCCAGCAGAGGATCCCTTGGCCTTCTTTCCCTTCTTGTCTTTTTGTGCCTTGACACGCTCCTGTTTGACTGTAACACACCAACGTGAAGGTTGAGTCATCAACTTGTAAAGAGGAAAAGTAGACAAGATACGTACGCAACTCTTGTCTGCGGAGGGTCTTGGCGTAAGGGTTCATGCGGAAGAGCACGCCCTTGTTGACGAGAGGGTTCTTCTTCTGCGTCCATGGGCGCTTCTGGACCCTGGGACCTGCGGGGCGGACGACGGATTGAATCTCAGTGCTGTTGATGAGACGAGTGACGTCGGGGTTGGAGATCTTGGCGGTGGGAAGACTATATACAACGGTCAGTCGAGCAATAAAGCGTTGCATAAGGGACCCACAGGTAGTCCTTCTTGTACGATGAGGCTTTGTCGAAGGTACCGAACACCTCATCAAGGAGGCTGAAGGCGCCCTCTGTCCAGATGACGAAGCGGCCGAGATGTCCACCAGGAGCGAGTTGGAGAAGGTTCAACCTTTGGACATTGACGAGTTCGACACCAGGCAAATTGCGGAAGGCCTTGACGATGCCGTTGTCTTCTTTGAAGACAACAAGAGGGCCACGGCGTTGACGGTAGCGGCGATTGCGCATCTTGCCTTTTCCTGCACGGAGTTTGCGCGAGTTGGAAACCTTGGTGACATCGGTGTATGCATTCAGGGCCTGGAGGAGAGTAATGGCCTCCTTGGTTTTCTTGAAGGACTCTGCTGCGTTCTCAACGACGAGAGGCACCTCAGCGATTTGCTCGATGCGGTGACCGCGGGCGAGAACAAGGGATGGGAGCGCGGAAGCTGCGAGTGCGGAGACGGTAGCGAAGCGGCGCTGATTTTGGTTGACTTTGACGTGCCATTTGCGCCAAGTCTTGGTAGGGGCGAACATGCGACCGCCACGGCACATGTTTCCAAAGGCAGCCTGATGATATATTGTTAATGTAAAATCAAAAAAACAGATGAGTGTTCCACGCACCTGACCAGAGCGGTGGGTACCTCCACCACCGACACGAGGAATACGTGCAACGGCGCGACCAGTACCCCAGGACTCAGCGGAAGTCTGGTGACCGGCCTTCTCACTGACAGCGTAAGCCTGACGCCTGTTCTTCGCCATGCTCTCTGAGAGTACGTCAAATTTCTGATCAAACGCCGAACGCTTGTTACGCACTGTGAACCTGGGCGACTACATCAAGCCTGATGGGAGCTGTGAGGACGGCAGGAAGGGGAAGGGAGGTCGAAGCCTCTACTCGAGATTATTAGTGTGGACGGACAGCTAGCAATTCGATGAGTACATACCTCCGGAGACGGATTGGACAGTAACGGTGGGTCTTGAGGCCATTATCGTTAATCTTGACGGTCTTGACGGTCTTGAGCTGTTCTAGCCTGCCTAACGTGTTGATACAGCAAATAAAGTTTGCTAGTTCTAAGCCTCAGAGCAAATACGACCAAACAATTTGCCACTCAGGCATAGTCTCTGCTAAGTTTCAAGCCACATAGAACGACGAGACTCCCAATTTGTGATACCTGCCGAATCGCGCCTTTCCAGCCTTTGATGTTTCACGAGGGTCAGAGTTGAACGTTGAACTCTAGGGCAATGACGGGTGTCAGATTCAGTTTGGCCTATAAACCCAACCACACATCGTTACAACATCAGCCAGCTACGCTGTATGATATCAAATACGATACTTCCCGTGCAGAACACCTCCCGGGGGAAATACGATGGGACAACCAACTCAGTTCTGGTCATAATTATTCTTGGCGTCATGCGTTTCGAATCTTGCAAGTAGGCCCGCTTTACTTCTTTGTGAAGAGCAGTGGTGTGGGATATTTGAAGTAACTTCTAGAGGCAGCTAATTCGAACTGAACGTGCAACGGAGTCTCTCCAGGAGGTCTCAGTATCTCTTGCACGTTCGATTGACATTCGACAGTAAACACCAGGTTTCATTCGCTAGGACGTGGTGTATCGACTACTCGTGTTTATGACACTCAAGAGTGCATCACATAAATCTCAGGCGAGGAAAGATTCAGGCTAATGTTTGGCTACGCTCAATCCATGCAGTACGTCTGAACTTATCGTGGCGGTAACCGATACGCCGTCGATGGCCGCGGTGAGGGTTTGATCAAGGGGTCTGGGTCAGGGGGCGCTGATTGTAGTGGCACAAAACGGCGCCCGGCGCCATTTGTTGGGCTACGCTGCTTCTGACATACTTCCCCCATAAGTTTGAAACATATGATCCCGGCCACGCTGAAGCGAGAAGGCTGTGTCAGGGGCCCCGGGACTGATGGTGGTAGCACAAAATGGCATCCGACGCTGCTCGTTGCCCCATTAGAGCGACAGATGGGCCTATGCCATTGATATTGTGCACCGCCCTGGCATACTTCCCCCAGTAGTGTGAAATACGTGATCTCAGCGCACTGAAGACAAAGCCTTGAGGCAGCGGTGATGATCAAGTGCGATAAATGTACGTGATCTCAAGTCACAGCTGAAGCAGAGATTCACTCCGATCTGGATGTTTGTGTCTTCAATGATATGAACTTCTAGCACGACTCGGCAGATTCTGGACAAGAATGCCGTACCAACAACGATGCAACCCCCGAGTCTTCACTAGGGGGATTTTTAATCAATACAGACACAGCGAACACCACGAGTCTCGTCTTCAGAAGTTCAGGCCTGATGACCTTGATTTTTCGTTAGGCTAGTGCAACGACGTGACTGATATTTTACATAATATAAGTTGGGCACGAGGACGGTGTAGATGATCCGTAAATGCTGTGAAGTGACCATCGCGTGAAAGCCATCAAGCAAGTTAACAATCATTCGTGATCGCTCATACATCGCATGTAACCGAGCGATCATGATGATCTACTTCAGTCAGTCGATATCAGTGAGGTACCGCAGCTGAGTGGCTCACCGCCCAGCACGGCATTTGCGGCTAGAGATAATCTACCAACTATCCATCATCGAGTGATGCTGAAATTATTTCTCGAGAAGAAACAAACGCGGTATATTTGGGAGGGGGGATGCACACGATGATGCTAATTGCAATTGTGAGAGATGGCTTGTTGATACAGTGCCAACTTGTTACAAGTTGGCATTGCAAATACACAAGCACAAGTCAAGTTAACGACGAAAATTTGAATAGGTCCAGACGCGGCACACCGGGCACGAGCAGACACATAACTCGCACAACTCCAACGCTTTTAAACACACCACCCTAAGACAATCTCGCTCCAATACGTTGCCTCTTCCCAAGTCATCAGCATCCGTCACCTCATACTCACCGCCTATAGCCTGATAACAGAAGCAGAAAGCGCGTTTTTCATGTTCATTCTAAGCGGTTGCCTTGCCTTGTATCCTGCGCATGTCAGTTATATATCTCGACAAACGACACCTTTGAAATGGGCGGGAACGTGACTGTGTGACTGCGCTTGCACCTATAATCAGATGCGAGTAGGCCTTGGCTATCCAAAATGCGGTTTGAAACAGTACGCAAAGAGGCCATGACGATAAAGTGCATGTTCCTGCCACTCGTCACAAGAAAGAGGGCAAGCGGGAATCCAAACGTGCTGTTCTGGTGCTGGAGCTATCAGTTAACTGTTGGGAGAACGACACTAGGCTTCTTAAGCATTCCGTTACAGCATGCAGGACAGAAGCGTGTCACCCTTGAATAGGACGATCTGGTAAGCAAAGTATGCTCATAGCGTCAATTGAGACTCTATGTCAGCACAAGTCCTATTTGTCGATAAACTACCTCTTATATATCGAGCATGGTCCGTGAAGTCATGTGCAATTGAGATGGATAGCGTAGGGGAGTCTGAGACAACCGTTGAGCATTGTGATTGTAGCTGTGGATGTAGCGTCTGCCGGGGTCCAAATAAGTATGCAGCCTTTGGCAGGGTAGGTGACGTAGGTGACAGAGCAGGAGAGTGACTAGAATAATATCGGTGCTGGTCACTGGAGATATTAATCGTCAGTATCTGAGTCTGTTTTTTAAGATTTATTGTGACGCGCGACGTCATGACAACCTGCAGTAAGAGAAAAACATCAGTCAAGAATGATTTTTTTTGCGTGTTCGTCAACTTACCGTCAACCTAATAACGAGATCACAGAGCCATTCAGTATGGCAGCGGAACCATTAACTGGAAACTCACAAGAAGATCAATCTAGTGAATAGGTATTAATCAGTGTAGCCACGGGCACATCTAGAGCGGACTTACTGAGCAGCAATACCCTTTTGACCCGGGGGCGCTCGTACGATCATCACAGTCAATACCAGGTTGCCAGAGCAAATGATACTACTCAATAAACAGGTCGGTCGATTGGTTGACTTGAATGGAGAACTATACATACCTATAGTACAATGTACCATCTTGTAGAAGTGTGTGCAAGATTCGTCCGGCTGATCCATTACAGATGCCGGGTAAGGTGCGCCATAGGGTCATGGCAAAGACGACTAAGTCGTATGTCAAAGGCATCCATGACCGAGCAGCAGAGAGTGTCCTAATATCACAGTATGATGAGCAATTAAAGAAATAAGAGGACGAAAAGTCGTACAGCGGCAAGTTATATACCTCACGGCATGCTAACAGAAAAATCAGCGAGAGATCACTACGTCGGGCAACAGTGCTCACAGTGTACCTGTTGAGCGAGGGGAACCACTAGAATGGTATGATATCATTGCTGTCTGCACAAATAACAGGTGTGCTCACTTTCACCACGAGCCATGACAAACGCCTCGAGTGCAACCCAGACTAAAAAGAGGAGACCCGGGATCGCAGTAACAAGTCTGCGCATCCCATACAAAACATGAATACTGAAAAATGCGTCAGGGGCGCCAACCACCGTCCCCTTGAAGTGGCTCACCGCGGTAACATCATCAGTTGCGCTATGCTGACACCGATGGTGGCCATAGCTCCTTCGTATCTCACAAAATTTCGGCATCTTAACAGCAGTTTAATCCCAGCCATTTTAGATCAGATGTCACAAACCTCTAAGATAATACATATGATTAGATTTCAATTCGAAGTAGAAAGCAGCAACTTACCTCTGTGGACCAAGTGGGGAGGGTCAATGCTGATAATATATTTCAACAAAGAGTAACCTATAACACAGGAAGAGAGAGCTCACCGACAATGTTGACGACAAATCCCAGAGGCGTGATATATCGATTCTTGGATTCAAAGTAAAATGTAATTCCAGAAAAGTTAAATGTGGTTTCACGTACCAGCAGAAAGAGGTACCCGACTAGAGTGAATTTGGAGTGAAATTAGCGGACGAAGATGTCAGAGGGTAACCTATACTTACGAGGCCCTTTGCGTTTACACCATATGAAAGCTACCTGGATCAACTTCATTCACGCTGTTGAGGTAAGATACTCATGAGACGTACCTCGTCCGAAAAGGTGATCATGTGATCCCAACACAGAACGGTGAAGCTCGCGATGGCCACGAACTTGGGATACAATGTATATTAGACAGTGAGACGGTGAATGATCGGAATCGAACGTACGGCAGCCTGTTGACTATCAACAGAAGATGGTTCGTGAGGGCATGCGAAATAGACAGCGTAGGCACTTACGACTGGAGTGAATCCAAGGTAACGGATCGCGTGGTCATAGTGTCCATTCTGAACAAAAATAGTGAAAGTGCAACGGTTGACACAACCAAGATTATGGCCGCTGGTCAATGGAAAGCCGATGTAGGTTCTCTTATATCTGGAATGCATCCCATAACATATACTTTGCGTCAAGGGACGATCTACGCTCTGGATCAGTGTCTACAGGAATAAGCCACGAGCTCTCCCGGGCCCATGGAACACGTATTGCGAGTCTTTAGGCGCCAGTGACGGAATATATGCGCAGGGGCTCATACAGGAACGATTCATTCGGCATCTCAGCTGCGCTCAGCTCCAATCGCGATGAGGATTTAACGTGCTGAGCATCGGGGTAAAGAAAACGGCACTGAGCTCGTCGCGCGACGTGACAATCAGAGTCGACCAGCTGGATTACCAGTGGCTGTGCAGCAATTATACTAATTACTCTCCTCGGATTAGTAATAGTACTGGGAGTATAAGTACAACTACGGCTACTAGTACTGGTGATATATAATGCTAGCACTGTACATAACACGACACCGGAGCCCGCAACTGTCTTCCTGCGTATCGCGAGCAAGACCAGAAGTCGCGAAGAACACTACGATACCCGAAGGACAGCTGAGTGGCTGACTAAGCTACGTGCTACGCGTCCGAGTCTGCTCCGCACCCACCTCACCTGGGGGTCCCCCAGCTGCCGAACAGGGTAGAATTCTAGAATCTCAACCGTACTTATTTGTGACTTATTTTATCGACCGTCAAGTACACTTGACGGGCTACAATGTTTGATGCACTTGGGCCACGGCTTGAGCCAGAGCCACCTCAGTCTGATGGAATATCGTGGGAAATTCAGTGCATTTTTGACGATTAGTAAGCGCTCGGTTCCCCTTTGGGTCACTACGCCTGCGGGCAGCAGCGTGAGGACCACAACCTCGCTCGACGCTATTGTCCTCCTTCAGCTCTCTCGCGTGCCATCATGAGCTTTCAGGACATTGAAACTGGCCTTGCGCGTCCGGGACAATCAAACTCGACAGCACTTCAGCCGCGTGAAGAGTCTGCGTTTCTCTCCTTGCAATCGTCACTTTCGCTCCAAGTGTTCAAGATAAATTCGAATGTACAGGGTATTCTCAAGTTGGTCGACCAACTTGGCACCACAAAGGACTCAGCCACGCTCAGGAAGTCCTTGTGCGTATCACTTGCTAATTGTCACTTTAGTTACTTAATGTATTATGGACACAGACATGACCTCACTGAAACAACGAGGGCTATGGCTAAGCGAGGTTCTGAGGACTTGAAGAAGATTGCCTCAACGGCTACGGCAAGCGTAAATTGATTCTACACTGACCTTCTTGTCAACTGAATCTGATCCTACCAGCCTCAACACAAGACTTCAGTTCAGAAGATATCACATGACTTGCAGCTGTCTTTGGTAGCATTTCAAAGAGCACAACAAGTCAGTGCAGAGCGTCAGAGAACAGTTGTTGAAGGGGTGAAAATAGCTGTAGAAGACGAGCACTATGATGATGCGTGCGTTACTTACCCCTCATGAAAGTGCTATCGCCTCATATACACTCAGGCTTCGCCAACGAGAGCCAAGCGCATCTCCCCGACAACGCCAGGCTCAACTTCTCCAGTCACAGCTTTCTCCACACGAACTCGCATATCAAGAGTCTTTGATTCAAGAACGAGAAGCAGAAATTCAAGAGATTGAGTCCGGTATACACGAACTATCGGAGATATTCCGTGACCTTGGGACATTGGTCAACCAACAAGGCGGCATGCTTGGTATGTGACATAGCTTCCATTACAATCCCTGGCTCACTGGTCCTTTTTGTCCTTTCCACCCTTTTTTTGCAGACAATATCGAATCCAACGTGTATTCCATCGCTGTAGATACCCAAGGGGCAGCCGAGGAGCTTTCGACTGCATCCGAGTACCAGCGCAAAGCTGGGCGACGTGCAGCGTGTCTCATGATCATCCTTGTCGTCGTCGTTGCAGTTGTGCTTCTGGCTGTACGTGAAATGCTTACTATTCCAGATAGACTTGACTAAACCAATCTCCAGATTTTATCATAGATGTGGCCTTGTGTCATCGCCTCTAATACCTTTGCTAGTTTTCTGTTGCCTGACGGATTATGGACATCGTCGCGGAAAAGTTTCAAATGTTTATTTCTAACCTCTATTTTTTATATCAATGCACTTTGATGTGAATTCATGTTGCCCTGTTCACTCACACCCCAGTAAATATATGTGTGGTATTTTCATATATGATGTAGAATCCAAGTGTAAGTTTTCTCAATACGCGGCGTGTGTGTAATTTCAAGAATGCAGAGTCTCTGTAACTTACATAAAATGATCACCCTCCTTCCTTGTTCTCTTCTATGCCGCTGGAGAGTTTTACGACCTGCATACGCATCTATAAGATTTCTCTGGGCTATTTTTTGCAGTACATCTGGTGCTCCTACATAGTACCCCATGGGAAGAATTCCACGTCGGAACAACTCACGAACTGACCAGCGGCCCGAAGGCACATCCAGTTCCTCTCTGCCCTTCAGAACCATCCTTGCGACTCCCACAAGCAGCGCGCTTTAGTGAAGCCCAGCAGCATGTTCATACATAGCACCTTACAGCATGAAGCTCGAATAACTCCTGTATGGGAATATCAATCAAGAGCTTCTGGAGGAACTTCAAATAGACAACTTCGATGAGCACCGAACTGCTACTAGTATGGATTCACAGGGTAACTCAGGCTGCACGTTAGAATTCTATCCAGCAGAACAGATGCGCACAATTTTTTCTGGAAACAGGGAAGAGAGAGAAGCTGGCGAAAATGTATGGAGCGCTTCATTTTCAAGCTTTTCTTTATTTCCGATCCCTCCCCCTCACATGGTTTAGTATCACGTCCAAAAAAGACTATCCTTGTTGCATCACGTCCCGGCTAAAGGTTTGCTAATCTCATTCCCTACCTACCTCCCTGCCCTTCGCTTACTTGACATGCGAAACCCTCGACGGTGGAGTGCTATAGATGTCTCGTCAGTCACGGCGGATCTTTGTCAACTGCTCAGGCTCGCTCTGACCTACGTGGCTCTGGGGGCGAATTTTTATACGCGCTTTTTCACATCCATCTAATGTCCCCTCTTCTCTCCACCCCTGACAGCAATTTTCTCTTAGTTCCAATGCTTTTAACGCACCGCAGTCCACGCGCAAAAGGCGCCTTTCACTGCCCATCACTTCGCGGTTCAGTAAAATTGAACCTTGAACAAGAGTTCTCTCCGCTCTATCTGAGCGCGCCTCCATTGAGCTGGCTTGTGGCGTTCGGGATTACTCATCGCCTTATACTTGACTGATTTCAGGGTGCCTCATAGATGTGGGATCTCGGTGCCTTTGGCACTGGCATCCATCGCCGGCTTTACCTGCATTCTATTTCGCTTTGCCAGAAGGCGAAGTGCGGTCCACGTAACGGTGTCTGCAAGGTCCATGGCGCTACATCAATCTAAATCGAGATCTATACATTTTGTCGTTATCTCCCGCGACGTTTTCGAGGGCTGTCTTCCCGAAATATAATGATGGATAATCGCCCTGGGGAGTCTCGACCAAAATGGAGTTGAAGCTCTAGACGATCTTTGCAAGATATGAGGTTGCGGCAACTTCACCCTATCAATCATTACGAACTTCTGATTCCGAGATTACAATACCCGGTGCATTGGCGTTCAAATCATAAGCCTTTCAAATTAGAAATTTAGTTCTCATCTATCCGTAGATACAGTGCCAAATGGATATGTATCATAGCGTTAGGGTGTTTTCGACCGACACCTCTCTGATCAAGCCTGGGCATTCGTCGGTCTTCATCTTGTGCCTGCCCTAGCCCAGTGACCACTGATCACCACATATACATCTTCAACAAGCACCGTTGGGTCGGATTTCAAGATAAGGTTGTTGTTCTGAATGCGCGCACACATTGCATCATATCTACAAAATGTAAGCATGAAGCTCGAGATCATAGATAGACATGCATGATTTAGAGTTGACGCTTATGGACCTCAGCTTAACAATTTATAAGTCAAGACATGGTCCTCTTAACATTACATAGTAACACTGCGTACTATGTACGTGGGCTTCCAGGATCAGGGTATAAAATCGTCGTCCATACACAATAGGATTTAAATAAAGAGAGTGGAACACTCCGCGCTGTCAGCAAGGAAGCGGGAATAATTTGATAGAACAACATGATCACCCCAGCAACCTCGCCGTCTCCGCACCACCGTTCTGTCCATCCTTGTGTCTGAGCCCACGACAGCTCCGCACAGTGAATTTCACCCCATCCACTGCTCGACTGAGGAGCCAATTCCTCGCACGCCAGACCGGATGCTCGCGCACATCGACGCGATCCGGGCGGAGGCGGTCCTCGTTATCGACCACGACAGCAAGGGTTGTAATCGTGGTGAGAATAGATGCAAGTGCTGTGGATGCGGATATCATAAACATGATAACCATCTGCAGCCGCGCTGCCTGCTGAACGGAAGAGCCACCAAGAATGGCACCTGAAACCCTTGATCAGCACAACCATTCGCCCACGTCGTGGCGTAAATTCTTACCAGTCATCATACCGGGAATAGCAATGATTCCGATCACGCTATTGTCAAGGGCAAACACTGAATTAGAAACAGCTTGGTATTTTGGATGGTACAGACCTCATTTGGTTGATCGTTGGAGTCAGTGCGAGTCGAAGTGCTTCTCGTGCAACAGGTCTACACGCTTCAAAACGGGATGCTCCAAATGCGAGGTACATTTCTACTTTGTCACGATTGTCGCTGCAAGGACACTGATGAATATTTACAATTTCAAGTTCGTTTGTGACGCGACTTACTAGATCTCTTGTAGTACATAGGACACGGAAACAACAATTCCCGATATCGTGCCTCCACATAACATGCCAACAATAGGAACTTATGGTTATAAATCAACACCACTGATCCTACACAAAGAGACTGCGACATACTATATTGTTCGGGCTTCCAGAACGGCTCTATAGCCATGGCGAAGCGAATGCCGATGATAGAGACAGGTATCGTAGAGCACAGCATACCGAACAATACGGAGGAAAACTATGCAGCTGTTCAAGATAGAATAATAGATAATGCCGTCGTAGAGCTCACCATATGGTTGTAACGCTTTTTAGACTTGTTTACAACTGCTCCGGGTCAGAAACCAAATCAACGGCAAGAACTGCTTCGGACGCGCCTGCCTCGATAGTTCCAAGTAAATTCAACAAACCTGGACACCATACATTTAGTGCCCAGCTAGTTCAAGTGAATACCAAAACACTCACATGCGATACCGCCCACTGCCCATGGATTATTTGTCTCGAACACTTTCTGCAGCACTAACGCGACTAACCCTAACTGAACTACACAGCGTATTGCTGCGGAGAGTAGTGATGACCCTACTCCGAGTTGTAGGGAGGTGGAAATGAGGGCATTGAAAAGAATGAAGGAGAAACCGAGGCCGACATTTGTCCAATCCAGGTGAGTAGAGTCTGTAGGTGCGCCGTCCATGGTTTCCCAGAAGACAATTCAACTTGAGCCTTAGCCCGTGTATGACCACTCGATTAGTGGCAACTGAACAACTTGCTAACAGCTTGTGAACTTTGAAGTATTCGAGGTCGAAGGATTCGGAACCACCAATGACGTTGAACGGCTTACATATATGTTCCGACGGGCTCAGTGTTCCGACAACCAAAATAGCACCAATTCAAGTTTTCTATTAAAAATCCAGCACGTAGTATTCGCTTGCCTCACGGGGCACAGAAGATATATACATGGCGACATTTTTTTTTGTCAATCTTACTCAGATCTCTCTAATATATACAGCTGATCATTTGTCTCCATCTGCAACACGTTCAACCACTGATGAAGGGGAACCTCCAGAATCTTGGCGATGCCGCCTCGCGGGAGACTCCACTTCCATCTTGAGAACCCCTGCACGCTGTCCACCAACTTCCATCGTCCGGTCTTGATGAACTCTACCGAAGACTCGGCAATGAGATGAGTGAAAGACGTTGACGTTGTAAGATCACGCAGGGACAGACTTTCTGTCTTGTTGTAGACCCAATCCCCCGTTGCTAGAGCGGTTATGGACGGGATGTAAGGTGGTGAATGACTCTGGAGGAAGAGCGAGGCTCCAGTCTGGGCTGCAAGGTTGGATATGTGGACGTGCACTGCGATGGTGTTGTCAGCTAGACCCAGAAGCTCATTCACTGTCCCTCGTACCAGCATGCTTGCCTGCATATTGATTGTCAAATGTTGCAAGTGCAGAACCACCAGGATAGTTTGCCATCGACGCACGTGTCGATACGACAGTGATGGCACAATTCAGAACAAGGATACCCATAGCCGCGAGAAACATCATTCTTCCGAAAAGACCGCCTTTCCTTCGGGATACCCTGTTGAAAGCTCAATGTACTGCCCTTGAAAGCAAAGTAGAAAAGATGAATACTTACATCCACCAAGCACCCCGAGCGGCGGCAATATTGAAGAGGGGAACAACGTAAATAATGAAGCGCCATTCTTTGTGACCCAAACTACTGATGAGACCGATAAACAACAACGGGGGGTGTATTAGGGCCTGAACACGTCCATCCACCACGGCACCGAGTACAGCCAATGGCAAGGACCCGAGAAGAAGCTTCGGGAGGTGCGAAAGGAAATACGCATGTATAGGTGATGTCTGCATACTGGGTGAGACATGCAAGAAGAAGAGAGCAACAACTTACGCCCCATTCAGAGCTCTTGCCTTGAAAGACATTGAAATATATGCCATACAGTTCGGGCCACACCGGCCATTGGTTCCATAGGTATGAATCGATGGCGACGGTTAAAGCTAGTCGCTCAACAGTTGCAGACCTTCCAGTGCACAAAGGACAACACGCACCGATGGACAACATGCCAGACAGAAAACCAACTATGATCAATCTCAGAAAACTGGTATGCCGAAGAAGAAGAGCTTGGATAGCAAGAGGGGCTAGTAGTAGTGCGACTTCCGAGCGGAACACAACGGCAGTGAAGGTGAGCAGAGCAAATGCAACATCGACGCTCCTTCTTGTAGGATATTTGGACTGCGGGGCTCTGTCGTACAACGCGTAGAATCCAAGGTTGACTTGTGTTCGTCCTTCCTTAAGCAGGAACTCGTGTTGCAGGCAAATTCACCTACCAGGGAACAACGCGAACATGTTTGGTAATGTTCGGCCCATCCAAAACGGCAGATGAAATTGCGAACATGTCAGGAGGACATACATGAGGCCAGTTGGACGACCAAACCGTCTACATACGGCTCGTCGTATCAACATGAACCCTGTTGCATTCAGTGTAGCAAGAACCAAACGCACTATCAGAGAGGTCAAGACGCTGTAAGTCAAGTGTTTTCATAGAATCACACCTGCTATCTGAAGATCGAGTTTTGTGCTTAGCAGGCCCCATTGACTCGCTACGTAGGCGACAGGTGAAGTGAGCCATGCAAGTAGCATGCTTCCTATGAACGTCCGCGGTACAGCGCCTGGAAAGGTGTTATGGTCAAACTTCGCCACAGATCAGATACAAAAAGTCAGGATGAAAAAGCTTCATGCCTTGTACAAATTATCCCTCCCGACTCCATACATAAGAACGTCATGTGTTGCGTGCAAGTTGAAACTTTCTTCGACTTTCGTGTATGGTGCCAAAAGAACATGAGCCCAACTGGTCCCCAGCAAGAGTAAATCCATGGCAAAGCTCATCGAGAATTGAATGTGGGTACTGGTGTCCTACGTCGACACACCTAATTCATATTAGTAGATACGCAGAAGCATGCAGCTGAGGTGAAATCAAAGGGAAAAGGTGCCGTATGCAAACACACAAAGGCAGCATCTCAACATTGACGCAACTAAGATTGAACTAAGATGTCTAGTACTCAAGGGTATGCCTAAAGTAAACCCTCCTACTACACTAACCTAAGTACTTAGACAGGGACCAAAAGACTTCCTTCGCTAGTAAACAATACGAATGATCGCTTATACCAGGGATGAAAACTGCTTGTCCGAATGTAATACTTGTTATTCCAATGCGATTGCCTTTGTCGTAAAGTGAAAATGTTTCAAAGAAGGCCAAGCGCAAGGCTCAAGCATAGATTGCACTTCCTGAGAGAATTGCACTGGTATTGTGGGGTCAAGTTGCAAAAACAGGCGCAGTGATTGCAATCCTGCCTCCACAAGAGGTTGAAGCCCCCGCAAAATACTCTTGATGAGATCGCTATCCTGGGCATAAGGCCTAGGTTCATTGATGTGAAGATCAAATGACTTCAACGACTTTCCCAGCTTCTCGATGATGATAGGCATGAGGTAATCAAAGAGAGTCGTGACACCAGAAGGTTGTCCGTCTGGTTGAAACACCAGCGTATGCAGATTTGTTGCCGCAAGGCGTAACAAGAAGAGCATGACGGAAAACATCGATCCCCGAACATCCAACTGCTTCAAGGCAGGGAACATTGGAGGAATAGCTTGCCAATCCATGTTCAAGCGATCTTGGAGGTGGATTTTGAGGTCTGAAATAGGTGCCTGGGACAACAACGTGCAAAGAGCTGCAAGCTCAGGGGCACGAATATAGGCTTTGCTTAGATCAACGCTCCCGATGTGCCCGAATTGAAGTTGCGGTGTCGAGTGCAACACTCTCATCGTCCGCATGAGACCAGTAATCCGCAGTTCCTCCAGATGCGGGGCTTCAGTAACAGCGCGGTCAAGTGCTAATTCAATGGGATCACAATCAAGTGTATTGTGACATACGAGGGTGAGAGATCGCAAGGAGGGGGGAAATGGTTTCGCTTGCGTGGAAATTGGCCCAGAGAGGATATAGGCCAGACTTCGTAGTTTCGGGAAAGGATGAAACCCATCCTGTCCGCGAATAACTGTGAGACGCATGTAGCAATCCCGGTTTTTCATGAGATCTGCACAATCATTGTTGTGATCTCCTATGCGCAAGCTCCAGACTCGTGCAGCGTATTTGTTGAACGTTTTCCAGTCGTCCAATGAATTGCAGCGATATTTCAGGAGATCGCAGTCACACGTCCGGGCGTCCTGCAGATACAACGAGGATCGGCTTTAGTGACAGACAGACGCGAGGTAAAGTTACTTACATTTACCAATGACGCGCTTTGCGGAATCAACGAAATGAATGGGGCAAAGGAGTGCATAGATCTCCAGAGAATGTCAAGGGCAGGATCTGTAAATGCACGACAACAGCAAGACATGTAATACAATGACTTCTTGTCGTCTTGTAATCCATCAAGGATAACCGCAAGGATTTCTGAGATACGGAGAGTCTCAAAAGGTCCTGGCATGATGATCAGTCGGAGAATTCGTTCGCGAGTCACGGCACACAACAATATTTAAGGTTAAAAGCCACCAATTGTTCCATTGGCTGGTTGATAGAAGCAACAGTGACACGAGGCCCCGACCGTGCAGAGGCGCGTCCGGAGTCTAGATCATTCTGACGGAACTGGGGAGGTTACCGATGGTAGGAAAGTGGCAGGCTAGAGACCGGTCTGGCTCGTCAGAATCTATGGACGAGTTGATTAAACAAAACGTAGCCAAACTTTACGAGGAAGAAATGAAAATTGATGCAAACGCTGCAACACTGGCAGCGGCTGTAAAGAGACCAAGCCGCTTTGTCATGAACGTGTGTTATTTTGTGCACTGTACCCATCAGACTCCGACGTTTGTTCATCGGTGGCACGACAAGTACTGAATATGATACTGCAGGCCATTCCCCTACTGAAGGCGTCAATATACTGCTTCAATAGAATCTGGATCACAGGTTTCTTGTACTAACAGTAACGTGCCATTGCTTTCAAAAATAATAATACAGTGATCGATGCTCAATCAATGCCTCAAACTTTGAAACGACTCGGATTACCTTCCTGTCATGACACCCTCACTTCGTCTCTTGAGGGTGGGCCACCAACTTTGACCCGCTCACTTGCCCTTTTTTCATTCGTTCCAACCCCTCGATAATTCCTTCAAGACCATTCGGAAGAACCTCGTACCTATTGGGCTATAGGAAAAGTATATCAGCGGCAGTGAGACTGAGTTACGCTCGATACTCTCACCTTGATGGTCCCTTTCTCAAGCCACTCCGAAAGGATGGCCCACGATCCACTGCAAAGTGACTTGTTTTCATCCGCATGTGGGCTTCCGAACGTCTGAACAGCTCTGCGTTCTGTTCCTCCTTCTTCCTTGACTACCGCCGGCAGTGTCAAAACTAGGCATCCTTTATGACCGAGGAGCGACCATCCAATCTGCTGTGTGTCGGGGAGAGAGATAGCATCATACACATACTTGATATGGCCGCTTGAATATTTCCTGATAGCAGCCTTGAGAACATCAGCAGGCAGGTGTCTGTCGATTACATGGGTAGCGCCAAGCGATTTCAGGTAAGCTTCGTGGACGGGTGACGCTGTCGTAATGATAGGAGTAAACCCAGAGAGAACAGCCAGCTGAATGACTGAAAGAGGGAAGTTGAGATCATGCTTTTCTTGACAATTACCTGCAACTTACCGTATGACCCGACAGATGAGGCCCCACCAAGAATGACAATTGGCCCTGCGTACCTGGCAAGGCCGCCTTCTTCCCAAGGCGGCCTGAGGCCTATCCCATACTTGTTGCTATTATACAGACCGGTCGAAGCAGTGTCGAAGCCCAGTGGGACAGTGGCTGCGTCATCATATCCCAAATTACCCGGAATCTACATACTGTTAGCGCTAATGCAAATCCTTTGTCAAGAGGACATGCCTTCGCGGTGTAATCCATAACGCCGAGTGTGAACTGTTGGAAAGCAGATCGATCGTTTGAGAACTGGCCATGGGTGAATCTACAACGTACAAGTTAAAGAAGTAGCTCAGCCACGACTCAGGGGCTGCTAGTGCTCACACTTTGTCTCCCTTCGCGAAGTTACGGACATTTTCGCCTGTTTCAACGACGAGACCAGCAATATCCTCACCGAGTACTGCTGGGTACTGTTCGACGAAAACCCCATACTCCTGGACTTTATGGTCGACAGGATTGAGGGCCGCAGAGTAAACCTTGATCAAGAGCTCATCCTTCCCGGGCTTCGGGATGCTGCGCGAACCAACAGCGAATTTGCCTTGCTTAGACTGAAGGAATAGTGCTTTTTGTTGCTGAGTGTCAGACATGGTTGCAAGAATGTGAGCGTGTTGTGACGATCGAAAGCGATTCTACATAGGGGCCCCACTTTATATGCAACTCGAACATTTGATATGATGACGCATGCATGGAGCAATTCATATTGACAAAGAAATGAATGTAATGCTGAGGGGTATCTAGATAAAATAATGATCATATATGGATGTCCAATCGATCGTCCGTGCAAATTGTTTCAAGTTTCTTGTGGGCGAACCACCATTTTCACACCGTCCACCTTTCCTGCGTTGAATCTCCCGAGCGCTTCTGGTATTGCACGCAACCCGCCATGTAATAGCTCGACATGGTTTGGCTGAGACGATGTTAGAAGATACCTAGAGGTAATTTTTTGGTTAACACTTACTCGTATGTGACCTTCCTCGACCCATCTTTCAAGATGAGCCCACAGCCTCTTCCCCGTTTCCCAATTTTCGTCTGATTGCGGGCTTCCGTCTACAGGAACAACCTGCCTGCTGTCATAGCTGTCCTTGGTTATCAAGGATGGCTGTGTAACGACAAGCTTCCCCCCGGGTGCAAGCAGCGACCAAGCAGCCTCCTGAGTCTCTGCGGTGGATATGGAGTCGTACATGATATGTATGCGAGAGCCCGTGATTTTCATCACGGCCTGTTTTAGTGCTGGTAGGGGAAGATATCTGTCTATGACGTGGGTTGCACCGATACTCTTCAGATGTTCCGTGTGCTTTAGCGAAGCAGTGGTAATAATAGGTGAGAAGCCTGATAGCTTCGCCAATTGAATAACTAGTAGGCTTAGTAAGATGACTTGTCTACGGCAATGAGTTGGGAAGCTTACCGTAGTTGCCCACGGAGCCGGCACCACCGAAGATCAAGATAGGCCAACCTTTGTACTTGCACCACCCACCGCGGTCCCAAGGTGGCATAAGACCGATACCGTTGATGGTACCGTACATCCCGATCGCGGCTGTGCCAATTCCGCATGAGATGGTACACGCCTGGTCAAGCGATAAGCTTCTTGGGACCTGAGTAAGATTGATCAACACGAGTTCTCACCACCCGATCACGGGGATTAACTTGCCTTAGCAGCGAAGTCAGTCGTGACTACGCAATACTGCTGGAAGGTTGCCAAATCGTTATCGTCAAAGGCACCATGGAAGAATCTAGGTTCCGAAGTAACGATTAATCTTACAGCATTACAATCGTAGAAGTGAGACGGCTTACATTCTTTCTCCTGGATCAAATTTTGTGACACCTTCTCCGATTTCTTCTACGATGCCAGCACCATCGGTACCTAGCACCGCAGGATAGGTGTCGACGAATGTGCCATCCCTGTGGATCTTCGCATCGAAAGGGTTGAGCGCAGTAGCCTGCAGTTTGACGAGAACTTCGCCAGGACCTGGCTGGGGTATCTTGCGGCAAGCCACAGCGAATGTCGCTTGCTTGGACGGGATGACGAGCGCGAGTTGCTGGTCAGGCATATCAAGTGTTGAGTGGATATCAAGTGTCGAATGGATAGAAGAGTTTTGTTCCTGGTAAAGATGATGTATTAGACGTGGGCTTTTATACTCATTGCCATCACTTACCTGACATAACGGAAGCGACTGGAATGAAGAGTTTAGGGACACCTCGTGTATTGTGTGAGGCCCTCGACCGTCTAGACGCGATAAAAATTGCACAGCTTTGTCAAGAAGCCTTAATCTTCGACGGGTAGGACCGGGGGGCTTGTTATTGGTACGTTGCTGCATGAGGTGAGTGAGCAAACCATGAACACGAGGCATAGAAGATTGGAGCGTTGTACTTGCAGTCATTGCGCTCATGACGTGACTCCGATGAGATACAGGAGATATTCCGTTACACAGGAAGGAATTCTGTGCGCTTTATAGTCACTAGTGCCACGACCCACGAGGCAGTTACGCTATTTCTTGACATTTTAGGGCCGCACAGACTGCAATTCATGGAAATTCCTGCACAGGAAAGTCCCTCGTTCGCTCCACAAGTTTATCCTATGCGGAACTTCGTTATAGAAGCATTCAAAGGTACGTACAAAATTAACGCCAACCTCGAGGCCGCAAGTTGGACGCCGGACGCTTCACGTGTAGTCCAGCGATGGGTCCCTGGGGTGCGCCTGGAGACCAGACTAGACTAGACCACATCAGTGAAAAACACAAGGTGCACAGCCGGGCCCACCTTCCCCTTGCACATGGAAGCCCATTTCCTTTAGAAATTAAGTTTGCCTCATTTCCGAGGGATGGTGAGCGCCGGGGCTGTGATCAAGCAAAGTCAAATAGCGCAAAACCCATTATCATTTCTCGGGTAACTAGAATCATGTTCAGCGTGGATATCTAAGTATGGGAAAGCAGGAGAAGTCATTGGAGTGTGGTACATCAGAATGTGGCGGTACGTAGAGCGAATTAAGCTTATCTGAAAGGCGGAGTCGGTGATTGGATAATGTGGACCGTGATTGCTGGCCATTAAATCGATCGAGGATTAACAGGTGAGAATGATCAATGTATGCAATTAAACTGCTCGTCAGGGCCCGGTCAGTGAGAGCCCATGTATCATGCAAGAACATACCTATCAAGAGAGCGAACGACAGCCAATTGTACAAGATTGAAATGTGATTGGAGCATGACGAAAGGATGGAGATGCAGATTTGACGCGAATTAATTGGTGAGTGGCTACGGAAATGAGCGAGGATGCAATGCTGTCCAAAGCATTTCGTTCGTCATGGTGTGCGGTTGGCGGGGACATAACTGGAGCGGAAGACAATCGAACCTCAAAGCGCGTTTTCTCATGCATGTGAATGTGACTAGGTGAGCGTCCAAAGAAAGATGTTGGTCGAAATTAAGTTGCGTGCGCTTGTGCCTTCAGCGGCCAGGCTATTGGGGAGAGATTCGAAACTTACCTGCATAAGGTAGTAGTTCTCCTCAACGTCTCACTGACTCCGCGTCAGATCAATAATGTCCCTAGCCTCTATTTTTACCCTCTTTGCACTGCGGGTAGTGGATATTCTTTCCTCGAGCCTTTTCACCTGTGCCTTTTTGGAGACGGTTTTAGCGCTTCTATAAGCATATCCCAAAAAAAAATCTGACTTTCAGTGCATTGAGCTCACTCAAAGCTTCATTATCTATATCTAAGCCGGTCCCATTGTTGTAATCTTCCGATTCTGGTGCCTCTACGGGAGCTTCACGCTTGGTTCCCCGTGAAGGTTGCATGGGTGACGGGGCAATGCCATCTGCCACGAGTCGATCTAGTAAGGATATATGAGCATCAGAGTATAATTACCGACTGTGTTGTGCACACGAACCAAATGGCCTGTACCTGAAAACAAATGTAGCCGTGGGGGTTATCCCAACGCGGGCCACGTTGATCATCAGCTGAGGTGGAACGCGGATCTCCTCTCCGAAACTAAGATCGTTTGTGACTTAAGTGACGAGATGGAGCAAAACTACGCACCCCACACAGTGACTTGTTGCCTTCTTTGAGCGTTCGTGGACCATTGTTCCCTTAGCAGATACTAAATTTCTTTGGTAGCTCGTGCCAATCACATTCACAGGCCAGATGGCCAAGGAAATTTCTCCGAGCCCGGCATGTGCAGAATTCAAGTGTTGATCTTCATCTATAAGTATGTGAGCCCACTTTTGGAGTCTGATAGTTTTCATCAGATGAAACTGACCCGTCAGCTGAAGCTTCGAGAAGGTAAGTGGACGAATGGAATTCATCGACGTGTTGACGTATTTGAATTCCGTAGTACATCTCTGATACGTCGGTGGCTCATTGAAGCTTAAAGCACGCATTAATTGCCCCCCTCCATGTATGCCATCGAGTGTCACATCTCCTGCTTGGTGATACTGGCGTGGATGATTGATATCTTGCCATACCACAGAGAACGTCTGTAGGAGCAACAGGAGGCGGCGTTGGAAGTCGCCTCATTTACGAAATTCACCAAGTACGCACCTTTCCTGCTTCCGAAGCAATCCAACACGTCACTTTGTTTTCTTCTGGAAAAGTCTCAATTCCATAGCTCTCCAGAGCTTGTCCATCGACCCTGATGCATGCTCGTAGCGTCCCGTAGGATAGCATTAGAGGAAAGGAGAAATAATGACGTGGATAGCTTTCAATCGATGTACACGCGCTTGGCCAGGTACAGGAAGGCGTGCAAGGTGTAACGCGTCTAACTTGGCTTTAACCACTAATTAAATTTGGAACTCAGCGGCACCAAAGAACGCGTTCGCATCACGTGACATTATCCCCAACTCTTGTAACGTACGTTGAGGAGAACCCTACGAATGAATAAAACGTTCTTCACAGCAGCAGACCGACATGTGGCGTTACCTCCCAGGGGCTACGGTCTGGTACTAGGCACAAGAGCGCTCGCGAATACTTACTTTTACTGTGACATTCGCCCGGACCATACTCGCGATTCGCATCTTGGAGATGGTAAATGCTAAGTACTTGTATGTTTGATCTTCGGTGTGGACTGATCTGCTGGTCTAGTAGTTTGGTGATACTACCAGAGCCGTGGCAATGAGGACAGGCTCTACAAAACGGCTTTAATTTGAGTGGGTCATTCACAAATGTACGCCACAATGTGCTGACTTGACATTTCGGTGATGTTCACCTAGGATAGACAATCACGATGCACGCCTGACTCATCCAAATCGATAACACGTGAGGAACAGCACATAGGAGTTGATGCCCGATGTAACGGACCACCAACGTCCAGCGCTTTTGTGCTTTCTTCAATAGGTGTGCGATGGATCATCTTGTGTTATCGGATCATCCCTGGACCAAAACACGAGGTGTCTCTGCGTGGAATCACGGCCACATACATACTAGTGCTCTTCGTGTCAATAAAGTCCGAGGAATTGAAGTAGATCCGGTGCGGCGGCCGGGACTCGACGAAATCCATGTCTATCAAGCAAGGCGTCGTCACTTCCGAGTCGGTGGGGCGCCACTGAACTCCAAACAACACGCTGGTTAAACTCCAAATTTCTGGAGGGGACGCGGAATGCATATTCCTCCTTTCTGAGTCTCAGCTCTGTGACAGATGAGCCGAATGACGCACGAAAACACTGTTTCCACTACTCCTCTCAGCCCCTTTTCAAGAGTTTCACGCCACTTCAGAGAACATCAGGAAGTCACTGGGAGAATCGATGTACGAGTGAATGCCTTCATGTGACATTTCAACCACGAGTGCTGTCATGCAATGTGGCACTCACTGACCAGGCAGGCACAGACAGGCATCGTAGACCACCAGTCGCATGGAACACAAATAAATAACCCTAGCAATTTGAGGAGCCAAAAGAAAAGGATCCAAGTATAAGTATAGGACATCTGATCTAAAACGTGGAATGAGTCGTGTTCGTATATTGACGACAGCATAAGTACCTGCCGGCGGGATTTAACCAAGGCTTCATTTGCGTCAGGCCGGTACCTCGATGGCAGATAAACTTCACGCTCATGAGGATGTTCTTTCTTACTTGATTCGCTTGGGCTTTCGATTCTGAGAGGGTCCCTCTTCTTGATCAACGCAGGTGTTTCAGGTCATTCTGCATTCGTTATGTGATGGCAAAATCAGGCAAATTATTTCGCTTACTTGAAGATTCCGAGTCCTCTAGCAGTCCCGCGGAGCAACCGGTTTCCGGTTCACCCATAGGCAGGGAGCGCTTCCCTCCAATAACCGTTGAGGGCGGTGCTATCTATACCATTAGATTGTAGAACATTCATAGTATTCAACACAAACATCGGAGACACGCTTACGGATGGAACCACAAAATGAATTAAATAGGAGGTTTGTCTGTGAAAACATAAGGCGATCTAGTGGTCGGAGGTCTTTTGACTACTACACCTCCGAAGCTGCAATTGAGATAAGTAAACGAGTCAAGTCCGAGGGCTGTGGCTGCTGCTACTCACATCGGATATAATACAATGTCCCATTAGCCTGAACTTCTTCATTTATTGGTGGACTTTTAGAATTCGGTCGTGGAATGTATGATTGTCAGACGATTTCCCCCCAAGACCATCCAAGGGCAATGTAGGCGCCATCATCTGAATTTCGCTCAGCACCATGAACCAATGAAACAATAGCAAGTCGGCACGTACCGGTCGAGATCAGACGAGAAGATATGAAGTCGCGGGTACTAGGGGCATCACTAATAAGCGTGCGTTCCAGAAGGTGCCAACTCGACTCAGGTACCCAGAGCAGAGCCATAACCACAGTACTGGTACCTGCGGCGTTCGCGCAATCGCGAACATAGTATATACAGCTTCTCAGCATTTCCGATAACGTCACTGCTAGGAATTTGTCGTGGTGAGTTGCCGCATCATTCGGAATGCGAGTTGAGAGGACACCTTTCCTTCCTCGGATGTTGTTATCCGGCACATATCCAGCATGTAAAAGCCTCCTATCCCAAAGGAGGGACGGCGAAACCAAAATATCCGATCGCGAGCTCTGAGCTCGTTTCCATCAATCGCAGCGCCAGGCAGAAAGGTCTCCGAGGAGCATGTACATGAATTACTGCCACCGTAGAAGGAAAGCGGCGATGAACGCTAGTGCGCTCAGTAGTGGAGTAGCAATCTTGAGCTCACTGAAATTGAAACTTCTGCTGCATGCTAAAATTATGTACAGTCTACGAAGACTTGAGATAGCGGGGTTCTAGAAAAAGTATATACTAATAGAAGTTGTAAGCGTAACATCATAACTGGCGGCGGCAGACTTTCAACAAGTTCTGTACCAATGCAAAGTGACTCCATAGGTATCTGTAGCGATGACGATTTCGAAACCCACAGCGGGCTCCATCTTGCAAAGAATCGAGTTTCTTGAAGTTAAATTGCATCATGGGACGTGCCCATTACACTGGGAATCTGGGTTGCTTACCTCGGAGTGGTGGCATAGAAGCCTGAACCCAAGCAAGGATGGATGGAGAAGCTAATCCTCCGTTAAATCAATGACCTCCATAGGGGCGTGTTGCCGTTGCGATCCCCCGTATTCCAACTTGACACGAAAGGGCTTTCGATCCTCTATTTGTTCACGTAAGCGCTGGAGCTCCATCTGCAAGAAAAGAATGAGCAGGAGGGAAAGACACCACCAAAGCGAGAAGTCACCTCTAGCTCTCGAATCCTTGCCAGCGGTTTGACATCATTTGAGGGCGAAGACTCACTAGGCCCATTCATTACCTCAGTTTCATCGCTATGCTCTGTCTTTGCTGCGATTTGTATATTTGACGTCGGTGGTGCCACGCCCATTGCCTGTAGGATGTCTGGGATTGGAAATAGTAGGCTTGAGTGGCAGGCATGCGCGTAGAAGAATGTCATGGCCCACCCAGGCGTGTGTACTTGAACGCGAAGACAGTCGAAGGACTGTTATCAGGTACAAACTTGCAGGATGGCACAGGTCGCCGTTGAACGAGTACTTCTTCTCCGAAACTTAACCAAATGTCAACTGTAAGAAATGAGGCATGAGCCGAAATTCTACGTACGCAACACGATGAGAGCATGCCTTCTTGGAGCGTTCATGCACCTTGCCTCCTCGCACACGAAGGGTGTGATCACTCCCCATCCGAAGTTTCACTACGTCTTTGGTGACTCTGTGATTCCCCAGCCTGAACTTTGAGACAATTTGTCCTATGTCATTCGCAGTTTGATCGTCAAGCATTGAGTCGTCATCTGAACTCGAGTGTTGGAATTAGCCTATCTGAACACTTTTTGCATACTGACCAGTAAGCTCGATGTGGGAGAACATGAAATCTCTGCTGACGTAGTTGTCGCTCAGACACGTGTATTCCATCATATCGACCCAACCCAGGGCCAGAATGCGATTACGACATTGCACACCGTCAACGGAGACAGTTGAACAGACACTCGAAGATTGCATAGCCAAAACCTTTATCCTGACTCCAAATTTCTTATGGAGACATCAATAAGGTCTTGACATGTAAATTTATCACACACCTTCCCTTCTTCTGACGCGATCCAGCACGTAATTCTGTTCTCCGTTGGTGTGCTGGAAACGACGACATCATACTCTGGGAGCTCCTGGCCATCAACGATTATACAAGCAGAAAAGTCTCCCAGAATCATGACGCAAGGTGGACAGCAGTATTTCAGATGGCGAGATGCAACCTGCAGGATGGAATATTATGTAAGTTAAGATATTAGCATTGCTTGAAAGAAACATAGACTTTGATAAAGGAGTCAATTTTGAATAAAGGGATAAGCGAATAAAAGAAAGGCCTTTCAATTTAAATTATAACAGGTTATGTGCAGCATGCGGAGGAGGAGTGTCACGGTCGCGGAGAATTCTCTCGCGTCTACGACGTGTAGTCATTGATATGCACGCGCGCGCGAATTTGTACTCCGTGCAGATTAACGAGAAGGGACTCACTGAGCGGTTATCTTGGACTGACAAAACAAAAAGGATGCCACTTGCGGGATTGATGAAGGTTCCAACGTTCACGCGCACACCTTGCAAAAGCTAAGCCTTGAGGCAGTGGGAGACCCTGTGCACGTGGTCAAAAGTTTGAACTTTGCAAACGTAATTTCGCGGACGTGCAGATTCCAGAAGAACATATGTATTGATTTGATCGATCTCGTGTACACCTGTCCAGTATTACAGGTCTGACATGTTTATTAAGGTCGGGTTGCAGCGCACTCCCCTTCCACATGCATGCCCTGGAATTCAGTGGGATTGCTGATACATAGTGACAAAGTAGAAATGATTAGATTAACAACTATGACCAGCGACGACAAACAAAAGTTCAGGAAGTCGGCCCCAAGTACAAAGACATATTCACAACGATAGTGAATGAAATACCAAAATTCAAACTCCACTGAAAGTATACGTACACCCGCACGCGCTCCACCTTGCAGAGAATCGAGTTCCTATAGTCGAATTGCATGGAGGTGTGAGCTACAGATCATTATCTGTGATAGCTTACCTCAGAATGGTGGAACAAGCCTGGACCCAAGCAATTGAGGGCATAAGTTAATCCTCAGTCAAATCGAGGATCTCATTAGTAAATGTGGGTTGCCGTCGCGATCCCCCACATTCCAACTTCACGCGTGAGGGCTTCCGATCCTCGGATGAGGCTAGCTGCGCACGTAGACGTAGAAGTTCCGTCTGCGACGAGAATGAGTTGGAAAACTCTGCCGATGCCCAAAGTTACCTCAAGTTGTTCGATTCTTGGCTTGATGTCCTTTGAGGGCAAATCAGGTCCATCAAACACCTCGATTTCATCATCATGATTCTCTGTCTCTTCGTCGACTGAACTCTTTGTGGCCGACGGCGCTATGCCCATTGCCTGCAAAACATCTAAGATTAAAAGCCGGTGTGAGTTGCAGATGTGCATAGAAATTATCTTGGCCCACCCAAGCGCGTGTATTTGAACATGAAGACAGTCGCAGGATGGTCATCCGGTATGATGGTATAGGATGTGACATCACCGGCATGACCAGACCGACGTGCCATTTGACGGGGATATCCCAAGCTTAATCAAAGGACAATTATATAAAAGGAGCCAAGGGATGATGTTCTACGCACGCAACACGATGAGAGTGTGCCTTCTTGGAGCGTTCGTGCACCTTGCCTTCTTGCACACCAAGAGTGTGGTTTTTCGACTCACTATGTTTTACTATGTTTGCCTTCACATACTCGCCTGTTTTTACCTCCAATGCGATTTGACCTATGTCATTCGCATTTTGATCATCGAGGATTGCGTCGTCATCTGAAGTTCAGTTTTGGGGGAGGCTCTAAGGCTGGACACCTATTTTATGTACTGACCGGTAAAATCGATGTTTGAGAACATGAAATCCCTGCGAGCCTGACTCGTGCGTTCCTTCGTACCAATCCAGCCCGAGGGCACAGTTTGTCTACCACAGCGAACTCCGTCAACGGAGACGACTGATCGGACGCCCGAGGACTGCTGAGCTAAAATCTTCCACCTGATTCCAAATTTCTTATGGAGGCATTCAAATATTTCGCCCTCAAATATGAAGCATAACACACCTTTCCTTCTTCCGATGCGATCCAGCAGGTAGTTCTGTTTTCTGTCGGTGTGCTAGAAACGATGACATCATACTCCAAGAGCTCCTGGTCGTCAATGAAGACACAAGCAGAGAAGTCTCCCAAAATCATAGCAGTAGTACTAATATTTCACGGTCTTTGTTGAAACACGCAGTAGCAAAGCTTGACCAGTGCACGTGAGGTCCATGGTCAAAAATTACACTTACTGCATGAGCAGTAGATCACGTGCGATACAGTGACAGCTTTCCTGCCCATCCGGATTCCGGACTCAGTTGAATTCACTTCATACATGCGGCCTCGCGTTTTCTTTGACTTTGCAATAGGCACTGAGCCTGCAGGGCGGTAATTAACATCCCTATATTGCACTGGTTTTATTGTCTCATCACTTCATCCCAGAGTCGTTTTTGAACTGTACAACGACACAGCACCAAAGACAGCTGAAAAGTAAATGAATGTTCATGGTGTGTAGCCCTGATCTGACCACCTTCATAGCTTTCGGGCACTATGTACGGGCGAGAAAGGCCTTTCTGCAGTTTCCGAACGGCCTCTGTACTACAAGAATAGCATCATTCACCGTTCCATTCGTGATTTTATGGTTCAAGGAGGAGGTGCGCCATTCTATCACTTCATTATTGGGCGTTACTCATAGTCATCAGACTTTACGAAACGAAATGGCGCAGGGGGAGAATCCATCTACGGCAGTGCATTCCCTGACGAGGACTTGACGCGCCCTTTAGAATCAGAAGGGTAGGTACACCATTGAATACCTCAATCCTTCACTCATTTCATGGTACAGCCTTCTTTGTATGGCCAACAAGGGACCTAACACCAACGGATCACAATTCTTCATTACCCTGCGAGATTGTCCGCATTTAAATGGTGAGCCTTTGTTCCAGAAAATCCACATGCGCCTTTAATGTGAGACCCGCACAGGCAAGCATGTCGTGTTTGGCCGGGTCATGCGCGGATACGACGAAGTTGTGAAGAAACTGGCCGTGGTTCCTGTAGATGAGAAGGATAGACCTCAGCACCCTATCGTTATCGTCAACTGCGGTGAACTTGAACTTAAGAGGAAGGCAGAGGCGTCTCAAGGTGCGCCCTTCTCTCTAGAAGCTCTGATAAAGCGGCTGATATTTCATGCAAGGTGAAGAATTAAATACAGAAATTCCTAGTCGAAGACACCGCAGCAGTCGCTCGCGCTCACGAAGTTCAGATCATGATCGAAGCACTCAAAAGAGGAAAAAGTCCAAGCGCCGAAAACATGAAAACAAAAGGGATACCAACACAGACGACGAGGTTCGCAAGAACGAAGATGAAAAAGTTCCTAAGCAAGAAACTGAAGAAGAGTATGATGCTAGACTTGAAAGGGAGGAGCAGGAACGGTTAGATGAGGCTAAGCAAAGGGAACTGGAACGGATCAAGCGCAAATATGAATCTACGCCGCCTGCGACCGAAGGAGGTGTACGATTTAAAGGTTGGTCATCTTCAGCTGTGTTTTCACGTCAAATTCTGAAGCAAAGCGTCCAGGACGAGGACGAATGAAGTTCATCGACCCCGAACTTCACCATCGACGATAGAAGATCATGTTCACATTATGTTCTATAGTTTGCCACACCATGCTCATTAAAATCACCCGCAATACCCCAAATCACAAAATGTCATGGAAATCAGAGCAAGTGTGGAGATAAAAAAAGTCATAAACACAATACACTACACGCTTACTTCTGTGACCTGCTCGGTAACTTCGTCCATGGACGACTCTTCCTTCTCTTCAGCCCTGGCGTCTGCTGCATCCTTCTTCGCGCTAGCAGCGCTGGCGAAGCTAATCGATGGTCTGATGTTTGCCGAGGTTGTTGGTGTAGCATGAGAGATACGCGGAGATCCAGGGGTAGGTGGCGTAGCGATAAGCTGGGGCGGTGACCTTGTAGCAGTAATAGGACTTCGTTCAGTCGCTTGACGGGAGGAGTTGCGCGACATTGGGTGCGGAACACGTTCCTTCAAGGCTTCACGGTCCTTCTCAACACGGGCAGTAATTTCACGTTCTTTTGAGGTAACATCAACTGGTCTGCCGAGAATTTGAGCACTTGACGGGCAAAATGTCACAAAAAAACAGACCTGGCTGCGCCGAAAGGACTAGCTTTGGGAGCAGGCGGGGCACCGGGATTAGAAGCCATTTTCGGAGAAGAGAGGGGGGGAGGGACTGGCAGAGTTGGAAGAACGAGGGAGAAGCTCGAGCTTGCGGCGACCCATTTGGGGTGTAGGAGGGGTAGAATTGGTTGCTGTTATCCTAGGTTTCAACCCAAACTCTAACTATGTGCTGGAGGAATGATACTTACGCGACGTTCTTGATCGCCCAGCGCGCCAGTCGCCGTCGTCGGCGGGCGGCTCTCTCACGTGCTGCGAATCATGACTGCCTCTCAAACTGCCAAATCTCGATGGCGGGTCTTCGGCCGAAGGCTTGAACTTGCTCCCAAGAGCCCATTTCTCCTCGTTGTCTGCAGGCGATTGACCTTCGGGTGTGGAGAATCCTGAGCCCCTCCGCTTAAATGACGGAGCCTCTGGTTCAGGGATCTTTGCAAGAGGCTTACTCGACCTCCACTGGCTGACCTCGTCCGAGACACTAGGCGGAGGAGGCATGCGATCTCCTGGAGGACCATCGAACCGACGTCGGGAAGAATCGCGTGAATCTTGCACGGGTGGGGGACCTTCACGACGCCAGTTACCAGAAAACTTGGTGTCGTCGTCGAAGGAAGACCCTGAGAATCCCGACCTTTCCTTTGCTGTGAAATGCTAAGCCTTGGAAGCCTTGAAAGAGTGTCCTCAGAACTCACGAGGCTCGGCGACGCTGGTACGAACTGTACGTCCAGAGAGGCTCTAGAAGAGAATCAACTACAGCACTGAGAAAACAGACGACACGTCCACTGACACTACCGGTCTTTGCCAATGCATCTTTTAATCCATCAAGCTCTGCGAACTCGACATATCCAAAGCCTTTCGGTTTGTCATCACGGTCCTTGATGATTTTGATGGATTTGGTCTGACCGAAAGTCACATTACGTCATGGATATCAGGCCGCAGAACACACCTGATGAGGACCAAAGAAGCTTTCAAGTTCACCTTCGGTGATGTCGAAGGAGAGATTTGCGACGTAGGCGGTGTAAGGGGGTTGGGTGGGCAGGGGGAGATCTTCTCGGGGCGACGCAAACGATCGATCGGCTACGTAGAGCGTGAATCGATACGAATCACGAGACTCATGACGAGAACTTACGCCGCGACGAAGAAAAGTCGTCCCTTCTTCCAAACCGATCACCTTGACGAGCTCTGTCATCGTCCGTTCTTATCGACGCTGGGGAAATTCCGATAAGCTAAATCCGCATGAGAATAAACAAGGACTTACGAGCACTCGGAAGAGAGTCCATCTCATCCGCCCATGATCCCAGCGCTACCCATCACATTACAACTGCCTTTTCATGAAAAATGACCAACGCACTGCTATCGCCGAGAAATTCATTGAGAGACATCTTTGATGCCTTTGATTTTTTAGGCGCTGAATTTCTGTGAGCTTTGCGATATTTGACATTAGGAAACGACTGACCCATGATTGAAAACCTTGTGCAGTACTTTTCACTGTATGATCTGTCGCTAGCTAGCTTGGATAAGTAGCAAAAAGCAAGAAGGAAATAACTTGGCGGCGGCGACCATAAGACTTTTCCCACGCTCGTGTCCTACATAGATAACACACGGACCAACACCGCAGCAGACGTTGACAACATGATCCTCCTCGAGGTGAGCAATGTCGGAGAGCTCCTTTGAGGATGTGTGTTCTGATGGCCGCTAGTCCCATAATCTCATAATTCAGACAACGCTTGCTGAGAAGATCGCAAAGTGAGACTGTCATTGACTGACACGCGCACTGGCACACTAATGAGATATCCAGGCCGTCGTCTCTCGATGTTCTCTTTGTAGATTTTGATGGCGTGAGGTTTCATCTTTCTACGCCGGAAAAGAAGACAGTGGTTCAGCTTTCCATGAATATCCGATGCTGGGATGAGCTAGTTGCATACGGCGCGATGCAGATATTGCAACGGGAATATGGCCCGCTCATTAAGCAGCAGACAGAGCCAGAATATAACATCAGTCTTGATATAGATATTGATCAGGTCCCAGCTGATGAAGGTACGTATCGCTCAACTCATGTGTTTGTTTACTCAATCGGTGCCAACAGAAAGCAGAGAAGCATTTGTAAAATCTATCTCGCTATTCAAGCGGAACGCTCTGGCGGCACCATTCGAGCTCGCGTTTAAGCAGCAAAAAGAGTTGGAAGCAACAGGTGGTGCTCAGGGGCAGTTAATGCAGATCCACTATCGCGACGAAGAAGCCATCTACATTCAAGCATCGCCCGACCGTGTCACTGTGATATTCTCGACAGTCTTCAGAGAGGAGACCGATCGTATTTTTGGCAAGGTGTTCTTGCAGGTAAGAATACTCCATAGACTTCCGCATCATGCCTTACTTTGCAACCAGGAATTTGTGGACGCACGACGACAGCCTAGTATTCAAAATGCCCCCCAAGTGCTCTACACCAACCGCGACCCACCCTTAGAAATCCGTGATCTCGCAGGTCTACGGAACACTGATGACATCGGCTATGTCACCTTTGTTCTCTTCCCTCGCCACTTTGCGAATGCCGACATCTCGTTCAATACGATATCGCACGTACAGTTATTCCGTGATTATCTGCACTACCACATCAAGTGTTCAAAGGCGTACATGCACTCCCGTATGCGTCATCGTGTAGCCGAGTTCCAGAAAGTCCTGAACCGCGCGAAGACGGAGGCTGCAACAACTGAACGCAAGACTGTCACGTATGTCAAGCGTCCTTCGTTAAGTGTCCAGCTAACGGTGTGGTACAGTGGCCGAACTATGACGAATCGGTGAGATGGACGGACGAGGTACCTTACCCAGCGTCATGTAACTTTAGTTTTATATTCGTCAAGACTTCTCCTTTGAAAATCAACCTACTATACAGCTATGGTTCTCAACGAAGGGATTCCATTATCTTTGTCGCGAACCACAAGTTGTGGTTTGCAGAGAATTCAAGGACACCTACCGACATTTCTCTCGAGCATTTGACAAAATTGACATTCTTTTCTCTTCTCTCCATGGTGCAGCCCGCAGTTGCCAGTCAGCCCTGCAGCATCTCAGACTTGTTACTGACCTCCACAGGCAAATTACTGGCTGTAAGCTCTCATATATCTCGTTCGGTACGACATCGCGCTTACAGCTGTTCTTCGACTATCCGCGCTACTACATCAATCGTGCAAAGGCATACGTGCACTCTCATACGCGTCATATGTATGCTATATTAGAGTTGAGTGTGTATTGCGATGTTGTTGTTCGTTGTCGGTGCACATGAGCTGTCTCAAACCTGAGGTACTTCTGGGCGGCCAGCACCGTGCTGCAGCTGGCTGATCAACCCAAGATCAACCCCGCAGTGATATTAATAACGCAGTTCTAAGAAGCGCTTGCGCCGGGGCTGTCTCCATGTTGAACATGAGACAGTGGTGTATGATATAATAAAATGATACAAATCCCCAGAGTACTATTCCTGATCCACGTAGGTGCTGTCAGACATCCCTGGTCTTCAGTAAGACTGCAACTACAAATATCTCCAGCGTCTTGACGTTCATCATCTCATCAGCGCAGAAGCCGCATCCCTGACTCGTGCTATGATATTCTTCACCACGCTTCTGCACTAGCAAAGCCTGCCAAAAGGTTGAGCAAGGCGAACGAGCAACCTCAACTCTGGCGTAGCCTGCTCATTGTCTCTAAGAGATCAACTGAGCGGATCATCTGACGGAGACCCAGGCTCAGGCTCACCATCCGTCTTGCCTGCAAAGTTGGGCAGCTCGAGATCATGACGATTCCAAGCACGGATCAGCAAGAATGTCTGCCGAGTAGGCCTTGAGGGCCAGAATTGAACTAGCTCGTCTTCCGTTGTGACCAGCAGGTCTTGTAGCCCGGCTGCATTGACGTCATGAGTCATAGATAAAACATTTGTCCCCATCTTGAATAGGCCTCAACCTAATTTCTGTGAGAGGATATACAATGCAAGATAATTGCAGTCTAGCGTTCGCGAGCCGAAGTACGCTGAGGTACTCTAGGAGGGTATACAGTCTCGAAGCTGATTCCACAGTCACACTATTTCGCGACGTGGAGACCAATTTCTGCATCTTGTCTTCGGATAGAGATAGTGACAAGCATGGCGGAGCTTTCCTTTCGTGGGGGACACGATAGTATGGCACATGAGGGAAAGACCCCACGCTCGTCCACCCAAAGAGGAATGTGAGCTTTGAAAAAAGAGAAAAGGATTAGAATAGGACGAACGCGGACGTTCGGAGGGGTCGTTCTCGGTGCGTCCGTCTTTGTTTGTCGCCATGGTAGTGTCGTGGTACTTTGTAGATTGTGCAACAGCCGTGTTTTCAACCAGCTGTGTTGACTTGTTCTCTTGCTTGTCCTCATCCTCAGGCTCGTGCCCTACAACGCCAAACCCAGACTTCAACGGCCATGTTCGACTTAAAAGATATCAACCAGTCAATACGTCACGTTCAGCCTGAAAAGCAGCAACACTGCCCACAGTGTACCAGCGCGCGAGAAAAATGACTGTTTACCTTAGTGACATTGTGAATGCGAGTCAGGAGAAAGTGCAGCAGCGGTGAAACTCACCTGTTCACGTGATATCATCTCTGGCCTCTTCCCTTGCCACTTTGTGAAATTGTGAATCCCGCCGAGTCGTTCAACACGACACACTTGCAATCTTCAATAAGTTCATTTGAAGGCATACGTGCGCTCTTGAGCTGAGTTCTCAGATCTCAGTTCCCGCGTCGCTAAACGCGAGTCGGACTGTCACGTGCAGTCTATTGAGGTGTTAGTTTGGTACAGTGGACTCCTTGGTAGTTTGCTAGTAGCAGGAGATTTTGGACTGTCTTCAGCTCCTCGTCAATGGGCGTTATTTTCTCACGCCTACAGTCATTATGAACGGCGAGGAGACGGTCACAACTGATTCGCAACCTGCGGCCCCGCCGTCAGACTCGATACGGATAACAAGGCAAGGCAAAATTAGACACTGGGTCAAGCACGGACTGGACTTTTTTCAGGTTGGTTCCCAAGTTGGCCCTTCCCTTGACCATTCATCTGACATAACATGAGCTCAGGAAAATCTTGACAAGCCACTGACGCTGCAAACTTCCCCAGCCGATGTCACTCAATCTACCATCCCTCGGTTGATTTCAGTTGTGGAGATCCTGAAGCGTGAATATCTGAAAACCTTGGATGTTTCCTCTGGACAGCTGACCGGGCTACATCAGTACAATGAACTACAATGGGAGCGACGCGGCGAAATCCCTGCTGAAGGGGAAGATCGAGCAAGTAGCATAGCAAGAGCTTTGGAAGGTAAAAACCAGTGCGTGTTTCGCGTATGGGAGCTGGTGCTCAGGCTGACGAGGAGACAGTCCTAAGCTCACGCTTACGCCTTATATGAAAGTCACACTGTGCACGAAGGCTCTTGAAGGAATGCACGAGAAGAAAGATGTGACGCGAGTGTCATCTTTGCACAAATTGTTGTCCGACCTGACAAGCTTGCAGATACCAGACACCACAGACACGACGACTGTCCAAAAATACAAAGGCGAGATTGAAGAAAAAAGCACTTAAGCAGCAGACCGCTCTACCTTAGTTTTTCCTATAAATTTGTACCCAAATATTGACAAGGTCTGAGTAAAATTCCCAGGGGGGTTTCGATTCGTTGATTCGTCCAAGTTGAGAACTCAAGTTTACAATTATTCGTCCTGGACGAGCTCTTCAAGCTGCTTCGTTCTGCTAAACGTCGTGCCCATCGTCAGTAACGGCGACGGCATTCACAACCAACTAATTTCAGTCTAAACTTGGTTTTAAACACTTTCTAGTAATCGCTGGACAGGTTGTGCAATTGAACATCGCCTGAACAGCCGAAGGATCTCCGACCTTTTTATAAAGCCCTAACTCAGCTGCGCGCATGCCTCGCCGCACTTCTGCTCGCCTTACCTCCTCCGTCACTCCACAAGCACCTTCAGTTTCTTTTCAACTTCCTGTCTCAGATGCAGATCCCAGTATCCTTCAGCTCAGGCGACACTGGAAATGGGCCGCCTTCAGCCAGTTCTTCTTCACATTTAATGCTCTGTTTGCCTTGAATGACGTGACCTTGATCGTGAGTATCGATTATGCCTGCATCTGGAGCATCATCTTATCTTTCTAACTATCACAGGACATCGAAAATGACCTCGCATACTCTACCAACCGCGTTTTATCTCGCATCATGACACGATTACTTGTCACGTTAACGCAGGACAGAAAAATATCGTGAGCTTCCCTTCAACGTGTCTCTTGGTCCAACTCTCATCATCTGACGAATGTCGATCTACCAGTGTCAATAACTGGCAAACTGTCCTGCGAAAGCAATATATGAGACGCGACCCAGACGAAAATCCCATAGGACCCATTCAGCAAATATACGCAAATGCCGCAGAGTCCTCGCGTGCATCCACTGCTCCCCCATTCCCATCCGAAACCGCAGAAGAGTTGGTCCAAGAGGAGGCAAAGAAAAGCGTGACGCACGAAGACGGAGCGTCTGCTGACGGTGATGCTGTCCCGGATGATTCTGCGGATGCGGTTGAAGACAAGTCGGAGGAAACCAAGATCGATGATTTGAAGGATGAAGCCACTGCATCTTCCTCAGAGGTTTTACAGGACTCCGAGCTACAACAGCAGATTGACTGGCTCGACCTGTCTACGGTCAAGAAACTGGACTCCCTACACACTCTTATGGAATGGCAGTTTCATAATCCTAATCGTCTACGTACCCAGATGAAAGACGACGACGAGAATGCGCAATGGGTACTATTATGCCTGCTTCATATTCCACTTTACTAACCAGTCCTTATAGCGCATAGAGCCGATAGGATATGACGCCAAGCGTAATGCCTACTGGCTCATAGGTGGTGCGTGCTATTCTCTCGTCTCATTACCTTTCTCTTGACCTAGGTTCAGCTGACCGTCTGTGGATTCAACGTGAACCTCCACGTCCTATTCTCAAACGTAAGCGGCTCGCAAACCCCAACACGTCGAAATCCACTGGCAAAAAGTCTTACAACAAAAACAAACGCCAGCGAGTCGATCCAGAACCAGAGCCCACGCCTCCACCCACAACGCCCGCCAAACCATCTCGCCGGCGCAATCAAGCACAGGCACAGAACTCCAGCCCGTCCGGTTCACGCGGTACCCGCGCTGCCAAAGCACGTGCAAATCAGAAGCTCGATGCACAGGCGAAGGACCTTGCTGAATTCCAGCGTCAGATGGCTCGGAGCAAGTCTGCTAATGCCAGGCCTCTGACTCCACGTCGCCCTTCTGGGATTCGACTGAGTGCGCGGTTGCGCGGTACGTTGGCAGAGGATGAGTGGCAGGAGGTGCCAGAAGAATGGCTTTCTCCCACCGCCCAAGACGGAGAGGAGGGAGAGGAGAAGACGCCGCTCAAGGCTAAGGCGAGGCTGAAAACAGGGCTTGAGAGTGATGAAGACTCGGTCAGCGATCTCACGGAGCTTAGTGAGGACGATGACACAAACGAGGGGAACGCCCAAGAAGAAGCCGACGGAGAAGAGGATAAAGAATCTGGCGTTAAAGATGAAGAGTCCGAAGCGGAATTTGTTCCGGTTCCTGATAAACCAAACGGCAAAGTTGATATTGATGAGGAAGACGAGGAGCCTCCATCTCTTCCCGAAGGTTTCGTTGAATGGGAGACGGTGAGTTATTTATGAGCGATTAATTAAAGTCATTTCATATTCTCCCCTTCATCGTGAACAGATCTGTATCACTCTCGAAGAGTGGGAGAGCTTCCCCGAGCAATTTGAGAAAGCCACTCACTATGCCGAGAAGTCCCTGTATAAGGTATTGACGCAGAGCATCGTCCCGGAAATAACCGCTGAGCTCAGGGTATGTGTCCCGCTCCATTTGATCTTAGGAAGCATTGATGTCAATGTTATTTTAGGAGGTGGAGAAGAAGAAGCGCAAGGAAGAAGCGGTCGTGCATCGCAAGCGCTCATCTCGTATTGCTATCAAGGAAAGTGAGAAGGAGCAAGAAGTACTAGCTGCGAAGAAGCGCGCAGAGGAAGATGAGAAGATGGGTCGAGCTCGAAGGGCTGAAACGCGTCGACAAAAAGAGGAAGCGGATCGGATTAAGAGGGAGAATGCTAGAGAGCAACGCAGAAAGGAGCGAGAAGCTAAGCAAGTTGCAGAACCTGAAGCCAATGCCAGGTACAAATATTTTGCACTAATCCTATGTGTTTCTAACGTCTTGATAGCGCCGACGCGGTAATCGATGTCGTGAGTCAAGAGCCTTCCTCGTCTGCCATACCACCTGGGCAGATGGGCAAGTTTCCATCATTGTCTGTTCCTGTTACCACCAATGGAACAGGCGCTGCTAGCAGTGGATCGCGGACGCCAGCCGAAGACTGGGAGCTGGATTGCGAGGTCTGCGGCAGACAAGGGATTAACCGGGTTTGTCTCTTTTTCATCCCGTATTCTTGCGGCTTCACATTTTGCGATAATTTTAGGATGACGGCGTTCCCATCATGTGCTGTGGTCGATGTTCGAAGTGGCAGCATATAGGGTGCCATGATCAACGAGACATCACTGCAGGTCGCCCGAAACGTAACTGGGATGCCGAGGACTTCATCTGCAGAAGGTGTCATGCGTCGGGATCCAGATCTTCCTCATTTAGCAACAGTCAATTACCGACACCAACCGATCTGAAAGCAGTTTATGGTTCAGTTGGAACGCAGCCCTACTACAGCAGCCAGCAGAGTTACTCCCATAGCCGCTATCCCAACGGAAGCTATTACGCTGGCGGCGCGCCAAGTGGGAGATACAGCTACGAACACCAGTCTGACATAAGGTCATCTGGTGTACCTTCTCAGTCTTATACTCAAGCTCCCCGTACTCCTGGCGTCACGTTTGCGCACTATCAACCTCAGCAAGGAGGATTTTCGACATCGCGTCCATCTTATTCCATTCAAGAGCCTGTTCCTGTAGCTCAGCAGACTCGCTATCCGCAGTCCACATCTCCGGTCACTGGTGTAAGCCAATATCCCGGGTCCTTACAGGTGACTTGGATTTATTTTTCACAAACGATATTCTGACCTATTCAAAGACCCATTCATCTCCTCACGTCCAGGTGCAGCCCCAACACCGGTGGCAACCCTCCAGCTATTCTCGGAGCGACGCATCTTACAGCATGAGTGCAGCTGTCCCGCCTTCTCCATACACCTCCCAACAGCAACCCTACTATCCTGGAACCTCCTCCTCAAGTACCTCAGCTCCGTTCTCTCAAATGCATGGTGCGAATCACCAATCCGTGCCACAGTATTCTGGATACCAACACACCGCTCCTTACCAACAAAGTAGATGAGTTTGTTACATACGTACGCCCTTTTTTTTCGCAGGGAACACTTTGATTTATCGAGATATTCGTAAGTAAGAACTGCAAGTACATAGTTGGTGGGGGGGGGGGGGGATGTAGAGTACTGAAACGTGTTGTAATGAATGTGCCTCGCCGGGCTGGAAGTGAGGGTTCTGATATGTAGCTTGACCATGAATTTGAAGGTGTTGAACTAGACCTGAAAGTCTCTGGAACTTTGGGAGCATGTTCCACAAGTACTTTCTCACTGAAAGACACATGAGCACGGATTTCAGAGACACCTTAAATTTGATGTGATCCATAATCCGTCTGTGAGTGCACCATAATGCCGTTTCCGCCAAAGGACTGGAAACGTCTACTACGAAGACCCAATCCATCATCATGTTCCCGGACATTTGGATTATGACATGTTAATATCTTGAAATTCATGGGCACTACCTCCGACTTCGGCACATGTGCTTGGAAGCTCCATGAATAGCCAACGGCACTGACATCGTTTCTCACTCTGAAAAACGAGACGCTGGCGTCTGTCGACCGTTTGATTCTGCTGAGATATGAGAGGTTCATCTCTAGTATGTATATGACTGCCAGACCTTCATGTCCACCTTCTCACTCGTACCTACGACACCGTCCACTATCTCCTTGAGTCCTTCCTGAAATAATCGCTATTAACAGACGTAGCTGCGGCCATGTCGAATATGGTTTCGCCGACGCCGAGGAAACGATCAGCAAATGAGCGCATAGTGGGGTCTGATATCAGAGTCGTGTCAACGCTGAAAAGTGCATGAGCCGACGAAAACAGATGCCATTCACATTAATGTTGGGTGGGCAGCACGAGACACTCACGCGAATCCACTCGACCTCCGGATGCCGGCGACGACAGTTGAAACTAGTACTGCGTCTACAGCATAATGCACGATTCTGCCTAGTGCCATGTGATGATAATAAGTGCGTCAAGCAGGAGGTGTGCTAGCTTGGTTAATGGTGGTTAGCGATTAAGAGTTGTCTACGGGTGAGTCTATCGCAAAAGGAAACTCTTCCCGAGAGCCAAGTCAACGCGTCACGGTGCCGCCGGCAAATAACCACAATTTCGATACGTGCAACCGTAACCTGAAGTTCATTTGGGAGTCCTGCACCCATCGAATCCGCTTGTTCAGATACTTAGCTTGGTGCAGCACGACTACAAGCATCAGACAGGATCAACACTAAGACTATGTCGGAGACTCGAAGTTCAGCCGAAAGCTAAAGCTACCCCAAGTCAATTTGCATGAATTTCTTCGACAAAGACATTGTGCAGCGTGCACCAACAGGGAGTTCACAGTCACTGGGTAGTTTCGGTTTGTGATGACTCGCGTGAGTGTGCGCTTGTTCGAACTCATTAAACATCTCGATCGTTACATAGGCTGGACTTGAGACGTCTGCATCAGATTTCAACTTGAAAACACTGCCCATTCTGTCACGTAGCAAGAAGGTGCGCAATGACAAAGACTAAGACACTGCCAATAATCTATCAACAGTACGTATCGGTAATTTGACCGTCGCAGTATTCTACCGATAAAACTTGAAGAAGAAATGGCACACCCTGGTGAGATCAATTTAAATCCTTCCACAAAAGCAGTGGTGTAGTGATACTCCTGCTGGGACGCTTGCGACAACATAACGGGCCAACGATATGTGCTCAAATCATATATATAGTGACCATCACGTTTATTCTTGTATCAACACCTCTCACAGCCCCTTGGCCGCTCACTCGCATAAGCTGCTCATTCTTGCACCTATCATTGAGGGCTCTCTGGGAGGATGGTCGACCTTGACCGGTGCTAATACGGCCTACATCGTTGATTGCACATTTCCTGGTTCGCGTGCAACTATTTTCTCCCGTTTCACTGGCGTCCTCTGTATCGGACTTGCTCTTGGGCCCATGCTCGGTGCATGGCTGATCAGGCACCCGATCCCTTTTCTGAATTCTGGAAACGGTACGTCGGATGACTATTTGATCGGCCGAATGCTTAAATAGCAACGAAAGCCGAGCACCCACTACAAAGCGTCACATCAGTTTTCTGGGTAGCGATTGCTTGCTCTTTCGTGAATTTAATTTTGGTGCTCTTTGTGTTCCCCGAATCGCTTCCCGCTTCTCGTCGAGCGTCAAATAGGAAAGGTAAGGGTCGAGCTGTTGAGAGTAGTCCAATCTTCCCTATCAGTACGTGCATCACTGCATTGGCTACCTGCTCTTGCATTCAATTCTAAGCGTATATTACAGGCAAGGCCGATGAATCATCCCAGGGATGGGTAGCAACTCGCATCATCCGAAGATTCCTATCACCCCTCGCTGTCTTCCTCCCGTCCCACGTTCCTGTGGCTGCTAGCGCCACTGGAGACTCACTCGTGCCCTATCGCACACGGAAAGACTGGGGTCTGACATTCATTGGCCTGTCGCTCTTCTCGCACATGCTGGCTTCAGGGATCTTCCAGATCAAGTACCTCTACGCGGAACATATCTACGACTGGGCAGCTGAACAACTGAGCTACTATATCTCCTTCATGGGGGCTTGCCGTGCTTGGCACTTACTCGTCTTGCTGCCATGTGAGTTGACTATTTGGTCACGTCTGCCAATTCCGATGATCAGCAGTCCTTCTCTTAAAGTTCAAGCCCGTCCGCGCTGCAGTTCCCGCCACAGATGCACCTGCAAATCCCGCGGCGCCTACGTCAAAGCCCAAGCCCACAAAGTCTCATCTATTCAGCGAAATGCAGTTCGATCTCCGCGTTGTGCGGTACTCCATGCTCATCGACTTCCTTTCGCACGCGCTAGTTGTCATTGCGCCTCTGCCCTCACGCGGTGCGAATGATGCTTGGTGGTCCCAGTTCATGTTCCGTGGGTGCAACGTCGCTCTCGTGCGTTGGCGCGGGGTTGATGCCAGGCATGCAAAGCCTCGCATTGTGCACCCTCCAGGGACGTGCGCTTGCTACCAAGGAAGCTGCTGTCCGTACAGGCGAGGCTCAGGAGCACGACAACGACGCTGGGTTGGAGCCTGGAAAACTTTTCGGCGCTCTCGCTGTCCTGCAAGCCATCGGCCAAACTATCCTCGGGGTGAGTGGCGTCCTTCTCATCTGAGACGCATTCTAATCGAGGGTCTGCAGCCCATGCTCTTTGGTGTCATCTACAGCAGCACCATAGCCTCCTTCCCCAAGGCTATTTTCGCAACGGCCAGTGGCCTGGTACTGCTATCAATCGCGTTCACCATTCTCGTCAGGCCAGATGTTAGTCTCTCCATGAAGAGACCCAAGGTCGCAGCCAAAGGAAAAACTGCCACTCGTCCTTATGGTGCGAAGCCAAAACGGAAATATCAGGAGCAGAACCGTGGTCGGTCGCGGGTGAGCAAGGATCTTAGGGGTGGCGCTGCACGAGCAGACTATGATGCAAGGTTTGATGCTAGTGATGAGGCTAGCGGTTCGGGCTCGTCAGTTTGAGTGCTTGATGTGGAGTCGTGGTGGTATTATTGTGCAAGGATTGGTTAATACATATAATAACATTTAGGTCGCTTGCTGCAGCGGTGAGATAGAAAGCGGGATATATAGTATAGTCGCATGTAGTACTAGTTGGTCTAAAGATATGTTTATGGAGCCTCTGACCTAGTAGTTATCATGTCAGAACTCGAAAACTCGGACGGGACAAGTTTTGAGATGACGTTCTCTTAGGCGATCATCGAGCGAATTATCATGATATTCAATCCAAGAGCGAGCGAGCAGGCAACGAACTTCATCATCAAAGGGGATTGTTATTAAGTACAAGAAAGCGCAAAGCAGTAAGGAAAACAAGTAACGTATATATATAACAAGCATGATTAACAAACCAAACATCCGACGCGGTCTTTTGTTCTCTGAAGGGGGTCGAAACTCGTCTCGCCGGGGTGTTCTAGCGGAACATCGTGTTTCCCGGCGATAGTGCGAGCCTTTCAATTGAGTCAGTAGTGAGTATCGTGAAGTTGTCCTTTATGATACCATCGCGGCGGTGAGTATCGTGAAATGGTCGTCTGTTAATGGCATCGTGGCGGCGTAAGTGTTCTGTCTTGAACAAGTCGTGAATGTCGTGGGTGATCGTCGTGATCCCAATGAGGGGAATGGTAATTAGCATCGTCGTGAGTGTCGTGAAATGGTCTTCGTCTGAGAGCGTCGTAGCGTCGTTCGCGGTCTGTCTTAAGTGTCGTGAAGTCGTGTCGTTTGATAGCGTCGTTCGATAACGTCGTTTGATAGCGTCGTTCGATAACGTCGTTTGATAGCGTTGTTTGATAGCGTTGTTTGATAACGTCGTTTGATAGCGTTGGTTGATAGCGTCGTGTTCTGCTCGAAAGCATGTGGCCCGTGACCTTGATGGGCTATCGTAGTGTGGTTGTTGCTAGGCGGTGGTTCTCGGCGCTGTAGTGAGTAATGGTGGGCGGGCGCAAGATGCTGGAGGTGTCAGGAAGTGCATCGCCAAGGTGAAGAAGGTGCGGTGGTGGTGGTAGCTGGAATCGTGGCTGCGACCGCATTTGTTCGCTGGCGAAGTGACGCAAGGCGGTCTTTGATTCGCAAGCCAGGTTCTGGTGCCGAAATCGCATCGACTATGGGAGGAAACGGCGACCCCAGCGATGTTTGGTGGTTGTCAGCCAGTATCGAGGTGAGCCCAACCTCCGCCATGGCAGCGGCCCAGACATTCATGAGGTCTGCTTGGTCAGTGCGAATGTCGTCGCAGACTAGCGCAAGGTGACGGACTAGTAGCAATGACATCAATAAGCGATTTTGACGTCAAGAGAAACGACTAACCGATTCTATTGGCGGTGTTTGATCGCGACGCTCTAGGTTTGGACTAATAAAATATGATGAGCGACATACTTAGTCTGGTGCTAAACACGTCCGTACCTTTTGTGGCTTGAGCTTATGCGGACGGGCCTTCTCAGGCTGATGTCCTGTAAGGGGAGGTGTAGGTCGACCGGCGGCGTGTTTCGTGACAAGTATTAGAGGCTTGAGCCAGGAGGCAGCGGCCTTTGTCTTTTGGGCTAATATGTTAGCGGGGTGGGCGGATCCGGAAGGAGAAATGTTAGCGTCAATCATGATGGGGCGCGCGGATCCAGTGAGAGAAGAGCTAGCATTGGCGGGGCGAAGGAATCCAGGAAGGGGGGCGTTAGCGCCAGTGGAGTGGGCCGGTCCAGGAAAAGAAGGGTTGGTAATCGTAGACGACGCCGTTTGGAATTGGTCGACCACTGGCAGAGTGAAGACGTCCTCCACATTGATGAAGTCGTCTTTGGGAGCTAAGGATGGACTTTTGTGGAGGGAGTTGGCAATCTTCGTGGTCTGAAGCGAGGCGTTCGTGAGGTGGGCGGATCCAGGAAGGAAATGGTCGGTGATAGTTTGTGAAGTTGTCGTCCGGAATTTGTTGACCAGGAAGAGTGGCCGCAGTTTATTTAGTGTTGTGATTGGGGGTAGTATGTCGACACGGTACCCGTGCGCAGCGCGTGCTGGTGCTCGTTTGTTGGCCTATATACGTTAAGTGATGAAAAAATTAGGTATGATGCGACGTACCTCTTGGAAAGTCCGTTCGTTGCCGGATGACTCGACCTCTTTGGTACTCGAGGCTTTGTCAGCGAACTTGAGGTCGTCGTCGTCGTCGCGGACCACGAGGGTAGTGTCGGATGTGAGGGATAGTCGGTTACAGTTGGCGAGATCGGGCACATCGATAATAGTGATGTTGCGAGGTGAAGGTGGAGATACATATCCCGATGAAGTCGACAAATCGATTGTGGTGATGTCGTGAGGCGCTGGTGGAGATATACATGTCGAGGAATTTGACAAATCGACCACTGGCATAGTAATGTCGGAAGGAGTCGACGGACTCGGAAGTACATGTGACGAGGGAATACATAAATCGATAGTTGTATTGTCGGAAGGCGATGTTGAATCGGGTACAGGTATCGAAGAAGAAGGCAAATCGATAGTGATGTCGGGAATGGAGTCGGGTACAGGCGACGAAGAAATGGGCAAATCGGTAGTAGTATTGTCGCAACTTGAAGGCGGTGAGTCGAGTATTTGTGGCGATGAAGTGGGCTGAAATAATGAAAATGAAAAAAATGGCCTCTGGGATGGACCTAGTAATGGAACATCTTGATGTCGAATGCATACTGGGCGATCCGGTGCTGTCACGGTGGAAACGGTGTCTGTGGGATTCTCGTCGGCGGAGGAGATGCCGATCTCGCCTCTGAGGATCTTTGAGGCGGTTCGGTGGGCAGCCACGATAAGAATGAATGTCGATAGGCAGCCCGACGCGACGATCCGGCCGGCGGAGACTGTCCTGTCACGCTGAGCGGGGCGGATGACAGCTTCTCTGAAGAAGCAGAGGGAGAGGATGCCCGTAATGGCGAACTTTGAAGCGACATGACAAGTGGTAGAAATCATGATGGTGAATATCGTTATAAAATGTAAGGCGTGCAGCTGGAAAGATAAGATATTCGACGGCGGGCGATTCCAGGATATCCAGGATATTTATGATATGATATTATTTGTGCGTGCTTGCCGGCTCGATAAACAAACTCGATCGCGACGCGTCAGTCACGTGTCTACAAAATCAACAATACACTTCAGTCAACGCACTGATACTCCAGCTACCTTGCAGCTTACCTGCCAGAAAAGAGGGGCATTGGTACGAAATAGTCCCTTATAGCCCATAACATAGGGAGATCCTAAATTATCAAGTAACAAGAGTTTCAGTAGATCACCTCATGACCGACGACCAAAAAAAATACACAACAGCTCACCCCTTTATAGACGATTTCTCTCGTCCCACCACTTGAGTCTCCTGTTTCTATTGGTCGTCCTTGAACCTCTCGTATCCCCAGCGCAGGTTGACCTGGTTGCATTGAGCTGTCTTCTCATTGTATAACTGACCTCGTTATCCAACATGAACGAGTAATATTGACGCAGACCGCACATAGGCTGGCCGATGCTTTTTCATTCTATACGTGCACAACGATTCGGAAGAGCAGATGGCCAGAATCTGATACCAAGTATGTATTGATCCTGCTTGTTCGTGGTTCCGCGGCTAAGAAAAAAAACCGTACAGCCTGCAAGTAGTCTTACGTAAGTATACCTCTTCAGTCTACTTACCCCTGTTTTCACTCCTCTTTACGACAATCATGCAGTCACCACCCAGCGAACCGCCCACAAACTTTCTCAGTCTTATGCTACCCCCTCTATAACGTGGGGAGTCGGGGACCCATCGTTTTGGCTCACTCCGACATCTCTCTTCTTTGACAATCATGGAGTCACCCAGCGAACGGCCCACAGGCTTTCTCAGAATCGTACCATTGGTCGTTCTAGCATTCGTTCCCCACACTTCATAAAGTGGATCCCAACGCACTTCGGCTTCATGAACTTGAACAGCGCCCTCGTGACCGAATGGGTATTCGCGTCAGCAGCCCTGATCACAGTTCTTATTCTCGCCAAGCTCTACATCCGGTGGTCAGAGAATGAGAGCTGGCTTGCTCATCCTGCTGGGACTCTTGCACAGTACCTCAATTGGCTAATCATAGGGGCACAACACATTTATTTCCAATTTCCTGGTGAGTTCGTCCATGGCATCATGACGTGTCTTCAAGTTATAGTATTTGATCACATTATTAGACGACTTCGTCGAATTGAACATACTCCTTGCGTGGCGCCGATCAGTGGCTTTCCTTATCAGCCTGCATCTGTTCTTCTGGACCTTCGTGGCTTACAATAATGAGAGAGAGCATCTCCACCTTTATGGGAAAGTCGTGTACCCGGTTCATCATTGGATGCTCGTAACTGCCAAGAACATTGTCACCTGTATGCATATCTCAAATCTCTGAAACGAGTCCCATTAAATTCGTGACTTCAAGTGATGGTGGCATCCGTCTCCGTGGTGCTTGTCGTGGTGATATTTTTCCTGGTCATAATTCTGGCGCTTTCCCTGGCGCTTGGGGTTATGTCTTGCCGAGTTCTCAGAGGCCTCTTTTCCCGAGAACCAGAGGTACTGCAGCCGAGGGCGTTTGTCGAAGCACTCGAGTCTTGTCGATCCCTGCTGCCATCCGTCTTCACAGCTTCAACACCTACAGGATCTCACTCAGTAGCCATTTACATTAATGGTACGTTGCAGTTGGATTTCTTTGATACTTATATTGATGGGTTTGCTCCGCGGAAGAAATGAGTTAGATCTATGCATTTGGAATCAGATCTCTCAACTTGCATACCAAATTCCAAGAAATCTGTGCCGTTGTCTCGTGCTTCAAGACTCCACGAAGGAAGTCGTAGACTCGTGATAACGGCGGGGGAATATGGATTCCTTGGATTCAGACGTGTACACGGAATTGTGAAGCTGGCGTGATATGTATCAAAGAATGCGCCAATAAGCACTTAAGTAACTACTGTAGCGCACTTCACAACCTCAGATGAATGATGATCGCTTTTATATAGCATAGTGTCCTGCGCGTAAAGATGAGAACACCAGATGTTTGATAATATCACATACATCAAAACTAATGCAAATAACCTCTGTAGATGTCGAGTACCGCAACTTCTGGAATGGAGTGGGTGTTCCATACGTTCCCGGACATCTGAAGAAAAAGGGAGGTGCCAGTCGAGTCTTTATCTTCATTTAAGTGCCGTAGCATGCTGGTAACTTTGTCTCCTTGATGATAGTCGAACAAGCGACTAGAGACACGCTGCCCACGTAGCCATACAAAGTCGAACTTGAGGCTGGAGGAATCATCTTTCGGGGAGTTTTGGATTTCCTGTTCAACTGACTGATTACAATATGAAAGGTCGGCGCGAGTGTTAGCGTGAATACCGTCAAAGCCTTCATCGATCAGTAAATTATATGGCTAGGTGACAGCAGTTACTCACTTGACTGCTCGATATTGACTATCGCTGAAACAACGACAGCACAAATCGGATAGTAATCACTGTTGGAAATGGCTGCTACTGAAAACTCGACGAGTCGGGATTTCGTTGTAGTATCAACAACCTTGCCCTTGATTCTAGTACACTGTTTATCAGCAGCGAGAACCGCTGCTTGAATCTTGGAATACCACGTCTCGTTTTTAACCCAGGACCACATGTCTGTATGGAGAGTCGCTGTTGCTGATAGCCCTGCGTTTTGCTCGAGGAGGTACGTGACAATATCTTCAAGACGACCATCAAGAGCTATGTGTAGTACTGTTCTGGCAGTCCGGTCTTGCAAAGAAAGATTGAAAGACGGTTCAACAAACGCTTTTACGACGGGTAAAAGGTGGCCCCCGTCATTGAATGGCCAACCGGGTTGACGGGCGAGTAAAGTATGGATAGGGGTAGAACCGTCGACAGTGAAATTGACATCCGCACCGCGTTGACAAAATTTATGGATAGATTCGGGCGATGGCTTGCTTGCCATAATGGCCATGCGCAGAATGTCATCAGGTAGGTCAACCTCCGTTTGTGATAGCAAGAAATCCACGGTGCCTTCCCTTCCAATCATAGCTGCCCACGAAATTGGAGCATAGGAGCCGTCACGAATGAAATATTGGTTGTATAGGCTAGGCCTGACAGAAGAAAGTTTGTTGAGATTGACGCCCAGCTTATTGAGTATACTGAGGAAGTCGGGATTCTTGGCTATGGCAAAAATCAAGGGAGAACCCCAACCAGGGGCAATATCTACGTCCAGTAGATGAGGTTGCTGCTTGACGAGAAATTCGATCATCCATGGCTTTCCGTGCTCGAGCGGGATGAATATAAGGGAGGGCAAAGCCACAGTTCCACTCAACCACCTAGGTTCATCCCAAATTTGCCGAATGTCGGTTTGTGTTGCAAGCACACGATGTTTCCCCGTGTTTCGAAGATACTCCGAGTTTAGCCGCGCCAGGGCGTTTATAATGCAAGGATCCTCATCCGAAACATGCCCAAGGTGCATCCATCCACGAATGGCATAGCTCAGCAATGGATGGTCTTTGCTGGCATCGGTAGCATTGGCACGGCCTGCAACACGAGGTGCTGAACGACGTAGAGCTGGATGTTCATCTATACAAACATCAGTTTCTTAGCTCATACGTGAAAGATAGTATTGCACTTTTTGCGCAGATCTCATCCATAAAGTCGCATAACAAATAGGTAATCAAGAGCTCGCAGATACGCGCATGCATGTCTGAGATCGATTTTAGGATGTTGTTGGGGTGACGATTGATCAGGTATTCCTGGTTACATAGCGCATCAGCGGGCGAGTATAACGAAGAAAGTTGGAAAATCATACTTTGACGCTATAATGAGATAGAGCCACGACATCAGTTTTCTCGTCATAGGTCACAAGGCTTCCACAAGCGGCCACGATATCCATAGGGTCCATTACGCCAAGGTCCTCATTGAGACTCGACCGCCCAACTTCGATCATTATCGCTTCATTGAGCTGGTCAAGCGTCAACGGGATGAGTGTGCCAGCCAGCCAAAGCAAGCAGCTCTGGGCAATCGGGCCATCGTCGCGCCCTCTTTCTTCGATGGAGCGAAGAATTCTGTCATAGGTTTCATATAGTCCCGCCGGAAGGTTGTCGAGGGCTTTCCGAATACTGTCAGGCCTTTTGCAGCCCATAATTTCCTCCAGTTGACACTGAACCCAGCGAAACCTATGTATGACCAGGTGGTAATGAATTTCTGAGGAGCGAGTGAAAGCCGCTTTACTTACATGCCCTCGGCCTTTTCCAACAGTTTCTCCATGATGAGCTTTTTAAGTGTATCGGGTAGGCGTGACAAACGCCTCTGAGTCTTCAGCTGCTCGGTGATGTGAACCTGTATATCTGCTTTTATTTGTTCTGCGCTGTCCTTCAGCGACATCGTGGGGAGATCATTGAAGGCGTCTTGGATGTCTGGCTCCCTTCTACCGGTGACGAAGAGTCGTAGTCGAGCGTCTTCAGCAAGATTTACAAGGTGTTCTACCAGGTCGCGATGGTCCTTGCATTCATCCAAGGCATCGATCACGAGGACTGGTAGGTGAACTAGCGTAGACACTTCAACAAGAAGCTTTCGTAGAAAACCAAGATCTGTGGGACATGGCTCTGTGGTCGATTGCTGCTTCCATAACTTTCGCAGAGAAACAAGGTCCCCTTCTGCGTCCGATTCTTGCTGCTTGTCTATCTTGGTAATCCAGTCATTTTTAGATTGTCGAAGCAGCTGAACAACCAAGGACCGCAATACTGCAGCTGCGATTGTCGTGCGGTCGTCACGGAAATTGCAATAGAAGTAAGCGAGTGTCTGCGGCTGTGTTTCCTCGCTACCCTGAATTTCGTCGATGACGGCGGAGCTGAAATTTCACAAGTCAATGTAGGCTCTGAAAGCTCTCCAGACGAGTTCAAACTTACGCGAGAATGGTCTTTCCGTTTCCAGCTGTCGCGAGTGTCAACGAGCTGCAATTGCGGTGAACCCAACCAAACTCACGTTGGCCATTCAACCAAAGGAATGCGTAATCTGATGTATTCCATGTCTTATACTGATCGGCCTGAAAAATCCAACGACCAGTCGCAGTGTTGCGCTGGCGACGGGAGATATCGTGCTTTTCAGCACAAGAGACAGGTTTCATCCATTGAAGGAACTTTTGAAGTCCCTCGGCTATGCATGTTTGAACAGGGTGAGGACACTGAGTACTGAGGAGTCAGTGACTCGCGACTCACCCTTCTCACGCATCTTTTGTGCGGCAGAATCCTCTCTTAACTCCTGGACTCCTTGGCTGATTTCCTTGATGGTGTTCCTTACGCTGCATGATAATTGGGAAGGCATCACGAGTGAGTCAACTTACCATGAGTCAATGGCTAGAATTGTTGTAATGTCGCCATAATATTGTTTCAGTCTATCAGCAATCACACCCGTTTCCTTTTCCTTGAAAGGCCAGGTCCATCTGGTTATCTTGCTCATTTTCCCGCTTTCCAGGTCATTTGGCAGAAGGTTCTTCAGTTCCGCACCTAATCTCGCCACTGGTCCATCTTTGGTCATCAAATGTGAAAGTGCACTGTGGAGGTTGTCTGGAAGAGAGTCACCGTGATCCTTCTCGATCTCCATAACTGTGGCGAGGACTCCTCTAATTGAATTGCACTGGTCAAGGAGCCTTTGACAGGACAATGGAGCGTTGCGAACGGAAGCAACATATCCATACAAAAGAGCTGAAGTTTGCGCTATAGTTCGAACGACCTGAAGAACAGTAAGACCGCTGGTGATGGGATCCATCAAAATATAATACCCGGCGACGCCGACACCGTTAAGTTAAAGAAAGGCGCCCATTGGCCTATTTATAACTGTGAGACCCTGCATTGGCGCCTATTGCAGATTCAATCATCGATAAGAACTTGAACACAGCTCAACTAGTGTGAAAATCTAGGTTCTTGGCCCACCCCCTTTACATACTGGTCAGTGGTTATTGTACCGATCTCTCCCCCAGCCAGACCTATTGAAGGAAGATAATGATGAACATGAAGGACCAAGGTTCTGCAGTGACCTCACCTGTTAAGTTGGAATGCGGGGATCGCGACGGCTACACAATGCTGTTGAGGTCATGAATCTGACTGAGGATTAGCTTCTGTCACGCTAGCGAACATACAGTGGTCGCCAAATCTATATAGATATAGATATCCTGTTCAAAAGAATGACTTCTGGCCATGGAATAGCCAACCTCAAGACCGTCACTACGATATTCGACAGGTTTTGATATCACAATCAAAAGACACTGAGAAGGAGCAGAACCGCAGGGAGTTGAGGGAGACGTACTGGTCTTATAAAGGAGGTGAGAGCAACCTTAGAGTCCGTTGAAATACAGTGTAAACTTTGCTTGCGTTCACATTTCACTTGCTCAGATCGTGAACCCGATGGATATTCCCTGGAACAATAGCCTTCATGGATTTAAGGTAGTCTAAGAATCATGTAGCCATAAAGATATGCGAAAAACAACAACAAACGGGGCGAGCATCTATCATGACTTGTCCTTGAACATTTTTTGGATAGCCTCACTCGAGTAAGATTTCGGACGCTCTAAGGCTGTAGCACACGTTCAGTACCCATATCAATCCAGATTCCAAGGAAAACACTCACGAGCACCAAGCGCACGATCCCAGATCAACTGTGCAGCAACACCAAACGCACGAGAAACACCAAACAACACGGTGTAGAACTGCATCTGATGCAGTCCATAATGAGTCAGAAGAACACCTGAGTGGGCGTCCACGTTCGGCCAAGGGTTCTTAGCCTTGCCCGCCTCCAACAAAATATCAGGCACGATGTTGTAAATCTGACCGACGAGTTTGAAGAGGGGGTCATTGGGGAGGTTTTTGAGGGCAAACTCGCGCTGTGCGGTGTATCGGGGGTCAGTCTTTCTCAGAACGGCGTGTCCATATCCGGGGACGACTTGACCGGATTTGAGGGTAGACCAGACGTATTCTTTGACGGCATCATCGGTTGCGTTTTCGCCGATCTTGTCTTGCATTTTGCGGAGCCAGAGGAGGACTTCCTGATTTGCGAGACCGTGGAGGGGACCGGCGAGACCGTTTAGGGAGGCGCCGAAGGCGAGGAAAGGGTCGGAGAGTGCAGAGCCGACGAGCTTGCCGGTGTGAGCTGAGACGTTACCACCTTCGTGGTCACTTGAGTGATGTGAGTATGCTTCGTGTGGTAGATATAAAAAACACGCACGTGTGGATAGTAATGTAGAGACGAAGGAGCTCGACGAAAGGCTCGTTGTCACCAAAGCCAAGGAGGGTGGCAAGGTTGGCAGAGTAGTCCTTGCTGTTGTCGATGGCAGGCAGCTTGCCGTCACCGAACACGTTGCGATATATGCGACCAGCGATGTTGGGGAGCTTGGCAATGCTGTTGGAGATGTGAGTATTAGTGGGCTGAATAGAACGAAGACTCACAGATCCATCGAGTCTTCGAAGGCGTAACCCCAGTATTCCTTCTTAGAGACACCGTCCTGGTATGCCTTGGCAAAGGCAGAGTCATGGTTGAGTGCGGTGACCGCCATGGAGAACTGGCTCATGGGGTGAAGGGTGGGAGGGCAGCGGTCGATGATCTCCTTTACGAAATCAGGTATCTCAGCACGAGCAGCCCAGTCGCGGCTGAGCTCGGCGACCTGCTCCTTGGACGGAACCTCGCCGGTTAGGAGAAGCCAGAAGATACCTTCCGGGAGAGGTTCTGAGCCACCCGGTGCAGCGGGTAGAAGCTCCTTGCACTCGGAGATAGACTTTCCACGGAAACGAATGCCTTCCTCTGAAAAGGCGTGAGACCAGAAAGATAATAATTAGAAAATTTAACGGACCTGGATCGAGGACGGAGCCATCCCAGATGAGGGCTGGAAGGCCACGCATACCACCATAGAGCTGGTCGACCGTCACAGGACCAAACGCCTTTTTACCATGCTCGGCACGTATTGCCTTTACCTGAGGACGGAAACGGAAATGAGCGTGATTCGATGATGACAAAATTTGATGGTGAAGGATAATTAAGGTGCAGGACACGCACCTTTTCTATTTCTGCAGGAATGAGCTCGGCAAGACGTTCTTTTAAAGTGAGCTGTCTTGAGGCTGTTGAAGAGAATCGAACACAGGTGCGTGCAAGCACTGGAGAGCGCGACTAAGAAACATCAGTATGGAGTTGGACACGGTGAGGGAACTGCACATACGACGTTAAAGACGTTACGGAGAGCAGCAACCATGGCGAATGATGTGGAGGGGGATGAAGAGAAATTGTAAGCCCGGGGTTGAAATTGAAATTTAAGAGGGAAATATCGGAACACATCGGACCACGGGAAAATGGGTCGACGCCCGTTAATATCGTCGAAACCGTATTCGGTACACGGCCGAGCGAGTTACTCAACACGATGCCGAAACGAAAGAGAACATTAGAAAAACCAACTACGTCGTCGTCGACGATGACGGCGACGACAGCCAACGCTCCGTCACTACTTCCACAGGTCAGTACACTCAGATCGCTCATATCGAACTCTAATCTTTGAGCAGAAAAAACATTACAGACAACGAGCACACGCGAACCCGTTCTCTGATCATGCTCTAGCCTATCCATCATCACCTGATTCATTCGACTGGTCAGCTCACTATCCTGCTTTCGCAGAGAGCGGAAAGACGCCAGCCTTTGCAGATATCGGTTGTGGTTTCGGTGGTCTGCTCATCACACTGGCTCCGCTCTTCCCTGATACACTCATGCTTGGTCAGTCTCACAGTCATATGTTTGTCTCTTTCTTATATCCGCAGGCCTTGAAATTCGTGTCCAAGTAACACAGTACGTCCACGATCGTATCACCGCACTCCGCGCCACCGCTGCACCCCAAGAGCCATCCATACCTGCTCCATATCAAAATGTCTCTGTCATCCGCGCAAACGCCATGAAATTTCTCCCAAACTTCTTTCCCAAAGCATCCCTCACCGCCCTATTCTTCCTCTTCCCTGATCCGCATTTTAAAGCGCGCAAACACAAGGCCCGCATCATCTCACCCACCCTTCTTGCTGAATACGCATATGTGCTCGCACCAGGTGGGCTCGTGTATACTATCACAGATGTGGAGGACCTTGCACAATGGATGCGCGCTCATCTAGAGGCTCATCCTCTCTTCCAGTTTGTTGAGGAGCAAGAGCTAAGGAATGAGGGCAAGGGCCCGATCTTGGATGCGGTATATGGTGCAACGGAAGAAGGAAAAAAGGTAGAACGCAATGCTGGTGAGAAATGGCTAGCCTGTTTCAGACGCATCGAAGTGAAGAGGCAGAATCCAATAATGTAACACCAGACAGTCGATGTATGAACTTAGACGAGATAAGATAAGATAACCTACATCATTTTTTGCGTGAGACTTTGAAGAAGGCGACTACCATCCTTCAAGTAAAACTACTGAAGCCCTCGCCCATATTAACCGCGTCTCTTGCAGACCAACCATGGTGCGCCCAGTTTACTCCATCCCTCAATCGCACCATAACCTCCCCGTCCATTCACGTCCATTCACAGTCCTCCCGCATCGAGCTCCTCAATGCTGGCCTTCTTCGCAGCGATGGTCGTAGACCTTATGAGTTGCGTACAATGTCCATCAACTTCGGAGCACAAGGAACCGCAGATGGTAGCGTCACCTATACACACGGCCTGACCGAAGTCCGTGTCTCAGTCCTCGGCCCGCATGAAGCAAAAGCAGGCAGCAGACGCGAGACATTTCACGATCGCGCAACACTAAACGTCGAAGTCCAGCTCGCTCCTTTTGGCGTTGGCGAACGACGGAGAAGAGGCAGAGGTGACAAGTAAGTGTGGTCTACACGCGCTCCACTACTTTCTCGCTCATAATACACGGCCCAGACGCCTCCTCGAACTCGCCGCAACAATCAAAAGCACGTTTGAACCCGTCGTCCAAACGCATCTCTACCCCCGCAGTACAATTGACATCTTTATCCACGTCCTCCAACTCGATGGCGGGCTCCTCCCCGCATGTATAAATGGCTCCACCCTCGCTCTTGCCACCGCGGGCATCCCCCTCTTCGACTTCGTCTGCGCCATCTCCGGAGGTGTGCACGGCACCCAACCCCTACTCGATCTCACAACAGTTGAAGAAAATGATGTGCCTAGCGTGGTAGTGGGCGTGATGCCTCGCTCGGGAAGGGTGACGCTTGTGCAGATGGAGACGAGGTTGCATATGGATCGGTTTGAGGAGGTGTTTAGGGTTGCGTGCGATGCTGGCAAGGTGCTTTGGAGTGAGATGAGGGACGCTTTGAGGGAAAGGACTGGTGATTTGGTGGACAAGCTTGACGCTGGACCGGGGATGGTTGTGGTGAAAGAGGCTGAGGAGACGTAGGTGAGTGACTTGGATGAAGTGTAGAACGTCGTTTTCCTGTTTATGCAGGCAAGGACGCCCACTATCCTAGCAGGCAGCCCATCGTGTCGGTTATGAAATCGTAGCCATTGATCCACTCGAGTGCTAATATGTACATTGTAGTCTACCAAAACAGTTACACATCGGCGGTTTCGACATTTTATCTCGCGCAAAATTTCAATCAAAAGCAGATCTAGACCTGGCTAGAGCATTCCAGACCTAGCCTGGAACGCTCTGGAGAGCTCTAGATTGCAATTTTACTGGTGGCAAAAAGTGGTAAAATGTCCAAACCCCGGCTGTGTTCAAGACTCCTGTATGCACTGAATAGGAAATGCCGACACTGCGCTTTCTCGCTCCATCGGTCATCATCAGTATGGCGAACAGCAACAGTGGCACAGATGTCCAGTCTGAATTCAAGGTCGTATCAATCCTCGACACCGACTTGTACAAGGCATGTATCGTAGAAACACCGTCATCATGATCTTAAACGCTTCTCCTATCCGACTCACGTTGATACTGTTGTGCAGTTCACGATGCAACAGGCTATATTCGAATACCATCCTACTGCACAAGCTGTATACCGTTTCACGCATCGCGATAAGCACCGCCAATTCTCTAGAGCATGCATAGAGAAATTTCAAGAATCATTGAACAGTCCGTGTCTTTTTGATCATCCCATTCCATCTTTTCGATTGCGTACATGCAGGTTTCGCCGAGGTGCAGCTAACGCATGATGAACGCGCCTGGTTACAGGATACATGCAAGTATTTCAAGCCTGCTTACCTCGATTATCTTCAGTCTTACAGGTTCAAACCCGAACAAGTGATTATAAGCGCCTTCTTTCGATTGTACTTCTTCATTGATGGCGATGCGGTCCCCATAGATCTCTGTCAACTTTGTCCCGTCTTCTGATGACCCCGACCTGGGCAGCGTCAAGATCGAAGCGAGAGGGACGTGGCTTGAAACAGTTTTGTGGGAAGTGCCGCTCATGTCGTGCCTTTGTGAGATGTACTTTCGATATGCGGAACAAGACTGGGATTATACTGGCCAAGAAGGTACATTCCCTTCTTGATTCTTATTACTGAGTATGGATTTCGCGCAGAACAAGCCACACATAAAGCTACATGTCTTTTAGAGGCGCGATGTACGTTCAGTGAATTCGGGACGCGTCGCAGGCGGTCTTTCGCCACGCAAGATTTGGTCGTCAAAGGGATCGTCAATGCGAGGGATGCGCATAAGTGGAAGGATGGTTTCTTTGGAACTAGTAATGTATGCGGGTCATTAGTGGTCCCCTTTCTGTTCCTCAATTCAAATGCGCACAGGTCTACTTCGCCATGCGCTACAATCTCAACGTAATAGGCACGATCGCTCAGTACGCTGCTGTTCCTTATATTTTCATATGCCTCAATATTGCTTTACAGCGAGTGGTTCATGGGTGCAAGTATAATCACGTGATGATACGTCTCCTCCTGATCAAATACTTAGATCGCGGCGCTATGCGATTACAAAGATGCTGCCGGGACAGCGTTAGACCTTTGGTCAAAACTTTACGGGGAAAATCTTTCCGTCACGCTTACGGATACCTTTTCCACTGAAGTGTTTTATCGGGTGCGTGCGTCTATCGTGTAAATGCTCAGCGTCTCTTATTTTATTTTATTGTGGTATAGGAATTCGACAATAGACGGGCCAATCAATGGAAAGCTCTGCGTCAAGACTCAGGAGACCCAAAAGTCTTCGCGCCCAGGGCTAAACAGATGTATGAAGAGCTCGGGATCGATTACACGCAGAAAGCTATCATTTTTAGCGACGGTTTGGATTTCAGGAAGGCGAAGGAGTTGAATGAGCAGTGTCAGTTGTTGGGATTCAAGTGTATGTCATGTCATCCTTGTAGCATCGCTTGTTTGCGTTCCACGGTCTCACTTAGTAATTTCTCTCTATATGCGCAGGCTCATTTGGCATTGGCACTTGGCTGACGAACGACTTCAAGAAGAAGAGCAGCGGGTATACGGAACAGAGCAAGGCGTTGAATATAGTGATTAAACTTGGGTCGATTGATGGGAAGGAGTGCGTCAAGATCAGTGATGAAATCACCAAGGTGAGATACGTCGTGATCCCCGGTTGTGTCTTCTCATTGATGGCCATTTGTTTGGTTTATAGAATACCGGCGTTCCAGAAGTTGTGGCGAAGGTTAAGGAGACGTACCAAATACCACTCTCGTAGCCGTATTGTAGACCTGATCAATTGTGAGTGATGGTACTTTCGTGAATGAGAATCTAAATTAACGACAGTCTTGCGTTGCCTTGTCACTCCAGGGTGTTCAAAGCTTACTGATCAAGTGTTCTGGTGACTGTGTACTATTAAGTAGAATTACTGTCGCATGTTAAACCATCCACGTCAAAGAAACGTAACGAGGATTGCTTCCGTCTCTTGCAAGTCTATCCCAGAGCTGACAGGTAAGACATCAACAGTTAGCGGCCCGCTAACTCTACCATCGCTAGTCTCGTACGTCTGACCTCCCCAGGTCACATTGTTGGTATCGGTGGCATACCTACGAACAACCTTAGCACTCATATCGCGACTATTATGAAAACAACCATACCCAATTTTCAGCGTCTTTACGCTCATCTTCTTAGCAGCATGTCCGGAACCCGTGAAACACAAATCAATGTGAGTCGAGTTCCTTGCACCGGCACCGGCAAAGTACGCGATTGTGTTTATGAAGACAGCTTTTGAGAGAGTACCATGCTCAAAAATTGCATAGCCTGACACATCATTCTCGTCGATGGTAATTTCGACTGCCTGTGCAGTCCCAGATGACCCGATAGCCTCTGCGGCGATGATAGCCGCGTAGTACGCTGGCTGTATGTGTGGTGCCTGTGGCGTAATTGGGGAACCGTCGAGGATTGAATAGTTTAGCGTCACGGGTTGAATCTGCGCAGAAGAGTCTTGGGTGGCGCTGCATTGCCTCAAACAGGGTACTGACCAAATTGTACTTGTATCCAATACCCTCGTGGAAGTGTATGCGACTGATACCAACTTGTGTGGCATACAAAGTGTAGTCGAGTAACCAGAGGGCGGCGCCGGCTGTATTGCTGACATCTGGTGAGAAAGGACAATCATATGTGACTTAGTCTGTTCACGGTGTTAACTTACTAGGTGCACCGTGGCAACTCATACCTATGGACAGGTCAGTAAGTCTAGCGTTGCCTGACGACTCGCAAACAATAACTTACTGTTTGTCTCCCCGAGGATGTAGTTCAGCCCCTTGGCCAAGGTTGCTTCAACATCAGAACTAAATTCGGAGACATTGCCACGGATATAACTCTTGGTCATCAAATCTTGCAGTACGGCTCCGCCGCCAGTACAAAACGAGCCACTGTAGTGGTGCTGCGAAATACTAACCATGGTATTCAGCACGCTATCCAGTTTATGAAATTGCTTGACATACGTCTCGACTAGTTGCCCTGCAGGAGATTCAAGGATGCCGAGGTTAAATATAGCTTGAGGAGAAAAGCCGCTTAGGTTGTTGTGAGAAGATTCAGCGAAGGCTGCACCGATCAGTTTTGTGTATGATGAATCAGAGAGGTTGGCTGTTATGGATACGTTATACGCAAACTCCTCCCACCTTCATGCTGGTCAGCACTGCTGAGGAAGTCATCGCCGTGAACTTACTCAGAGACATATTCTTGTACATTCCAGCTGCTATTACGACCCTTGTTATTACGGTAGAGATCAGCCTCGTTGCCGACTTCGATGAACTTCAGTGTGATGTTTTTCTCCACAACGGCAGGGGAAGAAAATGCGTTCATGAGTGCAACAGTTTCGAGGTAGGCTGCTGTGAGGTTGTATTCCCTCAAGTTCACGCCCCAGTGAACTTGCGTCCCTGGAAATAAAGCAAGTCAGTTGCTTGATTGTCCCCGTAATATTAGATTACCGTTTGGAAGATGAGAGATGATGTCATAAAAGCCTTGCCCAACAGTGATATTAGTGGCTTCTGGGTATGGTGTGATGGCGGTCGAAGCAGGGAAAATATCTTCTTCGTACTACATACGCGCCAGTTAAACAAACAAGTCAATTCAACATCAAAAGAAATTTACCTCGACATCATAGCTGAAATCAGTGTGGTCTTCAGAGTCAGCACCTATTCTCACGAAGGGAGGAGTATTCGTGATTTGGACAAAGTTATCAAGGACGTTGTTGAAGAAGGTATTTGGCTCTGTCGTCCCTGCCCAATCTGTCCATCTATCTTGCTCGATTGAAAGCGAAACGAGGTTGCCCATAAGCGATGCTGCACCCGAGGGCGCAGTGAGAGGGATTGTAACCTCTATTGCCGAAACAATGGGAGCGACGAGCATGATGAGGTGGGCACCCCACATCATAAACCGCGACATGAGGGGCGTCTTGATAGTTCTGGTAAATCCTAGAATGCAACTCTGAGATCATATATACACGGTCGAGGAGGACCGGGACGATCAAATACGATCCGATGGGCCGCCTTCTACTGAGCCTCATGACCGATGAGCGCGGGTCGAGGATATGTGTGGCTATGGTCACATTGTGGAGTCTGTGCACATGTCAATCATGAATCATGCTGAGGACGCGAGGTATGCGAGGCTTCGAAGTTTGTTAAATCAGCGTGTTTTCTCCGAGGTCAATTTTGGGGGATCATGAGATCACATCACTGTCGATTCACTGAGAGAGAAAGGATAATAATATTCTCCGGCGCACTTACGAGCTTCGCAAGTGAAAGATTGGTGAGAAAGACGCAACTTAACAACTGTCAATATTAATGTTGCGTGTTGGTCAGTGTTAACAACTTTATGTTGGCTGTTTGCCTAAACTGGTACTATGCTGATATAACCAAACTTCGTTGCTCTCTACCATGGCAGACGTCCGTGCCCTACTTAAAGCCAAACGTCAGGAAGCACGTGTAAATCATCCACTAGCATCTTATACGACAGCCGGACAATTGCGATGCTCCGTCTGTGGAACGAACATTAAGCATGCATCTGCTTGGGATGGTCATCTCGGCAGCAAAGCACACCGTACGAACGTGTCTCGCGCTAAGGAAGAGGAGAAGGCTAGGGAACAGCAACAGGCTGCACATGAAGTTAAAATTGCTAAAAGAAAGGGTGATGAAGATGCCCCTGGCGGAGATGCGGCCAAGAGGCAGAAAACCGAGCCTGCTGCCTCAACTCCTCATTCTAGCGCGTTTCCGTCAGACTTCTTCTCTGACCCGTCAAAAGCACCTCCACCGCCCCTGTCAGATGATTCTGATGATGAAGAGGTCAACTTGTCGACGGTTGCTCCCGCAAAGGAGTCGGGACCACACGATGTTGCCGTTGCTCAACCAGAGCTTGACCAAGAGTGGATCAAGTTCCAACAGACGGTGATTAATGCCCCTGACGCACACGAGACTTATGACCGGGCGACTTTATTTGCTGAACCGGAGCTTGTGTCTGACGTGGCAGAAGGCTTTCCCCCCCTGCAGGGTGAGAAAGATCCTCCAGAGGTTGAGGCTAAATTAGACCCGGACGAGGAAAGGCGGAGGAAGGATCAGGATGAAAGGGAAATGATCATGGACCGCTTATTGGATGAGGAGAGGGCGCAGGAAGAGGCAGACATGAAAGTCAGTGCAATGAAAAGTAGGTTGGAGGCATTGAGGATAAAACGAGAGGCTGCACGGACAAAGTCAAAAGTTGCTGTGTAGCAAGACTTACTTACTCCCTTCTGATGATGTTAGGTGTAATATACCATGATTAATTGTACGGCGTATACTTTGGCATCTGCTCCATCTGAACGTCAATCATATCATTGGTGTGTGCGCCTTGTCCATGCAAACAATCGTTCGCAAAATTAAGTGTGGGCTATCGCCTTGCACATATATTCGACCATAGCCAGCCAGCATTATTAAAGCTTGCACATATAGTTACACTTATCTAGAAGCGGCATAGTGAATGCAGATCAACACCCAGCTTCCCCTTAGCAATACTTGGCTGAGAGTACGAACTCCTTCAATTTCTTCACAGGGCCCTGTGCCTAATGAGATTTCTACTCACGACAGAATCGCGTCTCCAGCCTTCTACACCTGTCCGTGGATGACATTCCGCGGATGAAACTCATTGGAAATTGACGTAGCAGAATTACAATGAGGTTCCGTTGGTGATTGATAATTGGCTCATGTCCATTAACACGAGTCTGAAAAATATCTCTTCGTCGCTAGAACATTTGCCGGGCCGCATGGGAGAACAGTCTTTGTCAAGCAGATTATGATATTATAGCGCTGTCCAGAACTTCCTTTGCATCGCTGAGATGAAAGACGTTGGCGATTAGGTGTGCATAACAATCAAGTTTTGGTTCAGGAAGTTTTGTTCCGTGTCCTGAGTAGTCCTTTCAGAAAATGGTTTCCCTTGAATACGTCAAGCCCTAAAGCGGGAACACAACCTTTGAGCCGATTGATTTTATATTTGTGTAGTTCACTCTTGAATCGGAGGGATCAGTCACTGATCAACAAAGCCATACAGAAAACCTGACCATACCATGGCATATAGGCAAAATCCGAAACCATTGAAGAATCACTGAACTTCGAGTGAGTCTGGCCAGTTCTTAAGCGCGTCAATACAGGGGCTGCCAAGTCATTGATAAGCTCCCTTCCGAAGGAAGCTTGGCGTACTGCTGAATCATTATCTCGATCGTGGCAGGCATGATATGCCGTAGAATCAACTGGAATGCATTCGGAGACGGAAGGTCCTCTCAGTCACAGAGCTTAAACGGTCATCAGATCAGTGAAGTAAAATATGAGACGAGCAGCTCACCATTTCCTGGAACTTGTTGGGTATGCGTGTTCCCCTGTAATGTGGCTCGTTGCCAGGTCTCAAGGTCATCATAACTTCAAATACATGATTAACGGCGCCGAATAGAGTTGACTCGGTCACGTGCTGGGCCTCAAGCAGATTCTCGAGTCGAAGGTTTCATCCGACGAGCGTGAGAGCTCGCAGTGGCTGTTGGCATAATATTAATTGGACAACTTGTACTTATGGCTGTGGTACATCTGCTCCGTCCGACGGTACCTCTTCTTGCATCCCTACCCAACGCCTCCATTCTAGCCCTTGCTTGTGAACCATCATCAGAGCCAGTATCACCGGCAGATACCACAGGTAGTGTTGAAACAATATCCTTGCTTCCTTTTCTCCGCAACGCCGCCACCAGGTCCAGGCACCACGAACGCAAATTGCGTTCGGAACTAAGCTTGTGATAGCAAAGGCCCACGTGGTCAATCCTGACAGTGGGAACAAGATAGAACAAATAGGGACAAGGAGTAAGGAGTGACGGAGAGCCACAAGTGCATTTTTTTGTGGGTTCAGCACGCAAAGCATCTTGTAGCCTGCTTGAGCGTAGGACCCTCGAATGAAATGCGACAAGGAGTTGAAGTGAGGGAATTGCCAACTGTAGAGAAGCATAAATAGTGCGAATGCGCCAAGGGGGTTATCAATCATGGACATGTCTAGTGGTGCCTCTGCGAGGAACGAAGGAAGGAAAAAGTGAATGGGATAATCTGCAGATGGGAGAATATTTCCACCACATGCCGTCCAGCCCATGAGAGGCGGAATTCCACCAACGACTGCGCCCACCCAGGTGTTGGATACGCTTTTGCGTTTTAGCCAAGTGTATGCCGCTGCGTAAAGTACAATGTTGGCTGCACCAAGACAAGCTGTAACTGGGCTCGCCATGAACCACAGTACTGCAGGACCTGCTACTCCTGTCACAGCAGCAAAACCTGCAGCATGCAAAGGGGAGATAGCTTTGCGAACCAGCGGCCTTTGGCGGGTGCGAGCCATTTGAGCATCATAAGGTATTTCTTGAAGTTGATTCAAAGTATTTGCTGATGCTGAACACAGGGCCGTGCCGACAGCTGTGGAGAGAAGAATTGGGACCGTTGCAGGAAGTGGGGAGAGAGCGACCCCTGACATCGCGGTCAAGACGACCAAAATAGTGAGGCGCGACTTGGCAAGCTGCGCGTAAATCTTCAATAAGTGTCTCGGGGTGAGCACTTCAACTTCTTTGAAGCCTGCGGGGGCAACATGGGCTAAATGGGGTTCTGCGACTGCATGTGCAATGCCCCGGACGCCAGTAATATCGGAAGGCTTTATCCCATCAATGCGAGTGGACCACTGTTGATTATGGCAAAAGAATGAGGTAAAATCTCGATACGCAGAAGACACGGTGTATGGTCTGCTGAAAGCCGCGGAAGCCAGAAACTTTTGGCTAGCGAGAGAGCGTGATGCACTTGATGTGCGGGCAATGAAGCTTTTGCTACATGACTGAAAAGCATGTATTTTTCTCATTTCTGTATACACGGCAGCGATTTTTATGCATTAGCTCGCTGTCATGAATAACGACGACGAACTCACCTGCACCAGCGCACAGACCAAGGTTCCAGTTGGCGGAGTTTGAACGCCTTCTCACACCGCGACTTGTTACACGTTTCTCAAAAGTTTACTGTTAGGCAGCTTAGTGAGCTTTCTCGCAATTGTACTTCATCCCTTCATCGTCGCGAGGCCCCGTCGTAATACCTTGCCATGCCTGGCACACATCTCCTCCCGCCAAATCTTCTAAAACTATTTGCACCTCGACCGCCTCTTCCTTATGCACGACCGGTCGGCAAAGACATCCACCGCGTTACTTCCAAAGATGTCGATGGCGTTGCAAGTATCCTAGCACGACTCAGGGAAGCCTCGACTGCAACATTGATTGCAGGGAACGGAGAAGTAGGAGACGGGATGGAAGAAGGCGAAGAACCTGCTTTCACACTGGCCGAAGAAACCAAAAGGCAAATTCGGCGAGAGGAACGCAAAAAGAAAAAGACGGAAGAGTTCAAGATCGCTAAGGAGACCTGTGAGTCTGGTTGTTTTTGTCGGCATCATTTCGGTCTACTAAGCACTCCTCATAGACAAGCCTGCGGACGATGCGGAAGCCATTGGGGACCCGTATAAAACGCTCTTCATATCACGTCTGGTTAGCTGCATCATCCTGTTGATCCTGCGCGTTTTGCTTACCTTGTTCATGTAGAATAAAAACGCAACCGAAAGTGACCTTCGACGCGAATTCGAGAGCTTCGGCACCATTGAACGGGTAAGACTGGTGCGGGACCAGAAAGGCCGGTGCAGAGGTTATGCATTCATTGTCTACGAGCGCGAACGAGATATGAAAGGTAATGATGGTAAAAGCGTTGTTTTTTCTTTTGTACTGAGCTCTTTTTAGCGGCTTACAAGGAATCTGATGGTTTGCATATCATGGGCAAGCGCATACTGGTCGATGTCGAACGAGGCCGGACTGTAAGAGGGTGGAAACCCCGTCGTCTCGGTGGAGGTCTTGGTGGACGCCCTAAACCAGTTGAACAACCTGTATTACCCCCTCCGAGAGTTCCCGGTGGACGTGGTGGTTTTGCAGGGGGTGGTGACGGGGGTAGAGGAGGGAGGGGTGGAGGGTTCGGCGACCGAGGCGGATTCCGAGGCGGTCGCGGTGGTGGATTTAGAGGCGGCGGTGGCGGCGGCTTTGGAGACCGGGGAGGCGGCTTTGGAGACCGAGGTGGTGGTTTCGGGGACCGGGGTGGTTTCCGGGGCGGAGGTGGAGGTGGCTTTCGAGGAGGACGTGACGATGGCTACAGGTTGGTTTAAATGTTCGAGATAACCTTCATTTGTGACTCACTCTCTCTCCAGGGGGGGCGGTCGAGGCGGCGGCGTTGGTTACCACGGAGGTGGATTTGGTGGTGATGCTCCTGCTGCTAATGGCTTCGGCCCTCCAGGTGCACAAGTTCCTGGTGGTCCGGGCGGCTTTGGCGGTCCTCCACAACAAGGCTATGGACCACCAGGGGGCGGCTTCGGACCAGGTAGAGGTGGATTCCGTGGAGACCTCAAACGAGAAGGACCTGGTGGGTACGATGACAGGGACGCTAAACGACCGCGATATTAGTTGCGGCCGGGTGAGATACGTCCAGTTCTTTTTCGTTTTTTTCTGGTGCTTCTTGCTTCAAGTCCCATGACTCTCTGCGCTAGGTGGGGTGTGTAAGTACTGAACGCTTTTGTTGTCACATTGCTCTGCAGCCTTTGCGTAAGTATCACTATTTTATTGCTAGGAGCTGGCCTATTTTTATGATTGTTAAGGCGAGTGTGAGTATACCAGCATGCTATACAACAACCTTTGAAGTCCGTCCCTTGAACGATAAGAATTATCGGTGCATATCCTGGTGATCAGGACGCTTGACGAGATGACAACGTAGCGAGAATGTTACTATTATGTTATTGTTATGCGCGCGAAGCCCATGCTACGTTTTGTTCGGATGATTTTCGGGCCAATCACCAGATCGCATCAAGCACCCCAATCTGAGATTACTGTGACATGTCGCCCGTGGTTACAACATCAATGGCTAAAAGCAGGGTCCCTATACGATACTGTAACGGTAAGTACGTACCAGTATCTATCGCTGGCGGTGAGCAATACATCATTGAGTAGCTCTTATCATTAGTCTGCGCTCCAGTACCGCCATGACTTCTTCAGATTAACCCCATGATACGGTGTGGTCAAGGGATCGCCGGTAAAACCAGACTTTCGGCTCCCTCGGGAGAGAACGTCACGGATCACAGGCTAGCACAGCCTGATTTGACATGTCGGAAGTCGATCCTTTACTCAAAAAAAAAGTTTACAACCAGTTTCATGATTTGCTCACTTGACAAACCTTGGTATGTAGACCTTTGACGGAGGCATGCATGACCCTGCAGCCCGGCCGCGGAACGGTCCGCGCGTGCTTTTTTTTTTTCTATCGAAAACATGGAATGTTATTTGCGAAAAAGGCTAGTTCTCATGTTGATCATTTGTTCCGAACTGCATAGCAACTCCCGGTGCCGCAACCTTTTTGTTCAGCCGCGTCCTACTATGAAGAAGGTCCGAACGTTCACATCAGTTTGTTTCAGTGGCCGGATAAGAAGCCTGAACTTTGAAGTGCCAGCACACGAGATCGTGATGCGGCGTCGGATGTAAGCTTTACTTGCTTGACAGGACTGCGTACGAACATGCGTATCTGCCCGCCAATGGTAGCAGTTCCTGAAACCCATCAAAGATTCAACTCAGCCCACTAACCGAACCCGACAGATCTTATCATTCCAAACTAGTCATCATTCCAAGCTGTATTACAGCATACTGACATGACCCCATCCAATGTTTTTCGCTCTCTGGGCCATGAATCAAGCTCAATGACCCTCTGGATATCGCCTTTATTGAGCTCTATCGAACTTGTTCAACCGTATTCTACCCAGAACTCCCATTTTTTTGGATGCGTAGTTCATCCCGTCACAGCTCGGAAGTAGACATCTCCCCCAACTACGGTTCCTTGGTTGGTACCCCGATCCGGTGAGTTCCCTTATTTTGGCTTTGATCCGTACCTCCCTCTCTCCTTCCATGCGTGAATCTTCCTGCGCGACCCATCTTTCTCCTTCCTGACTTGCCTTTTGAGTAGCCTGCGTGATCGTCTGATCTGCCGTACGATTGGCCTGCCACCTCTCCGACCCTTTCTGGCTGCCTTCTCCTTACAAGGCCTGAACCGCGCGTCCTGTTCAATTCAACATCTTGACATAAGGGCAACCGATCTCCGGTTTTTCGACTGCACCAAAAGCCGCCCAAATAAACAACTGAAAGGGATAACCTCCCTTTCTACGATCATCTGCTTTTTGCTTCCTACCTCTGCCGCTGGACTTGGAAAGTGGGTGCGAGACCTCTACTCTAGAGCGCATTTCTTGCGTTCGTCTCTGGATGCCCATGGCACATGCAGGTTATGTCGGCCAGGATGAGCTGCCAAGGCATCCTTTACACTGCGAAAATCCCCATGCCGCGTCAGACTGTTCGCCTTCTCCCGTTAGCTCATCAGCTCAGTCTCCGGTCAACGTTGGCGCCGTCCGACCCAGTTCCGCATCCCTATCGGACAGCAACGAGACAGATTCCAGCAAGGTCCCGTCTTCTGGTCCACAGAGGTCAAAGTCCATTAGCGGCGTAGGTGCCAAATGGGAAAGAGAGAAGCGGAAGCGTTCACGTGTCACTCCTGAACAACTTATCCATTTGGAGCGCTTCTTTTCAATGGACAGAAGTCCCACCGCAGCGAGGAGAAAAGAAATCAGTGATTTATTAGGCATGCAGGAACGACAAACACAAATATGGTTTCAAAACAGGTTCGTAAATTCTCTCTAGCGCACAAGCACCGCTGATGACGGCCCTTCAGACGTGCAAAGGCCAAGCTGCAAGATGGCAAGAAGGGTCGAGGGGACGGCGCTGAAACCCCACCTGACACCCCCCCAGAATTGGCGACCGGATATGAAGCAGAGCTACACAGCCTTATACATGAAGACGAACGTAAGTGTCCAATCTTTTGGGGCCTGGTTTCTTTACTTATGCCGTTTTTGCTACCAGCGGTGACCATCATTCCGTGCAATGATTTGTCTATAGGGACGTGGCGTCGTATTGCAACCGCCGTAGGGAAGCACGATCTCGTGGCTTACCTGTGTGACACCAAGCGCTGCTTGACGTGGTTCATCCACTCAGCGGGCTATGGGTTTAAGATGGAAATCCCTTTCGACATTATTGTCGATACAGAATTTACAAATGCAGCGCCAGGGTCAGGGCTGGCTTCATTTATCCTTTCACAACCGCCGACTTTTTACCTCGAGTCCTTCTCAACTCCCGGGCCTACTCAGGTACTGGGGCAAATTCGGCAATGGAAAAAATGTGCGGATTGGACAGAAGGACAACAAGCCACAAAGATTCTGCGTCACGACTTGATAGGTTCAGCGGTACAACTTGCACACCTTCTACGCCATCTGAACGCCCATGCTTCTGGGTCGGACATTCGTCTTCATTCGCCATCCTATTACTCTCAGGAGCCACCACCACCTCTCATGGAGGTCCCCCAACCTCCCATGGCAAATTTAACAGGGCCTGCATACCCGTATGGTGGAGATGTCAGTGACTCTAGAAGGGTAGAAGGTCCTGTCCACATACGAAGAAGATCTTTTTCCGGTGGTACCATGCGATTGAGTCATTTGCATCGGCCCAGTCATCAGTCTCTCGCTGTGGACTTGCCTGTCAACACAACCCCAGGGCCACATTCAGCCCCGTATGCTTCATCGACCTTCTCACCATATTCCAACCGTAATCACCCATCCATCCACTTATCGTCTCATTCACCGATGTTCTCGGAATACGCGAACTCCGTGTCATCGCATAGTACATCGCAACAATCCCAATCTCCCGTCGACTACGGTCCAGCAGATACCCATAGCGTCTCCCAGCGTTCCTATTCATCCGCCTCAGTTCATCAACTATATGATGGTACTATGTCGATGGCTTCTCCATATTCTAGCAATGGACCAACCCCTAGTTCCTCTGCCCAGACTCCATTCGTTTCCCCTTCACCACCATTATTAACAACTCCATTTTATCCTTCCACAAATGATTACAGCACACGGGGCTGAGCCTCACTAACTCACAATACCTGGTATAACATATGAATCCGACGAGGAATTCCTTGATCAAAAATTGTAACACCCTGGACCCTTGCGCTGCTTCGCATGGGTTGCCCAATAATTTTTCGCCTTTGTTCTCGGTACATACTTCATTCGCCTTTGCATCGCAAGTTGATCTTTCACATTCTAATACCCTACACTGCTTCCACATTTTTCGGTACGGGGTCCGTCATTCCACGCTCCATGGGAAGCATATCTTCCGCACTGAACGCTGGTATACATCATTATTTAATATCTTACTTGTAACCACAAAGATACCTTTTCGCACACCATAGCTCGCACAGTAGATGATAATAAATCCTCCCTGCCAGCCTCGTGGAGTCGGAAATGGAGCCGGCATGATATCACACATGTGAGATTGATTAACGACTAGCACTGAAAGCACGATTAATGGAATGGGGTTGTACAAATACAATATGCCGGTTATATCTGATTATTTTGCCGCTGCTCCCGTTCTCTGCTTAAGCGGGCCGTGTAGGTTTTGCTGATCATGTTGACTGTGAGACTTTGAGCAGCTGCACGACTAGGTACCTTGGCCAGGACTCACATGTTTCCAGGTAACGCTCGAGACACCGAGACAGGCATGTCTGGAATTTAGAGAATATCAGCATCTTCCTTGCAAACTCGGTGGGTAGACCCACCTCCTCTGAGCCGGACAGGGAGGTCCCAGGCTTCGTAATGCACTTGTCATAGCATTTTTCGTTCGTTTTCTGAAAGCCGCTGTTACTGTGAACACCAATAGCAATGGTAGGGACCACACATTTATAAGCTCCTGCGCGCTGGCTAGGGCAATCTCGGAGCGTACACCATTCATTACAGCTTCTTTCTTTGCGGCCATGTCTGCAAAGGATAGTATGGGCTGAGTAGCAGTCAGAATTACACGACTGCACGTCACATACCTGACGGAGAACTAGACGATGCCGAGGATTTGAAGAAGTCGGACATGGGAAACAAATGGTATGGGTTGGAAAGTTAGAGCGACTTGGTTGAACGAAAATGTCAATTAAGTGAGGACGGTCTTGAATAATGTGTGACTTCGGGAGCAATTGGAAACTCTAACGGCACGGAATATTAATCTGGCAGCGAAGAGCGTTGGCTCGTACTGCGATCACAAATATACTAACGGTCGTATACGCTCATGGGTGCACGGGAATCCACGGGACGCAACACTGAATCTGAAGATACAGTCCCCGACTATTATGAACTGCTGGGCGTCGAGGAATCGGCAAGCAGCGACGAGATCAAGGTTTGTTATAACTTATGTGTTACATCAAGTGTCCATTGTCTGATTGTCCTCAAGAAAGCCTTTCGAAAATTGGCCCTGGTTCATCATCCTGACAAGAACAAAGATGATGTCGAAGGTGCTACCAACAGATTCGCCGCTATTCAGCAAGCATATGAGGTGCGAGTTCTCACTCCTGGCGATATCGAAGGCTCATCGCATGTCGGATCGACAGGTGTTGAGTGATGACCAGGTTAGTACCTTCTATCTATGAGTTCCTTTGTATTTGACTGTCCCATGCATGTAGGAAAGAGCCTGGTATGACACTCACAAAGCATCTCTGGCGCCAGAACCGGATGCAGAGGCCGTCTTCGAAGACATTCGAAAAGGCGCCCCACCTCCCCGCGCCCGCGGGAGGGGCCTGACTGTCAGACATCTAGCTCAATTTCTTGATGCGACCGTATGGTCAGGTTTTGACGACAGCGAGAATGTGCGTTCCACATATAGTGCATTGCCTCTCATAACCGCAATAATATACACACAATGACACCTACTCATACTCACCCACCACCAGAGCTTCTTCACAATCTACCGCAATCTCTTTACACGCTTGGCACAGGAGGAGAACCTCATCTCTGAGATCGAGTATCCCAGCTTTGGCGATGCCTCCTGGCCTTGGTCCATACCTAAATCCACAAATGAGCCCGCTGCGCGCAATTTTTATAATGCGTGGACTAACTTCGCGACTCTAAAGGATTTCGTATGGATGGAACAGTGGAACCTTGCTGAGGCACCCGATCGCCGAGTGCGACGGTGAGTGATGGTGTCTGTCGCATTTTGTGGCTGAGCAAGTGCCAGGCTCATGGAGAAAGATAACAAAAAGGCCAGAGATGAGGCGCGAAAGGATTACAACGATACTATCAGAGTAATTGCATTTTCGTCTTACTTGAACAAGGTCTAAATGGTCGTGCGCAGCAACTGGCCATTTTTATTCGAAAGCGCGACCCGCGCTATAAGGCTCATCTCGCTGCACAATCTCGGGCTAACAAAACTTTAGCCCAAGCCAAAGCTCCCACATCTGGGTCCTCCACACCACGCCCCCAGCCCACCACGCCATATGTAGAGCAAGACTGGCAAAGAGGCGGTATGGATCATGATGCTGATGCTGACCTCGAATGGGCAGCGGGTGAAGGCAACGCAGAGGAATGGGAGTGTGTCGCATGCGGGAAGACATTTCGTAGCGAAGCTGCGTGGGACAGCCACGAGCGTAGCAAGAAACACATGCGGGAGATCGAGAGACTGAAAAGGGAGATGTGGCAAGAGGAGGAAGCATTCGAGCATGGTCCGGAAAAGGGAGAAAGCGACGAGAATGAGGTGGATGGAGATTTCGAAAGCGAGTTTGTTCCTCCGCCCCCACCAACACCGCCAGAGCCGGTACTCGAAAACGGAGACGTATACGAAGCCGGTCCATCCACAGAGGAATTCCCGGCTGAAGAAGACCAACGCGTGCACGAAAAGGGCAGAAAGAAAAAGTCCAAGCCCCAAACAAGACCGTCAGATGATGCGCCGGCACCCCCTACCCCGGCACCCAAAAGCGGGGATGGTCCTCAGGGCGAAACATCTTCTCAGCCTGAACTTTCAAAGAGGGACAAACGAAAGCTGCGGGAGGCGAAGAAGGCTGCCAATGTCGAGGCAGAGCACAGCATGGTTTGCACTTGTCCCTCCGCGCGGTGGCTCTGCTGTACTGACATACCCATAGGTTTGCAACGTGTGCAAATCGCCCTTTGAGAGCCGCACGAAGCTATTTACGCATATCCGTGAGACAGGACACGCACTTGCTGAATCTGAAGAGCCGGCGCGAGGGAAGAAAGGGCGCAAGGGGCGATAGCGATTGATTGACGATGAAGATCGCCATCGTATACCAGATGGAACATGAGTCAACGAAACACCTATCATTTCGGCACCCTAGAACTCGGACAATGATGTGCTAAGGCATGAAAATTGTGAACCACATAGATATACAATCAGCTTGATAAAATGTCTGATAAACATACAAGCGCCCTACGTGAACAGCATAAACCCAACTATCCCATAAGCTGCGAAACGTCCTCCGGTGGGTATTTTGTCTGAGAGAACGTCAAGAGCCTGGTAGGATGCATCAGTCAAGCTCAAGATTCGAAAGTACCAAAGATGAAAAAGAGAAACAAAAGAAATGAGACGAACCGCTTAAGGCTCTGTATATATTTCCTGCTGACTTCGTCGTTTAGCACATGCGCAACCTGGTCCGTGGAGATCTTTTCGCGGGCGGAACGTTCATGGATACTAGTAAATTGTTCAAATGAGACGGGCATTATGATGAGTGGAGGATAAACACGCACCCCACCATCGTAACCCCGATCGGCCACGGTGCATTACCAATAGACAGGCGAAGGTACGAGTCATTCGCTCTCTGGTATTGCCGCTTTTGCATGTAATATACTATTTCAGATATGCGTACAAGCATGTCCGGTGGTAGATTCTGAGATAAGTGAGTGTCAGCTTGATGATTCCCATTTTAAAATAGATGAGGGTCTGTGATGACGACGAATGATATGTATGATGTTTGAACGTGCGGCACAGCGTATACATAATGTTATGCGCAAAAACAATAAATGGAAGGACAGACTCACTCGTGAACGAAGTGTCTTAAACAGTGGCTTTAGATACTCGGCAGACTGAACTTGCGTTGCTGCAGCCAGTTTGCCCTGATGAGTCCGTTTGACGTTTTCTGTTTCTCTTGTTAGATATATAGGGCCAACACTTGTGGAAAACATACCTGGTCGTTCATCCATTGCCTCCTCCCATTCCTTGAGCGTCCGCTTGAGTGCATAGTATATGATGGGGTACAACTTGTCCGGATCTGTTTTTATCAGCTCCAAGTCTACCATGGCTACACTCCCGGCGTTGTTGTTCACTTCTCCGTCATCCTTCTTCTTCCCCTTATCGTTCTTGGCTCTCATTTCCCTCTCAACGCTCTCGACATCTTCCAGTGCCTTCCTAAAGTCGTTCGTGCCAGCTTTCTCGTGTCCACGCTCTTCGATGAGTTCGAGAGCACGTAGACGCAGACGTCGGTCGCGATCACTTTCACCGAAAAGTCGGATCGGCTGGCCTTTGACACGCAATCGGCGGATAGCTTCGTTGTTCGGGATGTTAAATGCACTATCTAAGATTGTCGAGTCTGGGTCGCGGCTTTCCGGTAAAGGAGTGTTAGAAGTGGAGCGCGAGGAAGTGTCGGCCTGCTCTCCGAACCATAAATTTATCAGCAGTGAAGACGGCAGGTTAAGCTCACTATTTTCTTCTGCCTACTTCTTGCTTGTGCAGCGTCCTTCTCTGCTGCCTGCTTTGCCGCCCTTTCTTTTTCTTTCTCCTCGCGTGCTCGCCGTTCTTCTTCTTCTTTCATGCGCTCGAGTTCACCTCGACGCACATACTTGGATGGACGTGTTTCGGCGTCATTCTGCACGGCCTTGCGCTTGAGTGCAATTTCAGCTTTGAGAGCGTCCATAACGATAAATTAGGAACCAAATGCAGTCAGTGGGGAGTAATGCAACTATTCTTGCTGACTAATCATCCCACTCCGTCCAAACCCGACTCTCGAGGTTTCTAAGACCGCATCCATCAGCACACAAAAATGTCTGTCTCTGAGACTGCTGATCTGTCGAGGTCCGCTTGCATTATCTTTGTCGCTCTTACTTGTATCTAACAGAATACTAGCAAATACGTCCTCCAAACCGCTGGCTTTGACGGTACGTGTTACTCTTCCTCGCACCATGTTTTACATCTAGCTAACTGGTCTCGGTTGGATGCAGCTCGCTTTCCGAACACCAACCAGACGCGTCACTGGTGAGCAGCCACAGATTTCTAGTGTGCAGCGTGTGTTCTGATTGTGTCATATCATAACAGCTTCCAGAATTACACGGACTACTTCAAGTGCGTCGCCGCCAAGGGCGAAGACTTCGCACCATGCAAACAATTTAAGCGTGCCTACAACTCATTGTGTCCTAGTACGTTTTTTTTCTACCCTCGTTATACTCGGCATCCTCACTGTTGTTCTAGATGAATGGGTAGGTGTTCGATACCGTGGCGTAGAGCTTGATTCCTTATGCATACTGTCATGTCCAGATAGCGAAGTGGGACGAACAGAGGGAGAACGGAACATTCCCTGCGTCACTCGAGCCTTGATAGTATACGCTCCTGCACCTTTTTATTCAATCATAGACTCGGCTGCAGAGCTCTGCTTTCTTGAGTGGATTTTTACACGCTGCTTCTACCCAGGCTTGGCTTTGGAATAATTTTCACCGCGGACGGTTTGCGATTGAGACAGTCAGCTGTAAGGCCTTCTTGGTAAATGTCATTGAAGTTCTGAGCCTGACTGTGACGCGTAAATAACAAGTTCTTGATCCGACGCCTTTGAGGATGAACCCCCTAAGCCAGCACACAACTCAATATTCCTAGACTATCCAGCATATTTCACTAGATTTATAGGTTTGCTAATGTTGTCCGAGGGAGACGACGAGCTGCGTCGGCACGTGAGATCGTGATTATGCCAATCTTGAAACTTACGTGCATGTCCACACCAAACGATGGACGGGATCAACCTCAACGCTCTGAGCGAGAATGCGACGCGGCTTGGCATGAGGATTCAAGAGACAATAGCTGAGCACACCCGGGATCTGTCGCTGACACGGGGCGGGAGCTCACTGTTTGACATGGCGGACGACAAGGCGAAGAATATAACAAAGCAGCTCGAGTCAAGCAGCGACCGTGAAAAGCTGGACGCCATGAAACGATTGATCGCGGTTTGTACCAGTCAGTGTAATATTCGTACTGAAATTATAACATTGCTTGTCTTCAGCTCATCTCAAAGAACCGGCCAGTCTCTTCTTATTTCCCTGCTGTAGTCAAGAATGTAGCCAGCCCGAACCTGGAGCTACGAAAGCTGGTGTACATCTACCTCCTTCGTTGTGCACCATCTGAACCTGATCTGGCATTGCTGTCGATCAATACCTTCCAGCGGGACCTCGCTGATCCGAGCCCTCTCATACGCGCCATGGCTCTTCGAGTGCTGAGCGGCATTCGAGTTCCTACCGTTGCTACCATAGTACTTATGGCTGTCCGCAAGTCTGCTGCAGACCCAAGCCCATACGTTCGTAAGGCTGCTGCATTGGCCGTTATGAAGGTATACAAGTGAGCTTAACCTAGTTCAATATCCATTTCATAAAACATACGTATCAAGATTAGACCAGGCGCACCACACAGCTCTGCTCGATATTATGACGACTCTTCTACGCGATCGTTCGCCGCTTTCACTTGGGACTGCTGTTCTTGCTCTCGACACCATTGCGCCATCTCGCCTCGACCTCCTCCACGTACATTTCCGCCGTCTCTGCCGCGCCTTGCCGGACATTGATGCATGGGGGCAGGTCGATGTTCTCCGCGTGCTCGTGCGATATGCCAGGACTATGTTGCCGAAGCCCGTTCCCGCCAGTGAGAAGCAAGGGGAAGAGGTGGATAAAGATCTGAAGCTCCTGCTAGCCTGCGCAGAGCCACTCTTTATGAACAATAACCCTGCCGTGCGCGCATTCATCCACTTCCATCATGAAAATCTTGTTGACCAAACAATCAGGTTGTTCTTGCTGTTGCACGGGCATTCTACTACCTTGCTCCTCCATCTATGCTATCAAAAATTGCCGCCCCTCTCCTTCGCCTCCTCAGCGTGTCGCGCGAGGTTGAGCGCGTGGCACTGGTATACTTGCTCGTCGTGGCCCGTTCGCATCCAGTACGTGTCTTCGCGGAGTTATGGAACAGGAGCTCACGGTGCTCATTGATTGACCGTTACATTCTCTTTTCGACTTGATCTTGCTCGAATTGCACGTCCACTGCCCCTGTCTCCATCTACAGGTTCTATTCATTACATCTCACAACCGCCTTCTCGTGCGTGGGGATGATGCAGAACAGGTCAAGCGGACAAAGATTTGCGTTCTCCTGGCATTATGCACAGTCGACAATCACCAAACATTACTGCGAGAATTCGTGGTACGTTTAATTTACTTATTTGGAGGTAGAGGTAAGGTTGCTGATCGCAATCACCCTTTTTCCTCCACATCATCTGGCTCAATACGTCTGGCTTTTGATCATATGCTGCTATATTTGTCCTTACTGTTGAACTGCCATTGGTATGCAGGACTATGCCCAGGACACAGATGACTCTGTTGTGGGCGATGCGGTTCATGCCATTGGACGCATCGCCAGCCTCGTTCCCTCGTCTACGCCTCAATGCCTCACTGCCCTCATGGGAATGATCAACAGTAAGCAAGGTCGGTGCGTCTTATAATCTCCTCGTAGCACGAATTGACATGATTGCATAGATATAATCGTCTCAAATGCAGTCCTCGTTCTCAAGTCCCTCGTCCAAAATCAACTTCTTACACCTTCCTCGGCCTCAACCATGACTCTTGCAACTTCCTTGTCGTCGCAGCATGCTCTCCTCACGTCATCTATTCTCTCGCTGACACCATCAATCTCCACTTCATTATCAGCTGCACCCCTGTCCTCCACAAGCCCGGAGTCGACCCCTGCGGCCCAAGCCCCACTCTCCATCATTGCCCAGCTGGCACGGCGCATTGACGATATCCGCCACCCTCATGCGCGAGCTTGCGTGCTGTGGCTTGTCGGTCAATACGGCTCAGTCCCAGGCACCGGAACAACAGTGGAAGGTGTAGCAGACTGGGCACCAGACGTACTGCGCAAGGCAGCGAAGAGCTTCAACACTGAGGTGTGTTTCAACCCACCTCGTAATTCCCCAGCTTACGTTAAATCCTACCAGGCTTCCCTAGTCAAACTTCAGACCCTCACTCTTGCCGCGAAACTGATACTCCTCGCGCCCACGCACCGCACGCTTGTCCTCCTGGCACGGCATGTGCTCACACTGGCTCGGTATGATGAAGATTGGGATGTGCGTGACCGTGCGAGGATGCTGGGAGCACTTCTTGTTGGTGCAGTTGCGGGCGTGTTGAGCAGTAATGATGAGGAAGGCATTGGGGAAAATTGGAATAAGGAAGAGCAGGCTGGAAGGCTGGGTGTGGTGTTGAGAAGGGAACAGGTGACACGAGTGTTGTTCGAGGGGAAGACTGGGACGATTGAAGAGGAGCAGGCGGCTGGTAAGTGTTTTTGTCTTCTGATTTTTGACACCGCAAGATTCGTTTGTGATTATGAGTTATGACACATACTCATTTTTCTTTACTTTCCCTTCATGTTCCACTGACACCAGTCCTCTACAGAGTCTCGTCCACTCGGAACGCTTTCCCTCGTGATAGAGAGTGAAAGTCTGCATCTTCATGATGACAATGACGACGAGACCGTGATAGATCTCCCCGAGTGGCTGGAACAGGGCATTGACCCTGCATTGCGCGATAGCGATGACGATGCACCCCAAGTTGCTTCGTCATCAACGGTTCAAGCGATTTCTTCTCAGGGAATCTCGTCTCAACGTGTGCCAACACCTGCGGGTGCAACACCAGTTGTGCTCACGCCCACAGGGGGATCAACGCCAAAGGATACGAAGGACTGGAGGGATTTGAACAAGTTCTATGCAAGTGAGAGCGAGTCTGAGGAGGAGGAGGAGGAGGAGGAGGGAGAGGGAGAGGGAGAAGATGAGGCGAGTGGTAATTATGAGGATAGTGGTGAAGATGACGGCACTTCGGAGGACGAGGGGGATGAGGAAGATGAGCAGGAAGGGGTTGCAGAACACGACTCTAATCCTAGCCATGACAGAACAGAATAGTTGATTGTCATTAGACCTTGCTTTGAACCCGCAAGCTCGGAAGTTTAGTAGATGTAGCCGTTGTGCCTCGAAGCACGCGATGACTATATAATCCTCCCCGCCAAACCCAACATGCTCACGACAACAAAGCAAGGACATGAAACATGGTTTAAGAAACAATGCAATTCATGACGCGGAAAAAGGTGTAAGACGGCAATGCCTACTTCTAGTTTTTCATACAGCATAGTATAGATGCCTAAGCGGAGATGGTGACTTCAACCTCAACACCAGGCTCCAAGCTGATGGAAGTCTAATCGAAGAATAAGGGGCAAATAATGCAATTAAAAAATTCAGGCTCACAATCTGTTTGACGACCTCGCTAGAGGAGTGCAGATCAATGAGGCGCTTATGCACCTTGAGCTCATAGCGGTCCCAGGTCTTCGAACCCTCACCACAAGGCTGGCGAACACAAGAGTCAATTTAATGCAAGTATATAATAGAGTTGTGATACTCACGGTCTTACGGGTTGTGATTTTAAGGACCTTGGTGGGGAGGCGGACAGGGCCCTTGACACGGAGCTGCTTGTCCTTTGCGCGGTTGATGAGATCAGCGGAGACTACATTGAACGATTAAGTAGGTGTTTGCACAAAATGAGGTGCGCGAACATTTTTCCAAGTTCTTGACGTTGCTGCTCGTCAAGGTGATGCGGATTTTGTGAATTTTGGCAGCGGGGACAGGGCCTGCTGCGTCGTACTCCTTGTCCTTAGCGACGTAACTCATTCTGAACTATCTTTTTTGAATAAGTCAGAGGTGACTGAACAGATTATTAACAGCTCGAAAGTGGATGATACTTGAGATGTGCGCACCTAAGGTTTGTGTGTTGATGAGAGAGATAATTAAGGTTTAGCGAGATTGTATCCTGAGTCGGCAAACTCCGAGAATGAGTCCCTTTAATCCAGGACAGTCATGCAAGGCAAGTGTCAGATCTCAGCGCACGACAGATCGTCCACTAATTCTGCGCTCTTCCTCAGGGTTTAACAAGTATTATCCGCCAGATTATGACCCAGATAAACATCAAAGCTTAAATGCCTACAGAGGTATGCACAACCAATTCTCCATGTATTGTTTCCCTCATGGTCTGCAGGCAAACATGCGCTCGGTGACAGAGCACGTAAACTCGACAAGGGCATACTCATAACCCGTTTTGAACTTCCTTTTAACATCTGGTGGTATGTATCATAACCGTAGCATCCAAAAATTGTGATTTCATCACTTCTAGTGGAACATGCAACAACCACATTGGCATGGGCGTCCGGTACAATGCAGAGAAGAAGAAAGTCGGCGCCTACTATTCTACTCCAATTTACTCTTTCCGCTGCAAATGTCATCTCTGCGATGGCTGGTTTGAGATTCATACCGACCCGAAGGTGAGCCAAGAGTAGTTGACCTTTCACAATATTAATGTCACACAGAATACTCGCTATGTAGTGGTATCAGGTGCCCGTCAGAAGGATGAAGATTGGGATCCAGAGGAGAACGGCGGGTTTGCTATTCACGGTATGTATCGACTTGCGTATACTCTGATCGTCATCTTACAAAGGTTGCAGATACCGAAGGGAAAGCTGGCCCCGCGGATCCACTTGCAGCGCTTGAGAAGACCACCGAAGCCCAAAATCATGTTGCCAAAGTACAGATACCGCGGCTTGAGGCTTTACAGGGTGTTTCGGATCGCTACAATAACGATCCTTACGCACTCTCATCTATGGTGCGCAAGCGTTTCCGTACAGAGAAGAAGATCGAGGCACAGAAGCGCGCCGAGGATGATACGCTCAAAGGCAAATACGGTTTACCGGAGGAGTTACAACTCGTTGAAGACGATGCAGAGGCCAAGCATCAGGCACGGGACGAATGGGCTAGGGCTAGAATGGAATATGAAGCAGAGAGAAATAGTAAGAGACCTCGCTTATTGACACCATCCTCGTCTGGTTCCCAATCTCGCCCGACATTGGACCCCGTATCTTCTCTGAAGGCGCGCATTCTTGACAATACTCGGCGGTCAAGTACGCTTGCAAGCAAAAGGAAACCTCCTGATCGAAGAGCACTTCTCAAGTAGATAGAACGATAGGTCACTGTACACTACGTTCACGCAAACTTCACTATGCTACTGCTGTCTAGATCAGCAGCTCATTAATTCCTACGTTTCGATGATTTCGGAGCAAGATACGATAGCAAGTCAGAACAACATTAAGAAATACAGAGAGTGAAACACGAAACCAAGATACTACTAGTATGGATGACAGGACGTAGAGTTGACAAGTCTGATCAGTGTAACGGAAGGGCATCACGGACGAGCGAGTATATCCAGCATATAAAAGAAAAGAAGATTCATAAATAAGCAACAAAACAAACCAGAATTCTCCCCTATAATTCCTATCATGAAGTCTGGTAAATTGCCCACGGTTGGTCAAGTGTGGTCATAGGACCCTCCCACTTCCAATCAGATGACTGGTAATAGGCGGACTCGCCGCCGTCAATCTCCTTGAATGCCCCCATATGAAGGAGATCGAGATGGCTGCTTTCCCTTGATTCCTCGATCTTGATTTTGCCGGGGGATGATGCACCCTGTGACTGATCAGCATCCGGGTTAGACTGCGGGCTGGGGTTCGTGGATGACGGTACAAGGTCGGGGGTGGGAGCTTTCGAGTCTTCCTCGTCTTCCAGAGTAGTGAAACGACTATAATCAATAAACTCATGGAACTCCAAGAACGCATCGTTAGGGGCCGCTGGAGGCGAGAGTTCCGACAGCGGTCCGCTGATGCTTGAAGCGAAAGCAGAGGTTGCGATATGTGTTGGGTCTTGGGCGGCGCCTTGTAAAATCCGGTCAAGAGTGTGAGCGATGTCGTCGTACACGCCGGCGTCTGTCGAGGCAGTCATGGCGACCAGCTCCTTCATCTTATCCATGAAAGCATTTGCGTCCTCGTCCGTATTGATATTTTCAACCTCTTGGTGCCTCTTCACGAGTCCCTCGCTAGGCTCTCCCTCCCAATCTTCAGTCTTCACCTTCTTGGGAGATGGCGCACCAATAGACTCGGGCTGAGTAGAGGGACCCGCGGCAATAGAAACATCCTCGTCAGCTTGGGCTTGGCGTTTCACGCCAGGGGTAAACGCAGCTGGGGGTTCGGAGGGAGATGCAATAGGTTGCTTGAGAGCACGCTGGGTGGTCTTCGCCTTTGGTGGAGGTTTAGACTTGGGAGACTTTGGAGTTTGTGGGGAAGCGGCCGCAAGAGGAGTGGGGGCAGTAGAAGCTGTTGCAGGTAGTGGAGTAGGTGATGGCACTGCGCTTGGTATGACAGTGGTCGCAGGGACGGAGGGACTTGGGGGCGCGCGTACAGGAGGTTTCTTGACCAGGGGCTGGGGTGGCTGTGGATGCGAAGGTGGCTGGGGATGCGAAGGCGGCTGGGACTGGTTTACGGAGGGATGGCGGCTCATAGGAGGCCCAACCTGGGGAGGTTGGAGGGTTTGAGGAGGGGTGGGCTGCGGCGGGGGAGGAGGTGGGGGCGCTCGATTTATATGAGGACCACTAAGTCCACCCGTTTGCTGCGATGCGAGGGCGGCTTTCATTATTTGAAACCTTTGTTCGAATTCCTCGTTAGCCTTTTGTACTTGGTTATACATGCTCTTTAGAGTATGAAGACCGATTATGACTTGTGGTGACCCCATTGGAAAACGAGCCCTCTGATGTGCCACCGTCAACACCTGAAAGAAGATGAGCTTAACGCGGCAAAATGTAGACACGAAGGGCGCTTACAATTGCAACGAGCCTGCGAATCATATCATCCGATCTCAAGACAATCCAGTACATTGGCAGTCTGCCGTCAAGGTCCCGAGTCATCCTCTGAACCTGATCTAGTAGCTGGTTGTACTCCATTCGCTGGTCATCTGGTACTGTGAGCGGTTGCATTGTTTGTAGTCCTGCATGGAAGATTAGAATCTGCGGCGAGAATATGGACGTGACGAACCACGGGATGAGAAAACATGTTTCGTATGTTGGATGACAGACATTGCATGTGCGATCTGCTCCTGAGTTGGCGGTAGAATGGCTCCTGACTGATTGGCAGGCTTCATCTCCGTCATCGGCGAGGGTTGCATCCCAATAGATGGCTGTCCTCGTTGTGGCGTGACCACCAGGCTAGGACCAGCGGTTGACACCTGGCTCGGGAAGGCTCCTTGGTGTGCGGTGGACATACCCGGCTGCTCACCGGGCGCCTCATGATTAACGATTTGCTGACTGGGCTTCGTCGCCGCCAATCGACTCTGCTGCTGCCAACGCAATATGTCCGAACGATACCGGTCGATCGTGACAATCGTCTGTTCTGGCAAGCCACTTGCACGCATCTCACCAACAGTCATATGGACGAAACGCACAGCACTTGCCATGGCTTGTGGATTGAGAGGAACACGCATAACGGAGGATGGCATTTCCCCAGCCGAACCTGAGGTACTCCCAGGAGGGTTGTTCTGAGCGCCATTCTGTGACAAATTGTTTTTTTGTGCAGCGCGAGATCTAACGGTGAAGACGAGCATACTCTCGAAAGCCTGCAGGTGCTCTTTGTATGCGTGAGCGAGCTGCTGTGCGATACCAGGGCCACTCTTAGCTGGCTCAGTATCCGTGCCTGGAAACTGTACAAGACCCATGCGACCACCTATGACCGCCCATAAATCACGTTGAGTGACCTAAATCATGATTAGTGAGTATGCTTGGAGCATCGCAAATTGTCGCAATCTTACCAACTGAGCGCCACCTTCGCGAAAGACCTGAACATGCAGGTTATGCAAATCAACTGAGCGATTATCAGGTAGCAGAACGTGCACGTTGGGCTCCACGTGATGACTCTTGCAAAAGGACGTGTACATAGCCTCGAAGCGAGGCTTGTCAAGAGGGGAAACGCCGAGAGTCGATAAGTTGACCATTCTATTCGGGGTCTGGCCATTAGCAACGGACTGAGGATTGAATTGAGGACCCATGTTCTGTGACATCATAGTAGGCATGCCCGTAGGAAGCTGCTGGGGAGTAGGGCCAGTGCGTGGAGGTACAGCACCAGGGCGTTGTATCTGGCCACCCTGTCCGGATAGTTGTGAAGTCATGGGATGGGCCTGACCTGGCGTTGGAATCTGCGAAGGACCGCTGGCCCCAGGGCTCATTCCGAAATTTGGAGCGGGACTAGACGACTGTGGCCAGGGTTGTTGAGGTGCTCCACCACCCTGCGTAACACCTGGTCGACCAGAAGCAGAGGGCATTGTATTTCTATGATGCGTAAATAGAAAGCTTCAACCATATGTCGACCTCACTTACAGATGTGGTAGATTTCCTCCAAGTATGCCAGGGGAATTTGAAGCCAGTTGGATAGCCTGATTGATTCTGAGGAAGAGAGTCTTGCGGTTGTGGAGCTCAACGCGCATCTTTTCCAACTTCGCCGACCATGCTTCATCAGGGAAACCTCTCGTTTGCGCAAGTACGGTTTGGATACTCTGCTCAAAGCTATTTATGGCTGATTGCAGATACTCCCTCCTTTGTATCAGTTCTGGGAGGGTAGGTATCTTCTGGGTCGATGCCGCCCTCATATTCGGATGACCCATCTGGGTCCCAAGAGGTTGTGCCGCCAGATGCGGAGAACCATGCATTGCATCAACATTAGTCATATTGGAAGATGAAAACATGTCCGAGGGATTCTGCGGACTAGAACCTGGCTGTGCACCCATCTGCTGCTGCATATGAAGTGTCATGGACTGAGGCGGGTGCTGGTTTTGTTGATTGGAAGGACGATCCATGAGGTGCAGCGGACGGCTAGCCAGAGCCTGGTTTGGATTGCCTGGTTTCATTTGTGGGGTATTCATAGTCATCGAGGAAAAGTTAGGTGGTATGATAGAAGATGGAGGGATGGAGGACTGGGGGTCATGAAAGGACGAGGCAGGGGGAGGGACACGCTGGACGTTTGCAAGACCGAATTGCTGCTGAATCTGTTGGACCAAGGGACCTTGTGAGTGGCCATGACCGAGCCCCTGGTTTCGAGCAAGATCTGCCATCTAATATAATGGAGTCAGCACACGTAATTACGAAAACTGGACCTGAACGAGGCATCGACTTGACTGGACTTGGGAAGCATGAATCTCAGAATAGTATAATTTATGATAACAGATACGGTGATCGATTAGACGAGAACAGTACCCAAACCGACCATCAGTGACATGAGTGGGGGTGGGTCCTGCGAGCGAACACAAATGTCGCAGAAGGGGAGGACATAACTTTAGAAGATTATAGGAAAAACTCACTTGTGGGTTCATCTGAGCGGAATTTGTGTCACCATTGGACTGAACTCGATAGTTGTTCTGCATTTGAGCCCATATACGACTATGTTCGGGGTTAGGGAGCCCGGGGACCATCTGAGAGTCTTGTTGTTGCTGCTGCTGCTGTTGCTGCTGTTGAGACTGCTGTTGCATGTGCTGCTGGGAGATGAAGTTTTGTATCGAATTCATTTGGTACGGGGGCATGCGATCGGCCATAATGCAAGGTCGTAGGCTTGCACCAAGATGGGTAACGCAACTTAATGAGGACGGTGACAGCGAGCACGACGTGGTCTGTAACGTCGTTGGCGGTAGCGCCTACGACGAGGGCACTGTTTAACGCAGTGGACGCTGTTTGGGATAGCGTGCAGCTGGGGAGATGCTGGCAGTCACAGTGGGAAGCAGACGGCGCTTCACACCATGAAGCGAATGCTCGGTTGGCCTGTGCTCAGCTCGTGCTGTCGGACTTTCAATCTTTATTATTTTTTTATCATACAAATTCGTATTTTCAATTGCCACATTCTCTAAATAATATTCATTTCTTTGCCTATTTCTTCCAATCTTTCTCCGCTTCCCATCCGCGAAAACGCACTCATCCTCCCGGCAAGCCATTGGTGAAATTATATTGATGATTAATTCTCTCATTAATTCTCTATTTAATTACACCCCGCGAGAACTGGCTTCATCGGCTTTTGCCGTGCCTCTGGGTATTGCACTGTACTTATCTCCACTTCAACGTACTTCAAGTTCCCAATCGCAACCCACGCCGTTGAGCTCGAGCCTTGCCTCCAACTCAACGTGTGTGGAGTAAATGCACATCATGAATCCTCAAGGCAGCTAAGGCGACCTTGCATACTTCGGAAACTTGCGAGAACAATCCAATTTCCTTGTACCACATTTGGCCAATTTTGTAAAATCAGGAACAGAAATGCTTGACCCTTTGTGGTCTGCTACTAATTAATCATCTCTCCCTTTCCACGCACGGATTCCTGTCGAGAGCGGTCTTGTCTCGGTCCTCGTGCCTCCACAAGTCGCTTCGGGTTGGGAATCGCTTCAAAACTGGATATTGAGCTGCGTTCACTGGAATTGAATATGATATCAACTATGTCTACAGGTTAGTCTTGCATTAGACTCTTGTTTTCGGCCGGTTTGGCCTGTTGGCACCGTGCCATCGAACTGCATGCCAGCCTGGCTATGCATTGCAACGTCTCGAGCTTGACCATATCGGTGCTTAACCCGACAACTATGGAGAACACTCCGGCGTTTACTCTAGATGCCTGGACAATCGTCAAGTTCCGAAATAAACTGTTATTTCAGTCCCTGCAATGAGGCTCCAAGGCGCCCGAGGTTTTGCCGCACGAGTGCTTGGGGTATCCCTGCCGAATACGGTATAGTTGCGCCTAGCACGTCTGTGATAATCTTCACTTCAGGGCCTTTGTATGTAGCATTTGTCGCTAGAGAAATGCAGGGACAAGCTATATACTCCTGTCATGCCGTCTCATCACAGGGGTATGAGACCTACAGCGCCCTGCCGCGATCAGCGGTTTAAATCGCCTAAATTAGAGAACTTGCGATTTGTAGGGGGGTGTCACCCTACTAGTCATGTTCCAACTACGCCCCAGGATGAACTTCAAGTGTGTGTAAACACAAGTGTACTACCATCCCAAATTTAAAGTTGCCCGACTGCATTAACGCAGTTTGGTGTGGGTCAATCATATGAATGTAGATCTGGCATCACGATCTTCATGGTCAACTCCATTCCACTGTTCTTGCAAAAAATAGCATAGCAGGATCAAGACATGCCTTGTTAGGCAGAGGGGGAACGTAGGCAGCGAGGTTTGCAAGCTTCCAGTTCGTGGGTTCTTGACACCACGTATATGCAATGCCGCGATCGAGCAAGTTCCTTCCGCTTGTTGAACTGACCGTTTTGGACTGACATCGTATATTTCAGGCCAGATTCGGTCCCCCGGGACGCGCAACGCGCAACGCGCACCTGCATTGCAGCATTCATTCATCCATGAGGCGATGAGCATGACAACGCCAGGTGAGCTCAGCAAAGGTGTACTTCTTGAAAAATAACATTGGACGTACCTAGGCCAGTCAATAGAAACTTGGAGCATCTACATGCCACTGTTAACCCGGGGAACTGTACTCGCCTGGACATCAGAAGCTCGTATTGGGAGAAACTGGTGGTAATATGGTGCATCCATACAGCGGTGCATCGCAAGCTGCTATGTCACGACAGTGTTGAAACACTTCAAAATATTGGGCCTCACATGAATTCTAGACGCAGCGATTCGGCTGGCAAGCGGATAATGGCACATGTATACATATTACTTGTACAGTCCAGATACAATCTAAATATACTACCGATTGTGATTAGCAGAAGGCATGGTGAGAAAATGGTAGAAATACCAATACACACAAGCAAGCACGTCATCATGCTATAGGAAGTCAATACGTCTACTGCTACCACCTTGTTGCGCGGGCTCCTCGGATGCCTTGATAACAATTGCTGGCCCTGCTTCTAGAATCACATCGTCTTCGTCTTCAGAGTATACATCGGTCTCTTCGTCAGAAAGCTCGACCAATGGTGCTGCTCTCGTTTTCTTCACTCGAGCTCTTGGACCCACCGCCAGGATGTGATCCTCGCTCTCTTCAAACAGCTCTTCTTCCAACCCTCCTTGCTCCACGTCGACCACGGAAGCAATCTCGCGCTTGAAATAGTAGCGTAAACCCACCGGTATGAGGACGCCCACCACCACTGCGGATAATAGGAAGAAGTTGCGCCACGAAATGAGATGGAAATCCGCAGCAGATGTCATCTCATCTAGACCACCTCCAATCGTCGTGTGAATGACAGTTACGCCGAAGATACCCAGCCATGTACTGATCCAGAAGGGCACGACGCCAATGCCGACGTGGGGACAAATTACGTTGACAACCCAGTGCGGAGGGAGGGGAGCAATGCGGAGGACGATTAAAAAGGAAATGATGTTGTCTTTCTGTGCGCGTATCTTGTCCGACCACTTGTCTAGACGGGCTTTCCACTTCGGTACGGTGAGAAGTGCAGGGCCAAACGCAGCACTGATGAGGTAGCACAAAGTTGCACCAGTAGCAACACATGTACAAGCAAGCGGAAGTGCGCGTGGTACACCCCATACCGCTCCACCAAGTATAGATAGATACATCGATCCAGGGAGAGAAAAAGCTTGTAGGCTACGGGAAATGTCAGATGGTCAACATCATAGAAGAGCAGACCTCACAATAAATATGTTATAGCATAACATATCACGATACGGAACGGGTAGATGTCGCGGTATTTTTTCAAAATGGCATTGAGAGCCTGTAGTTGAGCAAACGATTTCGGTATACGGAGTGACGGCCGGTCGACTCTGCTATTCGATAAGATATGCTAAACAAGAAGGAAGTTCTGGGGACATACTCGTCAAGGGTGGGAAGAGTCAGCCAAAGAGTTCCACCCAGGAGGATCGTACTGAGTATAAACACGGCTGCCATCCTGATTGCGGCCTTGAGTAATAATCTTGGGGAGGATGTATGGGGTGCCTGCAAATGTGCAGGAGTGGCTCCATAAGTTGAGCCTGTGTCAGAATCTGGCGCAAGGAGGGGAGCTGTATCGTCTGCAAACTCCATAATTTCAGGATCATCAGGATGAACGGTGGCAAGAGTGTAGGCTGATGCATTTTGGTGGTGCATGTTTCTGAGCGATGAAGGTGAGGGCATGGTGCCGACGAACGATGAGAGCACGCTGTGCCACACACTATGGAATATGACACACACTACTTAGCTAAGTACGTGGGAATATTATGGCATTTTCCACAAAGCACGGAGGATGATTAGCCAAGTACTTAGCGCGCTGAGCTCGTGCTGAACAACGAACGACAGGTGTCCACAGGCCCTGCTCATCGCCCAGCACAGCGAGCAAGATGACTCACATCCTGCCTCCGCACACTGACCTCAATCTCGTGCCATCGTCTCTTCATTCAGCTCTCCATATGGACCCAAATCAACAGCAGCAGCAGCTTCAACAGCCTAATCAGCCTCATCAGCAACAGGCGCCGACAACCTCCAAGAAGAGAGGACGAAAGGCGGACACAAATTCTGATGACGCTGGCTCACCGTCCGAACCAAGACGGCTCAGACGCTCCCATGAGGCTTGCGCACGATGCAGGAGCAAGAAAATTAAGGCAAGTCCCGTCGGTAGACACCGACCGCAAATCTCCGTCTGCCTGTTCAGCTTCTCTTCTGACACAGCGATGAATTCTATAGTGCGACTCGAAACATCCTAAATGTACAGCATGCGCGACTGCCGGTGTCCCTTGCCAGCAGGAGGACAGACATAGGCAGACCCTTACTCTTAGAGGCCACACAGAGTTCATCGAGCGCCAGATCGCTCAATGCGATGCTCTCTTGAAACGTCATATTCCTGATTTCAGTATGGCCAACCTCGACGAGATATGTCGTAGGGAGGGCATCGAGGTCGACGGTCATCCCGCCCCTGAATTCGCTCAACAGAGTCCACAATTCCCACAGCAACCAAGTGGCCCTCCTCCCGGAGCGATTTACGGGCCTCCTTTCGTTCACCCCGCATACCCTTACGGGGTGCCTATGCCGCATGGGTACCCATCACATATGCCGATGCCAGGACCCCCTGGCGCTTTCGGACCCATTCATCCTGGGTTTCCCCCTCCCCCTCCCCCTCCACAGCATATGCAGTCCCTGCCCCAGGTACAACAACAGCCACAGCCACAGCCACAGCAGCCACATCCAGTCCCGCCTCCAGTTACAGCTGCTACAGCTAATACAGAAGTCAAAGGTCAAGATCCGCAATCTCTGGATATGTCAACTACGAGGGTCGGTTTTTTTTGTGTGTGCGACGTTCAGCGCACTCATCATTTATTTTCACTGATAGGCACTGGCCAAGAGCTTCGGTGTTCACCCTCTCATCGTGAACGACAGTCACCTGGGTTCTGGTGACAAGGAAGATCTTGCAGTTGGCTCAAATGGCTTATCATCGGGGCGTGACCGCGGCATCACCGAACAATCAATGCCCCGTGATCTTACAAAATGGATTTCTATCTCTGTGGCAACCAGCAATGCCGGTGTCTCTTCTACGATATCTACCTCCACACTGACGTTATGGATGCCCAAGGATCGCTCGTTGACGAACAAGATCGTTGATGTTTACTTCAACCACCTCAACGTCCATCGCCCTGTTTTCTTCCGGTCAGACTTCGAGCACAAGTTAAACGCGCTTTACGACGGGGAGAATGTTCAACATGATCTTGGCTTTATCTGCAGCATGTACCTCATTCTGGCACTCGGGACGTTGAGCGAGTTGAATCACCAAGGGAGTATCATGGACAAGGACAAAAAGACGCCCAGCGATAGTCCGATCAATACCAAGAAGCTGCTTCCTACTGTATGGCCCGAGCATGATGAATTTTTCGAGCGTGCACTGGCCGTCAAGCCTCACTTACGTGTCACGATCTCCAGTCTTCAAGCACTGCTCTTGTTGCATTGGTATCTGTACACCGAGGTATGTCCATTCTAACTTTCCCTGACAGGTTTTAATTCCGTTGTCGATTATCAGCGACAAGGCCGCTCCCTTTGGCGCTTGGTTGGAAGTCTTGTCCGCCTTTCAATCGAACTTGGTCTGCATCATGATCCCACGGCGCAACCCAACACTTTCACAGATGAAGAGTGTCAGCTACGTATCCGGCTTTGGGGCAATGTCATGGTGCATGACCGAGGCACTTCCATTCTTCTCGGACGCCCACTTGCCATCGCTCCCTATGACTCCAATACGCCTCGCCCCACACACGGACTCAAGGGCCAGAATGCTGATTTCTCCGAACACTTCCTTCTTTCTCACCCCATCGCCGAAATACAGGCAGACATCATCAATTCCCTATATGCTCCTTCACGGCAGAGTGCTGATACAATCATGCGGCATGCGTCGAGGATCATCAAGAGCATGCTTGAGTTCAGGAGACAGCTCCCCGATAGCTACAAGTGGTACTTTGGGGGAACTGAAGACTGGCCTTTGGAGAGGCGACAGAAGCTAGTCCAGGACATTACAGAGGACCAGGGACTGACATTGCTCAAATTTGGTATATCGAGGATCTTACTTCTTCGTGCCTTGTTCAGTCTTAAGGAACTCGACTACAACCACCGTTCGAAGGCACTCGTCGATGGTATGTTTTTAGCATGTGCCACTTGCCATTGTTTGATGATTCATTCACGATATTAAAGCGATCGTCACGTCACACAACATCATCATCGTCCACAATCAGCTCATTCGTTTCCCCGATATCGCTTTTTTCGTTTCTCCCATCCCACTCCATATCGCAGCAATGGTCATCCTGTATGGCCACATGTCTCACTGCGAGCGCCTCTCACGCCAGGTGATGATTGAAGACGTTTGGATGGCCCTTGACATGCTCCCACGCTTTCGTTGGCGTTGGGAACGAAAGGACTTGAATGGCGGGCACCCTCTAATTTCCAAGCTCGCTGAGAAGGTCCTAAACGTCAACCTCCGAGCAGTTGGACCCACCAAAGACCCTGTCTTGCTTTCAGAGCTCGATTGGGAGACAGATTCACCGGGGATGTTATCATCGCCAGCGCTTAGTGCTCAACAGCAATTGCGCGTGCATCCGGGGACTCCCACGATGTCACACCCACCCTACTCAAATGGCGGTGTCGGGCCCGGTGTTTACGGACCGCTTCCGCGTGGTGCCACTGTAAGCACGAACCCCGTCAAAGGGCTTCAAGGATCTATGGGTAATGGTACTACGCAGGACAAACTCGCAGAAGTGCCCACTGGGCTGTTCTACCCGTTCTACCCGGAGAATCTGATGACCGCTACCCCGGGTACTGTTTCTGGCCCTCACAGCGACGCCGGAGCTACCAGTGGAGACGCTGGTCAGGACCCACAGAGTTATAGTCACCTGCTGGCGGCGGCGGCGCAGCCAAATGGGACATACGGGTGCCAGCAGTCGTCGGACTCATACATGCTTGAAGAGATCCGCTCATGGTAATCAGGTGTGTATGGACGTCGTCAGTCGTTGGTGCTGTATTTCTACCGGCCGTTACTGAACTCTTCACAGAGCCATGTCTATGTCGTTCGCACATCAAGGTTAATCACCTTATCCATGTATTGTGTTTGTTCGTTTTCTTCTCCGTCTCTCAGCTTTTGCGCGTTCTTTGGCGCTGAGGACAGTTCTAATGAGGCTCTCCTTTGAGATTCTTATTCCTTTTTATGAACCTAAAAATGGTTTTTTGTTCAAATGTTACGTTTTGATTCGAGCCTTTCTTCCCTTTCGTTTTCGTTTTCGTCGTTGTTCTATCATTCTCGTCTAGTCAAGTCCGAAATTCACTTATATTATCCTCATGTTTGAACAGTAATATGTGGGAGAATGTATGATTACGCGTTGTAGGATGATTGGTTTGATCATTTCAATATTAATGGCATGTGGTATGAGTACATACATGGGGCGGAACGTCAGGCGTGTTCTATAGAAGTAGTCTATGCGCAGATCAGCGGGGAGAAAGGGATGGTCACCTTTCGGATACAATATCAAAAAAAAGATGAAACACGCAGATATAACTGTCAGTAAAATAGTGTTTGCAGAATGCAAAGTCTATCCGAGAATCCGTTCCATGCGGTCCAGAACCACGTCGATGCCCCTGATGAGAAGAACGACACGCCGGGGCAAAAGTGCGAATTTATTTGTGTCATCCTTGTCACGGTCGTGGTGGGTAGGATGAGCAGAGGTGGGATTGGTGTACTGAGCCTGCATGGCATTTTCGAGAGTGACAGGTAAGAAGATAGTAATGCGTGTGAGTTGGATAGTGAGCCGGGATCTGCCGGCGATATCGAAGTAGGGAAGCTGGCGGAAAGCGCTTTGTATCTCGAGGGCGCGACAGAGCTCGCCATGGAGGGCAACGACGCAGGCGCGACAGGCTATTTGTTGATGGCGTGAGATCAATTATACGTTATATGACAGGTAATTCACTCAAGACGCGTTCGCGAACAGTCAGGAGGACCGAAAGAACAGAGTTTATACCGTCGTCACCCAATTCAAGTGATGGGTTTAGGTCACCAATAGCCCCTGAAGGTAGAGACGTGAGCATGTGATACACGCATGCAGGCGTGTGCTTACTGAGCAATGTGCGTATCATCTCGAAATCGCCTTCAAGAAATTCACTGAATACGCTCAAGAGGACGCCTTTCAATGTTTCGTCTGCATGGGGCGAGGACTGGGCAAAGAAGTCATAATTGGGGTGTGAGTGTGCAGGACGGGAGTCGTAAGTGCGTTTCGAGGTTGGATTGCTGAGGACATCGTATGCAACGGAGACTTTTTGGAAGGCAGACGTCGCGTCGGGATTTCCGGGAAATTTGCTGAGTACAAGTGAAAATGAGACGCCACTAGAACTGACGAGGAACATACTCTGGGTGGCAAGCCCTGCTTCGAGAAAGATAGGCGCGTCTTATGGTCACTTTGTCGATTGTTGGGGACCTAGAAACACCTAGAATGCAATACAAGTCGTCGCTGGAAAGTACTTGAAGCATTTCTTGGGTGTAAAATCTATCGCTACTCGGCGAGGATTTTAGAGTGTCGCAAGATTTTTGTTTTTGTGCTGATGGATATGCTTGTGATGACCACGCGATATGTTTTGGGTGGATAGGTACATTGTCTGTGGCCCGGAAATGAAACAAGGAGGATGCTACGGTTGCGCTGTTAGTTTTGCTTGTCCTAGTGTAACTTAGACTGACCGACCTGTCGAAAAGACATAGGAAAACATCATCGCTCATGGTCTTGGAAACATGTGTGATGCAGTGAGAAACTGCTCAAGAAAACGTTCTCCAATCTTATCTCCTCGTCGGATATTTCAATTAAACACGTGCGGTATGACATACGTAATCTGAATCAATCTATGTATTACATCACTTGAGCCTGGAGATCGGCACAAAACTTTTTGACCGCCACCGGAATCGGTTTGCGATCCAACTCGTATTTGTCTCCCATGATGGTGAGCCTTATGGACGCATCTCGCATAAAAGATATATCTCCCTTCGATAATGTGAGGTCATACCGACCAAATGCCCAGTTCAGGATCCAAATCGCAGAATCTAAGCGGACAAATCCCTTGACTCGCCAAACGCTCTCCTTGTTTAGAGAGGCGAGTGCACTCTCGAGCATACGCCTGTCAACATCAACCTCCGTACGCGAGATACATGCTTCTCTGTCGTGGTGTTCATGGCTGTGGCACGTCGGCAGGAATCCCCGATATGCCGTGAGTGTCTTCACTTCGTCGTGGTGATCTTCGATACCTTGGGGAATTGAATTTTTGAAGAGCTTGGAGTCGATGCCAAAGAGAACATTTGGGTCAACGCCGTGACGGCCATTACATTTGATCTTAGGAGTGTCGAGATTCAAGGTATTAAGATTATCGATCAGTATGTCTAGGGCGTGTTCATCGACGTGCTCGTGCTTGTTCTAGGCACTTGAATAAGATCGCCTTATTATCATGAGCAAGGCACTTACGATAAGGATGATATCCGAGTAGCTTGCCTGCATCTTGGCCGTGGGAGACGTATCTTCGTACCCCGTGAAGTTCTCGGCATCGATGACGGTGACGATCGCGTCAAGTCGAAGGTCGTTGTTTGTCTGTCGCTCAAGCTCGCGGATCTGGAACGCCAGTGTGGCAGGAAAAGCGGATCCTCTGACTCCATGACGAGTGAGTGAATAACTAGTGGGATTTGAATGAACTTACGAGCATTCAATGATTATTCGGTCAGGGCGGTATTTGTCTGATATATGTGAGTGCTTTGAGGGTTAAGTTATGTCGGACTGTAAGTACCTCGGATCTCGAGAAGGGCTGTTTCCATCTGACCGACGAGTACGCAGCACCTAGATGCGATGTGTTCGATTAGGAAGTGCAGTGCGATGATGACGAAGTGTAGACACACATGCACCCGTTCAAAATCTCACTGACAGCAGCCAAACTGGACTGTTTCGCCAACTGGCTATCCACTGTGAAAGGTATTATATATTCCCTCCAACCCACGAACACAGCAAGTTATGCACACCTTGGACGTCTCCGAACTCATTCTTGAGTAAAACCACTTTATAATCTTTTGGAAGTAGCGGAAGTAGCGACAAAATGATGGAGGTCTTTCCTGCGCCGAGAAATCCAGTGAAGACAGTGATTGGTATATGAGGTGGTTGTATCGAATTTGAGTCCATGTCTGTGTGGGTATCCCGAGGCTCTACTCGTAACCGTCTGGACTACGTCTTTGATTGGGTGACTATCCGGGACCGTAGGCAAAATAATGCAGAATATTTAGATTAATTATAACGGACTTTGAAAGATATTTGCAAAAGATAATCTGTACAGAAAACCTAACCGTGCTCACCTAGCATTTGTGCTTTTGAGCTAGCACATGCAAATTATCATGGATCATTTTGATCTATAGAAACAAAATGGTCTTGGATTGTCAATGAGTAGTTCTATGTCTTTTATTTTTTTGAATGATTGTGTTGTGCAAGTGTTATGGTACAATATATACAATTTGGCACTAGTGATGTACACGGCCCGGTTTCAGGCCGTGGGCCAGGCCAAGCCGGGCCTGAATAGGCCAAGCCGAGCCGAGCCAAAGTCACGGCCTGGTGACGGCTTTGGCCTGGCCTGGGAATATGAAAAGCCAAAGCCTCCGGCTCAGGCCGCGGCTTATAGTGTGCCTGCTCAAACTCTTTGACGATTGTCGATCGAGAATCTGACTTCTGTCTCATTTTAGCTTTTCGATCACTTACATCGTGTGCATGTTCATGTGGTAACATGTGTCAGAATCACAGTGAGTTGCAGACATTCTTTTCAAGCTCGACACAACTCACTTGCCACAGTGTTGGCAGATAGTGCACTCGTCATTTTCAGTAATCTGCCCTCCTTTGCAAGTTTCTTGTGACTTCAAGTCGCAAGCTTGGCGACAACCATCACATATGTTTTCAGACAAAAGGCGTGCATTTGTGATGGTAATTTTTATTTTTTATATCCACCTCTCACCACTTGTCTCTGATGGTTGGAACTGTCCACACAGACAGCAACGATGAATGTCGTGCACGGCCGGTCCACCGAACCAAGCCTACCGCCACCCTTCTCCAACATTCTGAGAAGGCGGCTTTCCCATCACAAACCAAGGCTATCAATGCCTTTCGTGCAGCAGAGGCTGCGAAGTTGTCTGATACTCAACATGCTTCCAACGCTGGCGCTGATCAAACCACCCCCAGCACATCTGTAAGGAATACTGCGGCGCTGACGCTGGACGCTCGCTAAAACCCGGACTTTGACATTTACGACAATCCCTTTGTTCCCGTTTTCGTACCTACCACAACCATCCCTTTATCGACTGGTTCCACACTACGTTTTTCCCTTTTACCCTTCGTTTTATCCTTCCCTTCGAGCCACTCGTGCTTTGATAGCACCTTCACGTACTCTCTTGTTTCCCATCGTATAAATACCCGCATGTATCATATCGAACACCAGTCAATTCACTCCCGTTATCGAAAGCAAGTCACTCAGCCGGTCCGAAAGTCTATTCAAATCAACGCATCATTATATTGTCGTATCTACTAAATTCCCCTTCGAACACAGCAGTATCCAGCCTTACATATTGGAGCCCACTGCGAGGGGAATTGATTTGATCGCCCCCGCCTTTTGAGTTTGATTTGATCGATCATTCGCTGATCGTCTGATTACTCCCTTAGAATTGATCTTCGAACCCTTCCCGATCACCAATATTTCAAAATACTACCATCCCAACGCGCAAATTCCTTTCAAGCGCACCACCCCGATAACTGATCTGGCTCCAAAACGATCCCGTACTCCCGCTCCTACCAAGAAGCACATCACCCGTTCTGCAACTAGAGCCGAAGAGTCCTCGTCTGTTGAGACCCCCGAACCTATAGTCCATTCACCAATCCGTTTCCGTGTCAGTATCGACGAAGAAGAACTGACTCCGCATCTCGTATCTCCTCTCACACCCATCGTCGAAACCACCGTGTCGAGCATCGCTCCACCACCCAAAACCTTTGTTTTTGCTCCCAGCCTCGAATCCGTCCAGCCCACGTTTACGCTCAGGCCCGCGATCTTCTCTGGAAACACCACCCCGTCTACTGCTACCCCATCCGCACCCACTACACAACTGATTGCACCTCAACCAGCGCCAACCACCAGTATGTCCACCTCCAAGGGGATGAACGCCATGCCAGGGCCCACTTCCAACAAAGCCCCGTCGTTTAACGGCGAAACCTCTGAACTGCTAGACTTCTTTGAGCTTTTCGAAGATTTAGCCCAGGCATGTGGACTCACCAGCGCGGAACAGTGCAAACTACTCGTCAGATATGTGGATCAACCTACGAAACGCTTCTGGGTCACTCTCACCGGCTATGAAAGCAAAGACTTTGGCGTTCTCAAGGCCAGTATACTCGAACAATACCCGGGCGCAGAAAAAGGACTACGCTATTCCATTAGAGATCTCGAACGCATCGTCCTCAGCAGCGCCGAAAACGACATTTCCACGGAAACAGAACTCCTTCAGTACTATAGGCAATTTCGCCCAGTTGCACATTGGCTGGTCAGCAATAGTAAGATCACTACGCGTGAACGGGACCACTACTTCTGGCAAGGGCTCCCTCCCGCTACTCGTTGTGCCATTGACAGACGGCTCGAGCTTCAAGATACAAGCTACTCTCGCACTGAAGCCACGAACTTCGAGCAGGTACTCAAGGCTGGCCGCTTCGTGTTCTCAGACGATGCATTCAACGCAGACTTAAATGATCCTATTGCTACTCGACTACGCTCGATACGAGATTCTCGCTCCGCTGCTGCTCCAACCAAACCCAAGCCCACTGTACTACAGTCATGGGACTCAGACGACGAGGATGACAAAAAGGATGCCAAACGGGAAGTTCAAACTAGGCGTGTAATGTTCGCACCCCAACAGCCTGTCAAATCTACCATAGACGAAGTCGAGGAACTCGGGAGGAAGATGCATTCGCTCGACATCGCTGACGTTGCCTATTCAGGATGTTACACCCGGTTGGTCTGCCTCGCCCCACAAGCAGCCCAAGCCTGGGCTCCCCCTCGTACACGACAGCTTGGTGCCTCGACCCCTACCTATGCTCCACTTCCTCACGCTCAGAATCATTCAACAAATACTCACTCCGACTCATCGTGCTATTTTTGTGGGCTGGCTCACCTTATCCGAAATTGCCCTATGGCTGCTAAATATATGCGCGCAGGACGTGTAATTAGGGAAAATAATTATTTCTTGTTTCCAGACCACTCACGTATTAGACGAGGACCCAATGGCACCATCAGACAAGCAATAGACGAACGATACGGAAGTTCCGTCCCATCGAGCACCCCCGCGACAGGCGCAAACCTGGCCACCCCAGTAGACAAATTCCAGCGTGATTCTACCCCACACGTCCCTGCAGCAAAAACTTCGAATGCATTCCTCACGGAGACCTATTTTCTGCAATGTACTCCGGTCGTCGAAAACCATGCTGTCGTAGTCACTGTGGAAGAAGAAGAGGACGAACAGTCGGCAGAAGTCTTAGCAATCACGCGTTCGAAGGCTAAGGCAATCAATACCTCAGAGGCCACACTTGCGCAAGGACGTACCACTCCGTCTCCACCATCCTCGTCATGCGCTCGTAGTCAAAACCCTTCCATCAATAATGTGCCCGGACCACTAACCACGGATGCAAAGAAGGGCCCTGCCTTCTCTTACGAGTCTAAGGCTGCTAGCCCCGAAGCTGCAAAACGTATCTATGACAGTATTCTGAACATGATGGTCCCGCACCTCACGATATTGGACTTGTTGGCGATTAGCCCCGACCTTCGCAAGGAAACAGTGGAACATTGTCGCACTCACCGAGTTCCTGCCCCCACGTCTGCGTTATCTGCCAATGCACTCGCTACCAACTCCCCACCTCTCATAGAACATGCAACACCACTGCGCGAACTCCGGGTTACACTAAACGGAGTCCACTCAGAACTCGGCCTACTCGATGAAGGGTCTGAAATTGTCGTCATCCGCGAAGACACGTGGCGGAAAAGCAAGGCTCCAATCAACGCGAATATAAGAATGCGAATGCAAACTGCAAATGGTGGGTCACAAGATATGGCTGGCTGTGTGGAAATGCTCGAGATCGAAGTCGATGGAATCAAAACGTGGGCTCATGCCTACGTTGTCCCTGATGCCCCGTATCGTCTTCTCCTCGGACGACCTTGGCAACGCCTGGTGCGATTGTCCAAGACAGAAGATACCGATACCGTCCATGTGACCCTGTGCGATCCAACCAACAGCACGAATATCAGAACAATAGCCACGTCACCTCGCCCTTGGCCACATCCTAATGGTACCTTCGCACTTACCACGGCACATATCGTAGATCTTTCCTCTGCAGAAATACCACCCGTAGTACCTATTCCTATCTCCACCCTCAGAGAAACCTCATTAGACGACCACCTCCTGCGGAATTCCTACGACATCGATCCAGTGCGACACGTTTTCGCCTACAAAAGGGTTGCTAACAAAGTCAAGCCCGTGGCCACAACTATGCCTTCTCATGCCTGAATCGTTCGACACATACCCGAAGACCCTCTTCTTACTCTTCCTGCTCTCTCCCCGAACCCCCCAGACTTCACACCAGGGCAACGACTCACACAAGAACGTATGGACGAATTGGGAATCTTTCAGAATAAGTTTCTTCTGCCTGACGAGCAGAAACTTGCAGCTCAAGTGCTAATGAACAATGAAACAGCTTTAGCATGGGATGAGTCTGAGAAGGGAAGATTCCGAGATGAATATTTTCCACCGGTCGTAATTCCAACAATTGAACACACACCATGGGCTCACCGACAACCCCCTATTCCCCCGGGTATCAAGGACGAAGTCATCAAGCTCATCCAGTCAAAAATTGCCTCCGGCGTGTACGAACCTTCGAATAGCTCGTACCAGTCTCGATGGTTTTGTGTGGCGAAGAAGAGCGGAGCCGTCCGCATTGTTCACGATCTCCAGCAGCTCAACTCCGTCACTGTGAAAGATGCCGCTACACTCCCCTATGTCGAGCACTTTGCTGAACAATCTGCGGGACGAGGAATATATACCATGATGGACTTATTTGTTGGCTTTGATCACCGAGCTCTTGCCGAAGATTCACAGGACATCACCACGTTTCAGACCCCACTCGGCACATTTCGTCTTACAGTGCTTCCCCAAGGGTGGACGGACTCTCCAGCAGTATTCCAGAATGATGTGGCTTTTATCCTCCAGCACGAAACAGACGTAGCACTGAACTTTCAAGATGATATTAATGTTCTCGGCTCTCGCACACGATACGAACTTCCAGATGGAGGACATGAGACTCTCACCGACAATTCAAACGTCCGACATTTTGTATGGGAGCACTGCCTCGACACGAATCGTGTCCTTCATC